TGGGATCGATGTACTGTGTATATCGAGTCTTAGTCATGGTGGCTGTTGCCTCGTTCAGCCTCAAGAATGACTGTTCAGCTACTTGCAGACGAGCATTCTTCTTAATCCATTTGCATCAATGCAACCCCAGAAGGACCGCCAGATCCCTTTGTTCGCCGAGCAGCTTACTGACCATATCGCCGTTGATCTATGAGTACACGGATTATGGAATCTCAGTTGTCATTCATAGGCCAAAAGCGTTTGTGGCTAGTTTTGCTAGTTGTGGATTGAGATGTTTCTGTTTAATCTACGTCATATGCCTCGTCTTTTAGCGCCATCACACCACCGCCAGACGATTCGCTCAGGAAACGCAACATTGAGTTGATCTGGCCGTAATGCACGAGCTTAGCAAAAACCTTAGATCTGTCAGGGGAGTTCGATCACTTGAGTTTTCTAATACTATCTTGAATAATTCCCCCTGTAACGGCTTATCAATTCTGCCCTATTTCCAGTGCACTATAGGCACTTAGACAACGTATCTTGGTAGTCTTTTGTCTAGGACTTCGGGCTTGGCTTCTGGAGGCTCACCGCCATTAGTACAAGAGCGGCTTTCAGGGGTGCGCGCCTATTTTCCAAGCCGTTATTCTAGTTCATTAATCTGCAACGTGTTACTTAATCGATGAAGTCCCTCCATATTTTCCCATACGGCACAAGAAATACATTCTTTCGCCAGGTTACGATCTCATTGTAACCCCGGTTAAAGAGTTTCTCCTATTTCCCGTGCAAATGATGGAAAACGTAACTTGACCTACGACCATCAAGTTAAACATCATGTAACTGAAATTGATCCAAGTTTCCAGAGTCTAAATCAAAGATTATGCCAACAGACAGTTAGTCCACTGAGGGTATACTTCGGGAAGCGGTGAGAGGAGTTAGGAATTTAGATGGATGGCATGTCTTTGCCGTTCCGTAGAATGGTTAATAGGATGGTTTCAATCTTGTCATACCTGGCGTGAAGTATACGTACATAATTTGCCTAATTTAGCCCTTTACACCCTAACATCAGTATGTATATTCTCCATACTGTTCTCTTCTTATTTCTTAAGGTGCTGACAAGACGAATTTGTTCAACAATTTGAGAACACATTTAGTTGGTGATCATTTCCTTTATTCTCATAACCTTACTGTCTGATTCAGGGGAGATATTGTGAGGAGAAATTAGATTCTAGTCACTCTAAGAGGTCAAAGGGTAAAAACAAAAGCCTGTGAATCCTCCAAAGCTAGCTTCTTATAAAGTCAGAGAGGTAACGCTCTCAGTATTGATTTCAAGCCTCGTCTAAATGACAAACCCTCACAATCGAACTGTTTTAATCACAGACCAGTTGAGGGGTTATCAATCAATTACAGTCTTTACAAAGAAGAAGTATTAATTTTTGTCTCACAATGTAGTCACTGTATTCACTGTGCTTATAAGCCACAACCTTTTTTTACGATATCGGAAAGGAATGTTTTTCCGTTTTTCAAAATTATTACCGAATAGGTGACTTTTTTACATCGCCAGAGCACCGAGTTACTTTCATTGCAAATTTACAGAAGGGTCATCAGATGTACAAATGTATATAACTGTACATTTTTGCTCTCACAAAACTGAATCATTTTTTCTATTGTGTTCAACACTGTTTCCTCAGTTGCGAAGACACCAAAATCCTTTATTGAATGAAACAAATATGTATGTCTAATTGGAAAGGAGCTTGCGAATGCTCTTGATGGGATCTTGGAGCTGCAGCGCTCGTTTGTCCTAAATAATTTTTCAGGTTCTAACGTAGTTGTAACTCCACCGTATTTTATTCGGTGAAAACTTGCCAACGTTCAGAATGTGGACAAACCACAAAGGACGAGGCACCTATTGGAAGGTTGCTGGTCAAGTCCTCACAACTTTCCGAGAACACCTGTGGAAATGATATTAAAAGATCATCAGTATTGTTGGCAAACTATTGAAGTCTTTTCGCGCAAACCGTGAGAGGATTGAAATATCCAGAAGAATGTGCCCCCTAGTCCTAACAGATAAACAGAGGGGTCTACAGACTGTGCTTCAGTTCGTTTATCAGTTTGAAATGGGCTCTTCTTTGCAAAACTTCATCGGAGAACGATGTGCTTCAATTGTTTATCATTAGCGAACAGAAAGAATTCATTCCTCATGAAGAGGAGACAACAAAGACAGCAATTTTTATTAGCTTTTCAATTTCCCCGAACTCAGGCCTTTCATAAACCTTCAAAGAATGTCTATGCTGTAATTCAAACAGACAAAAACAAATTAGTAGTGAAAGAAAAAAAAGCATTAAAAGAATTCAAATTTCAAAATAACATGCATCTTAAATGATTACCAAAAGGAAAGTGAGGTTTACATCTGAAGAGCTACGACTCAGTATCATAGCACAGTTTTGCTGTTCTTATTTAACTGATTTGTATTCATTGAAAAAATTTCTTTACATTAACAATGGCATCTTAGCATTAACCATGCTTACATAAGCCCCCCGAAGTACAATGTTATCAAAGGGCAGAGGAAAGATTTTAATGTAAAAATAGCATGCTGTTTGCCGTTGATATGTTAGGAGAAACTAGACGTCTTTCTTTTACCTTGCTCATGCATTATACACCATAAGGCACGTTTAAACAAGAAAGATTTCCTCGAAAAGTTTCCCTGTAAAGTGTGAATGGAAAGAAAAGGGTGACATAAACATTTCTGAACGCGGAATAGTTTGTGAAGCACAAAATTTGCTTGCCAAGAAAACTTTGTCGTTAAAAAAAAAAAAAAACATTCCCCCCACAGGTTTTACAGGAGAAAGTTCTTGGCAAATTTCCTTTAACACCGCGAACGCAAGAGTTAAACCACGAACGAACTAGCACCGTGAGGAAGATAAATACGCAATTTAGAAGGACTAGACCTTAAGCTCTTCACTACACTTTTGAGTCCCATAGCATTGACATTAAGGTAATCATCAGGCACCAGGCATGCTGCGTCACCCTGAAACTGAACTTCAGTAAAAACCTGCCAAGGCTCTGAGTCTTCTTCTACCGTGATCACACAAGGCACCTTGAGGAAAACAATTCGTCAAATTCTCGCAGCTTGTCCTGAAGTCCTATAAAAGAGCTTTATAAATAATTACTTTTACAGTGAGACTGATAAACAACCAAATGACATCAGTTTGTAGCATTTAACCTATTGCGTAGCTCATTACCTGAGAAGTTTGAAATCAAAGTTGTGATGCTTGACACAAACTAGCAACCGACTACGAACTGAATTTGTAAGGTCTGGGGTAAAAAGTCTGTCTAGGGACTCACATTTTTCCCCTCCCTTTTTCTTCATTTTCTTGTTCATGTTTATCTTCTTAAAATTGTTAAATCTCGAGTATAGAATAAATACTTCATACCCTTTTAATCCTCCATAGTCGGCATTTTCGAACAACTGTACTTGTACTTTCTGCGATGAAATCAGAGGAAACGATTCTCCTGTTATTCCTGTTTATCCACTCAGTCAAACCGACAGCATCCCGATAACAAAACCTGTTTAAGCAGGTTCAGCGGTAACAGGCAATTGGCCACCTTATGAGGCCCTGTAAATAACACTTACAGAAACTGCAAATTATTCCGTTCCAACATTTCCGTTTTGAAAAAATTTTCCCTTAGTAGCAGTAGCAGAGACAAGCAAAATTAACACGGTCATCATAATCGCTGCGACAGATCCTAAGCACGCAAATAAACCGGAAGATTTAGAAAACCAGATGGAAATTACGCACGCTAATCAAAAAAATTAACTCGGGAGGTTTTTTTTTGATGACTTTGGCCAATATCACCAGCCTGAAGAACTTTGTAGCTTTGTAGTGTTCAACATATTGATATAAGTAAAGCGTTAAATGCTTTAGTTGCAGTGTAGTCAACTAAGCTGAATTTGAAGTAAGACTGTTTATCGCAACGATGTGAAGAATCGACCCATTTCTTAGTCCCCACTTTGTAAAAGAATGAAGTTTTCGCTTACTATACAAATGAACAACACACTAGTTTTCGAGAGAGCTTTTATTTCCTGTGCGTATATCTGGTCAAAACCAACAGATTTATATATTTCAAAGACAATAGTTTTAACAAGGTAAACAAGCACTGTTAGAGATTCAAGAAGACAAAAAAACAAAGGAGAATGGGATGGGCAAGTTAAACTTGAAAATTCAAGCTACGATTTGGAAGATTGTTGAATCAGCGCTTCTTTAGCAGGCCGGGTATCACTCGCACGTGCAATTTTGCATTTTGAATATCTACCTCGGTAATACACGAAACTTGCTGTTAAAAACAAAGCACTTTTCGTAAAAGAACAGCGGATGCACAGATACTAACTTCCTGCCTTTTTAAAGAAACAAAACGAGATGGTAAAGTAGTTTTGTTTTGACTACCCCGGATATGTGATAATTTGCTGGAGAGTAGTTAAACGCAAGCAAGCTAGCATCAATGAGTATTTCAGCTCTATTGTGTAATCTAGTATTAGCTTTCCGATAGTTTCTAGCGAATTTTTCCTAAATTTTTTACCTCACCATGTCTTTAGCAAGCACCGCTTTATTGAAATCTATCGAGACTTCTTTTCAAATGGATGTAATATGACTGATCTTGCCGCCTCACTCGGCTACTTTCTTTCCAAAAAATTTCGATTGTCATTTTGGTTGGTGATCAGTTTCTGAAACTTCCAATTTTTATTTCCCTAAATTTCATCTTTCGACTGGACGAAACTGCATGAGATCATTTCACTTGTTCAAGCTTTACGCTCAGTAGAAGTTGAGTAGGATTTTTCATCGTTTGATTTGAATCAGTGCACATTTGGGAAACATTCTAGACTGAAATTATTCAAAACATGCAATGTTCCGATATCTTCATTACTGCATTTCATCGATAAGTTTAAGTCTAAATTTCTAACAACGCACTTTCAAATGCGTAAGAGAAAATAGTAATCGGATAGACCAACTGATCACACACGATGCTTCTTTAAAAATATGTTTTTATTTGCCACGTCGCCAGAACACCAAACAATCTTCATTACAAATTAGCGGACGAATAATCAGGTGGAAGAAAGAACAACTGTTTCCACAGTGTGTTTCAAGCCTTGCATGGCATTGTTGTATCGCTAAAGCACTAAAGTATTTTCATTAGACCGTCAGTTGATCAAGACATTGCGCCCCGATGTTGCGGGTTTTGATTTGTTAGCTTTAATTTTATAATACTCCTCAGAGATTGATTTCAGCACCTTTATTCGTTTTCATTTAGCTGATATTCAACGAGTGTTGCACTTCTCCGGTGATGTGGCACAACAGTTCATTCAGAAACTCAGAATTGCACTAACTTCTCTTATTTATTTTCATCGCTGATTAGTGAATTACATGCATGAATCGGGTAGATAAACGCTTTACAGTTTGTTCCCAGATGGCGCTTTTTCTTCCCGCATTCAATATTATTACCTTGTTATGATACCTTTATCTTTTATTTAAAGGCAAAGAAATGAAGTGTCAGAAGGAGCCTTTCGAAAACTCTTGACGGGACATTCAAGGTGCATTTCTTCTGTGTCTTTGTATTTTCCTCCGGGTTCCAAAGTCACTGTGGCTCCTTTAAATTGGACCTCGGTGAAAACCTGCCAACGTTCTGAATGTTTATTCACCATAATTGACGAGGCTCCTTCCGGAAAGTGACTGCTCAGGTCATCACAGCTGGCCCAGAACACCTGTGAAAATCATGACTTGATTTACAGATCATGTTTGTGACAGACTCGCAGTTTTCACAAACCAAAATGCCTAAACGAATCTGTCGACGTACCTTAATTTCTGTCTTTCATAACTTAAGAATGCCAGACATGTTTTGAGCTAACCAAAATTATATATATATATATATATATACGCCCAGAACTGGAAAGGTTAGGCATGGCTCTTCCGGAAACTTCAAGTTAAAATTTGCTTCACAACTCTATCAAAAATGTGAGTCATCTCGTTCGCGCGATACTTCGTCACTGCGGTGTACTCGAGTGTACTCAAAGTTCTATGGGGCATGCCCGAAGGTGTTAGGTTGCAAAAGCAACATAGCGTGATCGGTAAGAAGCAAAGATCGTGTAGATTATGTTGCACTAATTAATCTTTATTCGACGAATTTTGAAACAGCTTGTAAAGGCAAAAGGAAATATAAACCCGGGGAAGAATTTTATCAAGTGGAGAGACTTGTCAGCAGGCACAGTGATTGGGGATCAGATCATCAACGAGAGTGATGTAGTTAGGAGCGCTTACTTCAAGATCGCTCTTGTCAACGTTCCCATGCCGTTCCTTCAGAAGATAATACGGTATTTCAACTGACAAAGCAATCTGAGATTCGTCAACATCTTCCCGGCCACGATAATTTTTTGATGGGTTGCTAATTCGAAGATTAGCTTAGGGTTAGCCTTTCACGATCCCTTAATAAATCAGTCATGGTTTGAACTTTAAAAACTAATCGAGAAATGCGTTAGAGATGCTACAGCAATATTGTAATATTTTAATTTTAATTGCCAAGCGGGAAATGTCACAACTACCCACACGACCCACACACGCACACTTACACAGCCTTCCGCAGAGTTCCGCATTGGATATCTTCAAACGTTGTAAACAGTGGACTGCTGATTTTAAGAGCAGCGTATTTGCATATACACTATAACAAATCATATACGAGCTACCTACCATAAAAATGCCCGGCTACATTTCCAAAATTACTAACAAAACAAAGAAGGAAAAGCGCCGATACGGCGAGCGTTTTCTATATTTTTTGCCTTGTTGTGACACATGTTTATTTAACAGCACATTGGATGAACAAGAGAGTTATTTCTCTTCAAATTCGTCGATTTGTCCGAACTTTTAAGTCAATCAACAGGAAATTTCTGGCAGTTCTTGAAGCTTTGTTTGCAGACGATGCTGTTGAGAGTGGTGGAAGGTGAATTCATTCAAGGGTTGATGTTCAAAATCGAGCTTTTCTCAAGTAATATTTGACGAAATTTGAGACTTTGTGAGACGATTTGAGTCTGTGTTAATTTTGTATTAAAATTTGTTCGAACTCATCTTTTAAAATCATCCACCGAACAATATCTTTATTATCACAAAGGTGTTCTCTTTCTTTTAGGGGCGGTGGAAAATTTTTCATCCTCGCTTATGGGTCAGTGATTCTGATATTTATTTTTTTTTATCTCATACATTTCTTTGTAATTATTTCTCCGTCATGTTTAAAAGTGAAATATGATCGATGTCTCGGATTTCTGGTAGCGGGGCTTTTAAAACAGGAAAATAGGTTTGACTGATCTTTTAGCAAGGATCGAATCTCGGGACATATTGTTGTTAAAGTTTAGTAACAGTGCATTTTTTTACCTTTTTAGTTCCTCCATAATTTTGTTTTTCAAACAACTTCAAAGCGAGCTTCTTCTGCAATACAATGAAACAAATAATCACCGACAAAAACCGGAAGGTGAGAAGAACGGCTGAGATTCCTATAGCATGTAGACAAGTTTCTCTGAGGTGAAAATATAACAAGTCAAAATATTTAACAATCCTCATCTTTCGATCTAAAAAGCAAAAACGCACTTTGAAGACAATGAACATGAGTTCCGTTGGGTTTGTTAGGATCAGTTTGCCCAGTTCTGCGATCAGAAAATGTGCTTTCAGTCGTTATTGCATTGATCTGCACGGGAACAGGAATGCCATTTTTGAAAGTACATATCTATTGGAGGAACGGTGCCTGTATTTTTCGGACTTATTTTCAACACTTTAATGAATTGGGACCCCACCCGCGAGGATCGTATTTTCACTTGAATAATTGTTAACTCGGCCAGCCGAAAAGGACACCTCTTTTGCGTTTTCCAGGCGAGCGGAGGCGAGCAATAGGCGAACGTAAGGTTGTCGTGGAAGCTATGGCTAACTGTTCTGATCAAATATGTTATCAGAGACAAACTTACCGGAGCTGTACGAAAACTTTTTACGGGTTTTTATGGGTTTCCCTCATAACGAACTTCAGTAAAAACTTGCCAAGGTCCTGAGTCTTGTTCTACTATGATTGACGCAACACCATTGGGAAAGTAGGGTGTTAAGTCGTCACAACTTGCGCTGAAATTCTGTCAAAAAAAATCGATATATTTCAATAGAGAAACATTTCTGGCTTTGATAAATCGTGCGCACAATTTTTTTATGGTTTATCATTTGTTACAGGCATAAGCCAACCCTGGCGTCGGATGGATACATTAGATATGTAGATGATATGTTCTTCAAGCTTTATGTGCAACTAGTTATCTACTACTGTACCTCCGTATGTCCTCCAAAACTGGGATTATCGAACAATTGTAGTTTTGTTCCCTGCAATGTAAATTAAAAGGGAAACAGGAATTGAAGTGGTCGTTGAATTTGCATGAACGATCCTGCTAGATCAAATATAACATCATCATGAAATGACCTGAGCAAGTCTCTTTAATTCATTCAAGTTTGATGTTTGGCGAAAATAATTGCCTTAGGTGGTGCAAGTACATTTTGTTTCCAAGGGAAACCTAGATAGATATGCGCGTTATTCCAATTCGATTAAGCTACATGTAAAATTAAACACTTACGCAGATTAATCCCAGCGATGTACAAGATTTGTAATACATTTTAAAGGCATTGCGATCTGTCATTCAGGACACTGAGAAACTTATTTTGGATCAACCAATATTTCAATCACGGAAAACTTGTCTAAATTATAACCGGTTTAACCTGTAATACGAACCATCAAATAAACAACTGAGATCATCGAAAAAAAAGCTATTGGATGCTAAGGATAGGCTTGAAAGGTCACTTATTCAGAGAGCTGTTTTCTTTTACTAAGGATTATAACGTGGATTTAAGGACACCTTTTTACGTTGACGACTCTTTCATCCCTTGGTAAATGTATTTTGAATGCCACTATTGAACATATATTTTGAGGACGTTGACCGCTTTTCCCGTTGAGCCAAGCTAGTCTCTCAATAATGCGGTTTTCAGTACTGGCAGGATATTATCAAGTTTGACCTAGTTTAAATATGAAATCAGCCGTAGGAGTCTTGACATCTAAGACATCCAAGACATTCGAAGGAATTCTATCCTTCAGCTGAATGCTGATATTTTAAGAATGCTGATATTTTAATATTAATTTTTTTACTTTGGGGTAAATCAGCTGAAGCGGAGAGAAACGATATTACTTAAGCATCATTTCATAACAGAGATGCGTACGCCACTTGTATGCTTCACTCAGCTTACGTTTTGGAAGCCAATATCGATTTCCTCAAGCAGTCAAAAAAGGTAAAGTACTTGTTCTTGATGGTGACTGTCGTTAAAAAACGATTACACCATCATTTATATAATGGCTTCCGACAACAGTACTCGTAAGGACCACCCTCTCGTGGATGATTAAATGACAAATAATGTTTCGCCTGAGTTCAACCCATGTGTTGTTAGGAAGAAAATTTTGAAAACATTTGAAAATTGTAGGGTTTCAGCCAAATTATAGTGGAAAGGTCACTACTGGTTGGCCTTGTTCTCTTCTCAAAGTACTTGAATAACAAATGAAATCAAGGACAACCTATGGCCAACTTGTGGATAAACTAGTATAGAAATGAAACATGTTTGTCAACTTGCTGATAGCGGTCCTGTAGCATGTAAGGTTGCGTTATTAGTATGGAATATTTAACTCACTTTCCGATCATAAGTCCTTTAAAGTGGTTAACCAATTTGGGTTGGTATGTTCTTGGAGACTCGAACTCTTTCAGAAGATGTGTTATTTAATTGGAGAAGATCAATCATTTTGATCAAAACTTGCGTTGTAAAAATTAAAGTGACTGAGAGAACTCTAAAAAAGTCTCGAGGATTTTAGGTTTCAATTTGTGACTTACTCGAGTCACGGAGAAATCCAGAATGATGGTACTGAACCATCCACCCCCGCAGAATAGTAAACGCATACCTCAGGCGTTCTACAAAACCAGTACAAAGTAAAATCCTGCGTTTATCAAATTTCTGGTTGCAAAATTCATCAAATTTAGTCGCTGCGATTCAAATCTTTCTTTGCCTACACAAGCCAAATTCGCCTATTTTCTGTTCCTATGTCACGTTTCGCCTCACCCTCAATAAATGTTTGCATTTTGAACGCGATGATCTTTGTTTACAAGGTTTTCTCCCGCTTACATCTGATAAAAAACCACAGAACGCACTTCATTCGCGTACCCACAAGTTAAAAACGACCATCTGTTCTTACTAGAAGTCTCGCAGTAAATCTGATTTAACTTAACATCTTACCACTTCTTCTCCGCCATATTCTGTCTCCTCAAACAGCTTTTCCAATTCATTTCTATCGAAAGCCTGGGGGAAAAATCTCGCAATAAATCTGATTTAACTCAATATCTTACCACTACTTTCCCCCCATATTCTTTCTCCTCAAACAGCCGTACCTTGTCTTGTAAGTCACTCATCTCTGGAAAACAGAACGTAAACAATCTTTTAATCACAAAGGCAAGTATATTACTGCCGAGTCATACGGGTCTTAGTATTCCACACCGCCAGAGCTTATCTCAATTTCCTTAGAAGGAAGCCTCTATAGGAGTGTTAATACTTCTATGGGGCCCCAGCCGGATGGCATGATATCCCACTAATTCGTCAACTTTTCAAGACTTTTTGCTCTACCTATTAAGTCTATAGAAATAACACAATGTGTGCATAAGGGATATAGGTGTGAAACACAGATTAGTTGGGAAGACTTCACCTTAAATTTTCACTTCTCAATAGGTCGATGGAACTTCTTTGGCTTCTTGTCAGGTTTGAGGTTGTGGGAGTTTTAAATTTTCTCTTAAGTTCCTCCACCAATTACGCTCTGCGCAATTTATCAGGTATAATGACGGTGATGAACGACTTCCGGATATAGTCATAAATTCAGAGACCTGTCACATCGTCAGAAAGAGTTCGAGTCTCCAAGAACATACCAACCCAAATTTTGGTTTTTCGTGTTATAAACATAACCACTTCGAAGGATTTATGATCGAAAAGAGAGCCAAAGATTCCATGCTAATAAAGCAACCTTACATGCTACGGGACCACTATTAGCAAGTTGACAAATATGTTTCATTTCCATATTACTTTGTCCACAAGTTGGCCATAGGTTTTCTTTGATTATGATTAAATTGTACAAAACCCCTTAACGTAAGATTTTCTCTCAGTATCTATTACTTACTCGATAAGCCTTTCGACAGTTATAGGAAAGGATGATAGAGTTTTATATAGTAACTTACGCCGTCTTTTGTAGTACGTTTAAAGCTTTATTTACACCGTGAGCTGGTTGCAATTGAATGGGCAAGACTTATAAATTCCCCTTCATCGCAAACACTTAAATCGTGTTTTTAGCGATAGATAGCGTTTCTATATTATTTTGATGATTGTGAACGGTTGATCCGTTTTGAACCTGTAGAGGATTCGTAACTTGTAACTGCCATACAAGCGCGTCGCAAGCAAACTTTACTTTGCGTAATTCAAGATTGTATCGCCAGGGAACGCGGCCGACAATAAGAAGCAACATAAAATACAAAAGAAAGAATAAAACACAAGAATAATTAGACAACAAAGAATTTCTAAAAAATTTGCGGAAGAATTTACTTCTCGTGGCTACAAATGGGCAGTTGTGTTCGTTTTTAATGACATAACTTGACTTGTGTTTATGTCAGTATCCGCCAGAGGTTTCGCTCTGTTCACGCAACAGGATATCGGTCAGTTCAGGAAAGGGCTTGAACTTTATCACAAATTAAGTAATACTAGTAACAAAATACGACGGAAACTACAACTGGTAGGATTTTCATACGATAAGAAAAGCGCAAATGTTGAAAGACAAGGAATGTGAGTACATCTCAAGCGCGTGGAATAATCAACAATGAGGAGCTCACCATTCTTCGCTTGCGACATGTCAACCGAAAGTAATGTTCAACAATCGTTTCCGGTGTGGGAACAGGCTCCTTAATCAGCCTTCTTTTAGCTGACTTCGAACTGAATTCGTTAGGTCTGAGATAAAAAGTCTCTCCGGGAAATAAAATTTTTTCCCTTCCTTTTACTTCATGTTCTTGTTCATGTTTTATCTTTTTAAAGTTATTAAATCTCGAATATAGAATAAATACTTCATACCCTTTTAATCCTCCATAGTCGGCATTTTGGAACAACTTTAGTTGTGCTTTTTGCGATGAAATCAAAGGAAACGATTCTTCTGTTATTCCTGTTTATCCACTCAGTCACAAACCGATAGTCCTCAGCATCCCAATAACAAAACCTGTCTAAGCAGGTTCAGCGGTCACAGGTAATTAGCCACCCTAGGAGGCCCTATAAATAATACTTACAAAACTGAAAATTATTCCGTTCCAACATTTCCATTTTGGAAAAAAATTTACCCTTAGAAGCAGAGACAAGCAAAGTTAACATGGTCATCATAATCGCTGCGGCGGATTCTAGGCACGAAAATTAACAGGAAGATTTAGAAAACCGGATGGAAATCACGCACGCTAAACAAAAAAATTAACTCAAGAGGTTTATTCTGATGACTTTGGCCAATGTCACCAGCCTGAAGCACTTTGTAGATCTGTACTGTTCAACATATTGATATAACGCTTTAGTTGCAGTATAGTCAATTGAGATGAATTTGAAGTAAGACTGTTTATCGCAACGATGTGAAGAATCGAGCCATTTCCCAGTCGCCACGTTGTAAAGAATGAAGTTTTCGCTTACTATACAAATGAACTACACACCAGTTTTCGAGAGAGCTGTTATTTTCTGTGCGTATGTCCGCTTAAAATCGACAGATTTTAAAAAGTCTAATAAATTAGAATAATTAACAATTGGTTCATACGTCAGCGTGCGTTCATCGAGATATGAAGCACGCGGGAAGTTTGAAGAGCACGAAAGATGCGTAAGAGTTGCTCAAGGCGTAACTGAAAGCAACTCTAGCTTCTTCTTCATTGCAAACGCTTAAATCGTATTTTTAGCGATAGACAGGGTTCCTTTTTTGTTTTATTGATTGCGAACGGTTCATCCGTTTTGACCCTCCAGAGGATTCGTAGCTTGTACTGAACTGCTATACAAGCGCGTCACAAGCAAACTTTACTTTGCGTAATTAAATATTTTATAGTCAGTTGCGGCCGATAATAAGAAGCGAAGACCGCTCATTTGTGCCGAGTCATTCCGCTTGATTTTCCTAATTGTAGCTTTCACTTCCTGCGTCTTTGCAAACTGAACGACTTCCTTAGTTAAGAAGTTATTCATCACATTGTTTGAAAGTAACATAATGTTTCCGGCGAACATTTAGATCGAACATTTAGATCGAGATTTATACAGGCATATGTGGACCTTAAAGAGAGGGAAAACAAGAATAATTCACACAACGCTATTGCTCATTGACCGATAAAGTAAAGCACAATCAACACTAGATTAAACACAAAAGTCATCTTGAATGAAAATAATTTGGTTTACGAAGGAAAAGAAATCACATTTGATCAGTAGTTTATGGATAACTTTATTCAGTTGGAATTAAATGCTACGAAATTAGTTTAACGTGAGTGGCATACAAGCTCTGAAGAGGCAACAAGAGACAAAGAGGAAAAAGGATGGAAAAGTTTAGCGCAGATTTAAATTGACAGGCTTGAAGATTTTATTAAAAGAGATTTCTTAAAAGATAAAACGGTAAAAACGAACGATAAAATCCGACGTTTCGGAGTAGTCATGACTCCATTATCAAGGTAAAAGTTTAAAACATGCAAATAACAGTATTTAAGCGATGTGGCGCGAAAAATTAACATAATAGGTGCGAAGATTATACAAATACTTTCGCACGAATAGAGTCCATATAAGTTCATATAAGAACTTTAAAGCCAAACCTGAACGTGCAATTTACTTTACATCGTGCGAAAGTTTTGTAAAATCTATAACCTATTATGTTAATTTTTCGCACCACATCGCTTAAATACTGTTATTTGCATGTTTTAAACTTTTACCTTGATAATGGAGTCATGACTACTCCGAAACGTCCGATTTTATCGTTCGTTTTTACCGTTTATCTTTGAAGATTTTAGTTCCTTTTTCAAAGGTTTTGAGTCATCACATATTTAGCAACACAAAGTTTCCCTCACCAAGTGCAATTTTGCATTTATAACATCTGCTTTAGAGATGTGTGACACTTCCTCTTAAAACGAAAGCGCTCTTCGCGAGAGAACTTCAGCGGAACACAAATGTGCATGGGTCCTTACTTCCTCACTTTTTATGGAAACAAATCGGAATTGTAAAGAAGATTGTTTTGATGCTTTGAAGACGCAGAAAACTATTTAACTTGCTGGAAAGAAGCACCAAATAATTGGAAAGTAGGCACAGCGTGCATTAACAGGCTCTCCAGGTTTGTTATATAATATATTATCCGTTTTTCGAACCCGTTAAGGAGATTTTTCCCTTACCTCCTCCGCGGCACGCACCCCTTTGTTGAGAACGATTGAGGCGCCTTTTCAGATCAATGCAATTCGTCTGATCTTGCTGACAAACACTATAACCTGGCCCTCTTCTGAAAGAAATATCGAAATACGTGCAAACATTCGTGCTTTTCAGTTAGAGTGGCTTTGTCAATTGATTAACAATGGCGCTGATAATCATTCGTACACATGACTAAGATTTCTGCGAAACGACTTCACTTTAGTTAAGATGGAAACTTAGAAATGAAGTTGCTATTATTACATCAATGTTTTGTTATAAACAAAATCCTGACTACAGTGCAATGTATGCATCCAACTTACTGAATGTCTCTTTTCCTGTTTCAAATGAACGACTTATTAAAATTCACTCCGTCACCATTCCTTGCAAATAACTTGATTTCGATCGTCATTTTCAGTTAATGATCAGTTTCCTGGAACTTCCAATTTTTATTTCCCTAAATTTCATCTTTCGACTGGATGAAACTGCATGAGATCATTTCACTTGTTCAAGCTTTACGCTCAGCAGAAGTTGAGTAGGATTTTTCATGGTTTGATTTGAATCAGTGCACATTTGGGAAACATTCAAGACTGAAGATTAATCAAAATGTATAATTTTCCGATATCTTCATGACTTTATTTCATTGATAAGTTTAAGTCTAAATTTCTAACAATGCACTTTCAAATTAGTAAGAGAAAAATAATAATCGAATAGACCAACTGATCACACACGATGCTTTTTGTAAAAAAATGTTCTCATTTGCTACGTCGCCAGAACACCAAACAATCTTCGTTACAAATTAGCTGACGAATAATCAGGTGGAAGAGAGAACGACTGTTTCCACAGTGTTTTTCAAGCCTTACAAGGCATTGTTGTATCGCTAAAGCACTAAAGTATTTTCATTTGACTGTCAGTTGATCAAGACATTGCGCCCCGATGTTGCGTTATTAGCATTAAGTTCATAACGCGCCACAGCGATTGATTTCAGCACCTTTATTCGTTTTGGTTTAGCTGATATTCAACGAGTGTTGCACTTCTCCGGTGATGTGGCACAACAGTTCATTCAGAAACTCAGAATTACAGCCAGTAACTTTTTTTGTTTATTTTCATTGCTGATTAGTGGATTACATGCATGAATTGGGTAGATGTTTGTTCCCAGATGGTGCTTTTTCATCCTGCATTCAATACTGTTACCTTTTTATGATACCTTTATCTTAAATTTTTACGGCAAAGAAATTAATTGTGACCAGGAGCCATTCGAAAACTCTTGACGGGAAATTCGAGCTGCATTGCTTCTGTGTTTCTGTATTCTCTTCCAGGTTCCAAAGTCATTGTGGCTCCTCGGAATTGGACCTCGGTGAAAACCTGCCAACGTTTTGAATGTTTATTCACTATAATTGACGAGGCTCCTTTTGGAAAGTCACTGCTCAGGTCATCACAACTAGCCCAGAACACCTATAAAAATCATGACTTGATTTACAGATCATGTTTGCGACAGACTCGCAGTTTTCACAAACCAAAATGCCTAAACGAATCTGTCAACGTATCTTAATTTCTGTCTTTTTCATAGCTTAAGAATGCCAGACATGTTTTGACCTAACCAAAATTAGATATGTACGCCGAGAACTGGAAATATTAATCACGCACGGCGTACATCTCTACCAAAAGGCTAGGCATAACTCTACCGAAAACTTCATGTTAGAATTTGCTTCACAATCTTCTAAAACAGAAAATTAGGTTTGACTGATCTTTTATTAAGGATCGATTCTCGGGACATATTGTTGTTAAAATTTAAAAACAGCAAATTTTTTTACCTTTTTTGCTCCCCCACAATTTTCTTCTTCATACAGTTCCAAAGCGAGCTTCTTCTGCAATACAATGGGACAAATAATCACCGACAAAAACCGGAAGGTGAGGAGAACGACTGAGATTCCTAAAGCATGTAGACAAGTTTCTCTGAGGTGAAAATATAACAGTTCAAAAGATTTAACAATAAGATTTAAAACAAAAACGCACTTCGAAGACAATTAACATGATTTCCATTGGGTTTGTTAGGATCAGTTTGCCCAGTTCTGCAATCAGAAAAAGCTGCCTTAAGTCGTGATTGCATTGATCTGCACTGGAACAAGAATGCCATTTTTGATAGTTCATATCTATTGGAGGCAAGAGTTCAAATCTCGCTTGTGCCTGAATTTTTAGCACTTTCATGAATTGCAGCACCACCTGGGAGGATCGCATTTTCACTTAAATAATTGTTAACTTTGCGTTTTCCAGGCAAGCGGAGGCGAGCGATACACGAACGTGAGGTTGTCGTGGAAGCTATGGCTAACTGTTCTGATCAAATATGTTATCAGAGACAAACTTACTGGAGCTGTACGAAAACTTTTTACGGGTTTTTCGAGCCCTAGCTCGTTGAGGTCCTCATAGTTACCAGGGTACAAATATTTTGAGTTTCCCTGATAGTGGACTCCAGTAAAAGCTTGCCAAGGTCCTGAGTCTTGCTCTACTATGATTGACGCAACACCATTGGGAAAGTAGGGTGTTAGGTCATCACAGCTTGCGCTGAAATTCTGTCCAAAAAAAATCGATATTTTTCAATAGAGAAACATTTCTGGCTTTGATAAATCATGCGCACAATGTTTTTATGGTTTATCATTTGTTACAGGCATAAGCCAACCCTGGCGTCGGATGGATACATTAGGTATGTAGATGATATGTTCTTTAAGCTTTCTATGAAACTATTTATCTACTGTTATACCTCCGTGTGTCCTCCAAAACTGGGATTATCGAACAACTGTAGTTTTGTTCCCTGCAATGTAAATTAAAAGGGAAACAGGAATATATGAACCTTGATGTATGACGAAAAGTAATTGCCTTAAATGGCGCACGTACATTTTGTTTACAAGGGAAACCTAGATACATATGCGCGTTATTCTAATTCGATTGGGCTACATAAAAAATTAGACACTTACCCAAATTGATCCCAAAGAGCGACGTAGAAGATTTCTAATAAATTTTAAAGGCATTGTGATCTGTCATCTAGGACACCGAGAAACTTATACTGGATCAACCAAAACTTCAATCGCGGAAACTTGCCTAAATTATAACCGGTTTAACCTGTAATACGAACTATCCAATAAACAACTGAGATCATCCTCCACAAAAAAAAGCCATTGGATGCTAAGGATACCCATGAAAGGTCACTTATTCAGAGAGCTTTTCTTTTACTAATGATTATATCAAGGAATTAAGGAAGCCTCTTTACGCTGACGACGCTTTTTTTCCTTGGTAAATGTATTTTGAATATAAATTCTTTTAAAAGCTAACTTTTTCGTTTGTCTCACGATGTAGTTACGTGTGATGTAGATCACGATGTTTCGACTGCATACTGCTAGTCTACTTCAGGCGATGAGGTCGACTGGTCATGAGTGATCTTATAAAGCATGATGCTCTGCTGTGATTAGTTGTTTGAGCTATTTTTACTATTTGTTATGTAAGAGGATAGTGTCAGTGTTACATTTGTCAAGTATCGCAAGCAAGTAAAACTCTTAATGGGCAAACTGAGAAAAAAAACAAACTTCTGAATAAGTATTTCAGCATCGTTAATAACTTGGTTACGTTTTTAATTCAATACTTTTTTTTCAATGATTAACGCACAAGAAATACGTGTCTAAGCATATTTATGAATTACCGGAACATTTAAAATTGAATGGACGAATTCATGGACGCTTAAGCTAATTCCTCTGATGATGCCGCTTAACAAAGACTCAAGAAGTTTGTTTTGATGATCTTGGCCAATATTGCCTGACCTAGGGCTTCCTAGTCTGTAATTTTGCAATAATAATTGGGAATGTAAACAGGAATTTACTGAACACGCCCCCTGCGGGGAATGGAGCCATCTTCGTGCCACTTCTCGGAACAGAACAATATCTGGTGATTGGGTGGAGCCTCTTTAATCTTGACATTTTGACAGGTCTCTGGATTTATGACCATATCTGGAAGGCGTTCATCACCGTCATCATACGTGATAAATTGAGAGCGCAACCCTCACAACCTCAAACCTGACAAGAAGCCAAAGAAGTTACATCGACCTGTTGAGAAGTGAAAATTCAAGGTAAAGTCTTCCCAACTAATCTGTGTTTCACATTTATATCCCTTATGCACACATTGTGTTATTTCTATAGAATTAAAAGGTAGAGCAAATGTCTTGAAAAGTAAACGAATTGGTGGGATATCCTGCCATCCGGCTGGGGCCCCATAGTATTAACACTCCTATAGAAGCTTCCTTCTAAGGAAATTGAGATAAGCTCTGGCGGTGTGGAATACTAAGACCCGTATGACTCGGCAGTAATATACTTGCCTTTGTGATTAAAAGACTGTTTACGTTCTGTTTTCTAGAGATGAGTGACTTACAAGAGAAGGTGCGGCTGTTTGAGAAGACAGGATATGGCGGGAAAGAAGCGGTAAGACAGTGAGTTAAATCAGATTTACTGCGAGAGTTTTTCCCCAGGCTTTAGATATAAAAGAGTTGGAAAAGCTGCGATTGCATGGAAGAAAAACTTAAGGCAGTTTCTTTTGACAGCTTTACGAGTGACGCAAAATGTACTTCACTTTTCATTATTTTGCAAGCTAAGGTCTTTAATGTATATGGCAAAAACTTAGCGTTATCAGATGTAAGCGGGAGAAAATCTTGTAAACAAAGTCTGCAAACATTGTGACATAGGAAGAAAAGATGGTCGTTTTTATCAAAATAACCGCTTGTGGGTTCAGACGCGAATGAAAATGGTTTTTCGTATTATAAACGTTCTGTACGTTCCGAGGCAGAAAACTTTGACGTAAGATTTTCTCTCAATGTCTATTACTTCCTCGACAAACCTTTTGAAAGTTTTAAGAAAGGATGATAGAGTTTTATGTAGACACCTACGTCGTATTTTGCAGTAAATTTATAGCTTTTACTTAAAATCGAAATGCCTCCCACTAGTCTATTTAGAGGTCTAGTTCTCTACTTGCTGCTAATATATTTTTCTGTAGCTTTCTGTACAGGACAGACCATTTGAAACTCTTTGATTCACAAGAGTGATCTTAAACATAAACTTTGAAATATCGACAAATTATCCAGAAAGCACGTGAAGAAAATTGATAGAATGATGAGTTGAAGGAAGGTTTTTTAAAGTATAAAGCCCGATTTTCTTAACTTCTGTTCCAGTAAATGCATATTCTCCAAAAGGTAGAATTACTAATCAGATCTTGGGTCCATATGGTTTCTCGCCATAGGTTCTTACCGAGGACAGCCCGGACCTAACTGGTGCTCCAGCAAACCTTCCCAATGGAGCGTCCTCCGTGAAGGTCGGCTCTAAGCAGAGCACGTGGCGGGTGTTCACAGAAATCAACTTCCAAGGAGCTTCCGCCATTTTGTCCCCTGGGAAAGATTATTCAAGCCTGGAGAATATTGGCCTTGCTGGCCCTATCAAGAGCATGCGTGTTCCATAAGCAATTCAGAAGAAGACAGCGTGGAAGTGTTTGAAGCAATCTAGCTATATTTAAGAAGTTAAAGTTAAGTTAAATTCAAGGTTGCAATTTTGTGCTTGACATAAGCTAAGCTGTCCACGGTCTAATAAAAGAATGTCATTCTTCAAGCTGTGAGTCGTTTTGTTCCATGCATGATTAACAGTGCTATTCAATGGGGTGTAATTCCGTGTTAGCAAAGAAAAGCGTCACCCAGATCAGAGGCATTTAAATAAACTAATTAGACAGAAATTAAATTGATACGTTTTCCAGCCAGTCTATAGAAGGAAGACTGAGTTTGTTAAGCCACCTCGTCGCTTCCATGCATTATTTTCTCCCTTTTTTCTGTCTCATCTCTCCTCTTTAGTCAAAGTTTGCGCGAAATTCTCACCCAAATGGAATATAAACTCACGAAAATGTTATGTTATCAATCTCAGCTCTGATACTGCAAGACTGAAAATTATAACGTTATATTGGGCACTTAACTTCGTGAAACAAGAGGCAACATATATTTGGAGGACGTTGACCGTTTTTCCCGTTGAGCCCAACAAGTCTCTCAATAATGTGGTTTTACTGGCAGGATATTATCAAGTTTGGCCTAAATTAAATATGAAATCAGCCGTTAGAGTCTTGACATCTAAGACATCTAGGACTTCAAAGACATCCAAAGGAATTCTATCCTTTAATCAATGCTGATATTTTTATACCATTATGATATTAATTTTTACCTAAGGGTAAATTAGCTGAAGTAGAGAGAAACGATACTACTAAAGCATCATTAGATAACATTACATGACATTACATAACAGAGATGCATGCGCCATTACTCAGCTAATGTTTTGGAAGCCAATATCGATTTCCTCAAGCGGTTAAAAAAAATTACTTGTTCTTGATGAGGACTATGTCGGGAAAAAATCGATTACACCATCATTTACATCATGGCTTCTGACAACAGTACTTGTAAGGACCACCCTCTCGTGGATGATTAATGACAAATAATGTTTCGCGTGGGTTCAACCCATGTACTGTTACGAAGAATTTTTAAAAACATTTGAAAATTGTTAGGTTTCAGCCAAATTATAGTGGAAAGGTCACTACTGGTTGGCCTTGCTCTCTTTTCTAAGTACATGAATAACAAATCAAAGAATATCTATGGCCAACTTTTGGATAAGGTAACGTGGAAATGAAACATGTTTGTCGATTTGCTATTAGTGGTCCTGTAGCAGGTAAGGTTGCTTTATTAGTATGGAATATTTAGCTCACTTTTCGACCATAAGTCCTTTGAAGTGGTTTATTTAATTTATAACACGAAAAACCAAAATTTGGGTTGGTATGTTCTTAGAAACCTCTTGAGACTTTGTTAAGCGGCATCTTGAGAGAAATTAGGTTAAACGTCCGTGAACTTCATCCGTTCAATTTGAAATGCTGTGGTAATTCATAATCATGCCTAGAAACGTATTTCATATGCATAAATTAACAAAAAGAAGTATGGAATTAAAAACGTAACCAAGTTATTAAAGATGCTGAAATACTAATTCAGAATTTTGTTTTTTTTCTCGGTGTGCCTATCAAGAGCTTTGCTTGCTTGCGATACTTGACAAATATAACGCTAATGTCAAGATTACAGAGGCTCCACCCAATCACCAGATATTTTTTTGTTCTAAGTGGCACTTGATTTCCGCAATGTTGTTCAAAGCTTAAAAATTACCGAAAAGTCAGCGGTATTGGCCAAGGTCATCAAAGCAAACCTCTTGAGTCTTAAGATTCAGAAGAATATGCAGACGTCAGAAGAGCTGTCACCATTGCACCACAAAGACACGGGAGGAACATTTGTCTATTCTAGTTGGGCACAGGTATTTCTTGATATATTTTTGTCTTTGGCCAAAGAGTATTTTTAAATTTCAGGAACAACGGTATGGAGAGAATGCCGATTTTTAACAACTCTCTAGTCATAGTGGGAGAATTCACCCACATTTCCCCCTATTTCTTATTGCACAAGTGTCATTTACAGCTTTCCTTATGAAAATGGAAATGGACACAAAGGACAAACATAGAATAAAGGAAGTTAAACTTAGTGTTCGTATTAATTCTTTTCGTTCTGTCTCGCACAGCTTTCCGAAGAAAATGGCACAGGAATCCGTCAAGTTGATATTCTTTGAACGTGAAAACTACGGTGGAAATTACGTGGTATGGCCTTGGCAATTTAAATGCTTTTTTTTTCGTTATCAACTGTTTAACTGTTAACCTTTAGAAAATGATCCTTGTGGCAATATTTACGGATTTCTGAAATGGGTGCGTCCTACATTTTCCAATGAAATTCTTGTGACGTCCGGATCAAATCTGATCGAACATGATCGAACGCATTCGTTTAGATGTTTTTCCCGGGCCTACGATCCATTTGACCAGCTTCATACCTCGACTCGTGGCGCTGACCAAAAGGATTGTATCACATGAGTAAAGACTGTCACACTAATAGGTGCATGCTGATAGAGGGAAATTTGAAGTGAATTCTTACATCCGTTGCATATCTCTGCTGTGCTGTGAGAGAGCTTTCAATATACCTCCCGACCTCGGGCGAGAATCTTCCTCACTTACTGTTAAGGTTTTATGGCTGTATCCCCCTAGAATAAGATTTTACAAGATTCTTAGGCTTAAGCTCGTCAAAAAAAAAAAAAAAAGACTATCCGTACTCGTGACCAACAACTTCTCTCGAAGGCTTAACCCCTCAATCCCTAAGAGTGACTAGGATCTAATTTCTCATTACAATATCACCCCTGAATCAAACATTCAGACTTCTGTACAAATATCACTGCAGGAACTCAGTGAGGGCTCCAACGACTTAACGAAGATGCTTCCGAGGGGAGGTTCGTCTATAATTGTACAGGAAAACGCCGGTCGATGGAGGGCTTTTACTGAAGTAACCTACCAGGGTGCATATGCTATTTTGGAGCCTGGTAAAAGATACAAGTCTCTTGAAGAAATGGGACTCGGAAACCCTGTTAAAAGCTTTCGTAAAGAGTTTTGAGATGTCCTACAAGTATTTTGATTGTAAAAGTTTCAGCATATTTAGTTTGTTATTGATGTTTGTATACCTCTGAGTGCCTGAGAAGAAGAATAAATTCGCTTGTTTTTTCTGAATGACAGTATCATTGTGTTCTCTTTCCTCTCTCGCCACTATCACAACACTGTCTTGTTACTCAGCACTAGACTGATTCTCCCATTCCCTGTTTTGAAAGTATTAAGAGCGTATGAGTTAATTAGAGCTAATCTGAGATCATGATCTCTCTCCTTAGACGTCTTCTCCTTCGTCTTCCACTATCGCAGATAAAAATTCAGCAAGGTTGTATTGTTTATAACGATTAATCTACTGGGGCTTCTAGTGAATTTTTGATATGGTTTAATAGCTTTGTAAACAGTTTTAATAATCATGATTGTTCCTCAAGCTTTGTCCCCCAAATTGTTAAAAAAAAAAACAACGAAACACGAAACCTTACATAACGTTTGGCTAACTAGACAATTTGCGTTCGACGTTAGGAAAACGCATACTATTCGTGTGGCTTCTTTCTAGATGCTGTGCGATGTCATGGTTTGGGCGCCATCTTGGACAGGCTCATCACTCGCCTCGATTTCATGCGAGATCCCGCGGTGTTGATTCGCTTCTGTCACGATGCCATGAAATGATATGTTGATAAATTGGAATCAATTGTTCGCGTGAAATTTAACGTGGAATTCACTCGTCAGGCAGTGAGTTTTTCTATACGGTATTGTTATGATTACATGTGTTTTGATAAATACCAACTAGATCAGGATTTACACAGATGACATTTGACTAAACGACTTTGATTTACTACAAATCCGAACCGTGATCCACGGCACCATTCGTAGGTTTATATTACGCACTAGATTTTTTTACGCCAAGTCAAAAAGATAAATTTTTAAACTGGATCGAACGCACTTCACTAATCCATGATTATTGCGGGCTTAAGACGCCTAATCGGGGGACGGGTGGGTGAGTGCGGTTGACTTTGCTTGGACTGTTACAAACGAAATGCTTGATGGGTAATGAATGTTTGAAATGGCGGAGATACTCTTTGTTCTGCTTCTCGTTGGCGTAATGGGAATTTCCTATGCAGGAGGAGTTTTCTTCGTGAAAATAATCAAGACGAATACTCTTTAGCGATGTTGGTAAGTCTGTTTCTGTGCCTCCGTGTCGATATAAAAAATTATAATGATTATGCAACGAAATCGTCACAAACAGATAGCTTTAGTAAAATTCTGCCAACTTGGAGACTGCCAAGAGACTGGATGTCCAGAAAATTCTCAAACATGGTGTCCAAATAGAGTCGGATCTTTTGGTTAGACGGCCTTGCAAGAAGCTGCAAACGTAGGTCACTCGGCTTCGGTATCACTCCTTAATGCTTACAAGGTGACCGCGACCTCAATTCTTTAGGTTCCGAGGGAGAAACTGCGCCTCACAAATGTATAATCAATAACGACGTGAAAATTATGAAGGTTTTGCTATTTTCGGGATGTGAGGTAGATGTGAGGAACACTGGGGGGCATTCTACTGTTCATGTAGCTGCCTGACTTCATTGATAATTTTGAGGCAGCAAGGTTGTTGTTGAGTTATACACTATCACATAGAGCGGCTTTTAAGCTAAGAGAAAAAGAAACGTTGTGTGGGGAGGGGTTACTTGTTACGTTGCCCATCAGAAACTCAGCCACCCCACCGCCATATAAACTTCGTACATCAAGCATTACAACTTCTCAGAAAATCCTAAAGTTGTATAATAAAATTGAGACAGAACTTGCTAATTAGATAAGCCTATTTTTTTGAGAGAATACTGTTAATGATCAGAGTCGTTTGTCATATCAGCATATTCCTGTCAGGTACCCTTTATTAGGGAATACTCTTAAAACATCAGACCTAGTCAATTGGGAATTGGTTTCTCTTGAAAATCATTTAAACAAATGGTAAGCACCATTTCTTGTCTTCCAGTCTGCAAAGAATGATGGAGAGGAAAGGTAACCCTCAGTTCAATGGTGGGTAAGAGAAGAAACACTTGTCTGTGGATTCGCACAGATGAACCAACCAGGAACTTTAGTAGGACCCTCCAGGGGGGAGTCTCTTAACAGGGAAACATACTCCAGAAGGATGGAGTTGTCATACATAAAAAGACCCCCTTCTCATCTCTCTCCCCCCTCTTAAGCTTTAAGGCCCATTTATTTTTGATTTGTTTTTATTATTGTTTAGCCAGGGGTAGTACTTCAGTAGTGGACTTCAGTAGTACTTCTTCTTGACAATGGAAATGATGTCTTGCTCACAGATGACCAGAGTTACACCTCATTGCACCTTTCTGCAGCATGGGAAAGTGCACCAACTGTTAACTTACTTCTTGCTGCTGGGTCAGATATTAATACATTGAACAGAAAGACAGCTGCTGATGTTGTCAGTCAGTCAGCAGAAGTCTACTTCATGCTATTGCTTGTCAAGCACCTTAGCTACAATACTTTTGCATTTCAGTATCAGGAAATTGCTCTCTTAGGATCCTGTTAAAAAGATCAGTTGGCCTCCAGTGTCCAAGTTTTTATCAAATTACATTGAAAATATTTTTCTGGTGTTTTTCTTTAATTCAGATTAGTGCTCAGATGCAGGTTTATATGTCAACATTGTTATTCTGTATGCAGTAGTGTGAGTTGTAAGAATTTTAGGTCTCTCACCTAAAGAACTTTTATAGATATCATTGCTACTGCTGATGTTGTATTTATAGTGCATTAATTTTTTTTAGAAGCAATTTACTTTGTGAAACACAGGCTTTAATGCTATTTGATAGATTTATTATGTATTTGTTTATTAAATATTTTAAAATTCTGCAATAGATTGATTGTATCATGTTTGTTTAACTGTGAAGAGTGACTAACATTGAATTTCTCCTTAAAAATCATATTACCCCTGAATCAAACATGAAGGTCAGGAGAATAAAGGAAATGATCACTAAAGAAGCTCTTGATTGTTTAAAAAATTCTCTCTGAGAATTCAGAGGATTCTCTCTGAGAACAGTATGGAAAATATGCATACTGATATTGGGTGTAAATTCTATAGGGGTGTAAAGGGTCACGATAAAACAAGTGTCCTGTTTTGTTGTTTTTAATTCCTATTCTCCAAATAATTGCCTTCTTATAATCCCTTTTCTTAATCACCCATTTGTTATTATCATAGCTGCAAAACAAAAGTACCCCAAAATAGTGCTTCTCAAAATGTTAGAGTAAACTGAAAAATTTAGTAGTAGTGGCTCAACTCCCCAATTCCCCAATTCCCTCAATCAATTCCCTCCACTCAATTCCCTCAGTTTCCTCAAAGTAGCTCAATTCCCTGATTTTAATGAGTCAGATCTGGAAAAGGAGAGCGAAATAGTACTATCTTACTGTAAATTTTAAGAATAACGAGCCGCTATCGTTGCTGACGGACTTCTTTGAGGACTTCTATGTTTGGAAATAGAACGCAAGAGACTGAGCTAAGAAGAGATACCAGCCCATTGATCATCCGCGGGACTGGGACGAGGGCATGAAAGCGCCATGGCAACGGGCTGCCTCAACTCGACGAAATCCGCCATTTTAGTTACGGAAAAGCAGAATGAACTTGCGATTCTACGAGAGTTACCGATGAGATCTCTGCTCTTCTAACTCTTTATGGCCGATAGAAACAAGTATTTAACCTTTCTTTCCGTTCTTATCCCTTGTTTTGGCCATTGATGCGAATCTAACTAATAGAAAACTTCGCCATCATTTGTAAACATGTCCAATAAAAGTCGTCAAGATAAAACAAAAACTCCTGCTCAAACGTCCGCTCCACCACCTACCAGCAATGATATTATACCGGGAAGATTTACAGAAGCTGACTGGTAAGAATTTATCTTGATAAATTGTGATGTTTCCTTCACCAATTTTCTTGTTGAAAGAGAGATACTTCTTTTTTTCTAATATGAAACACTCGGAAAGTGTAGAGGGCATGAAAGTTTAGACACCTTAGGAGTTGCTCGAATTGTAACTTAGAGCAGCTTCAGCCTAATGAGTATTTTCTAAACTTTGAAAGTGTTTTATATCGCAGTGAACGGGCAGTATATGCATGGAAAGATTATTTGGTAATATTTTCAATGCGGTACTTTACTTGACGTATAGTTTCTTACCGGATACCGATAGAATTCCTTCTCCAATTCCTCTGTGTGTCTAAACCAATTTTTTTATTTTAATGTTCAGGTATCATATGGTGGACCAGGAGGACGGGGAGGAATTTGTTGTTGATATAGTGAACGAAATTGTGGAATCCACCATGAAAGTCCTTCATGATCAGTATATCATCAGTCAAACATTGCCATATACTATACAAGAGTCTAAAAATTTACTTCTACAAATCATTGAGGTGTGTGTAGTAATGAGACTAAATATTATAACTATTTTGTGAAATTTTGCGCAGGTATAGGGGTACAAATGTTAATACAGTGAACTTTGAATTTAGACATCAGGTTTGATAACTAGAAACCCCCATAAACCCACCCCCAGCCATAGTGGTCACCCTATATGGTACTCCATACTTTTTGTAAGCCTTGAGTTGGAGGTTTTCATAGACTGATTTTCTGCAGAGTGTAGATTTTTTTTTGTCAAAATAAGTTTTAACCACAATTTGTTGGTTGGAGTCGAAATTCCATCCAGTTGTATAACTGTTTAATGTAGCAATTAGATTTCTAGTGTTTATACACTACAAGTAGGAAGAATGAAGCTAAGAAATTAGGCTGGTGGCTGAAATTTCAAGTGGAGTGGCTTAATAATAATGTTCTATATCGAATGACTGTAAGTGTGTAACTGTACCTTAGAAGTGCCCATAATACATTACTGAGTGATCACCCACCATAAAATTATCTAGCAGGGGATTGCCACATTTTTTCTTGAAAATTTTACCAACAGCTGATCCTCAGCAGCAACCCTGGAATAATATCTAATTAGTATCTTTGAATTGCTTATTTTCTAGTGGCAATTTCTTGCCTGTGATGGGGGAGAGAACAACCCTGCTTGCGATGCAACGTGGCTGGAGGAAGATGGTATTGTGTCTAATTGTTTGTTGTTTATGTTGAAGAGATGCCTGAATGCATATACTGAGTGTGGTAATGATGGTTTTTTAGTATTAGATCTAGTTGTTTGTGAAAGTGTTAGTTTTTTTGGATGCAAATGTGTTTCTATATATGGATTATCTTTTGTTAAATATAATTTTATTTAGAACCTGTAACGCCTTTAACTGATTCATGGGCTCAGGGGTCAGTGCCAATCATGTTACGGCCATCTTCAGCATCATCAGTATCATCTATCCAATCAGATCGAGAGTCTGAGCTCTCATCTGTTGCTGAAGAAAGGCCAGGGTAAGTTTTCATAAATGTTTTACATACATTTCTGTATTGACTTGGTAGAGAAAGTACTGAAATTTTTTATGCTTCAGCTTTTTGATAAGCTCTAGGTGGAGTTGTTAATTTATTGAATTACAGTCAAGTTGCCGAAGGACCAACTTGCCCATGTCAACTCTCCCACAGTTAAAATTACTTTTCTATTGCCTTCTAAGTAGTGTTCATCACTTTGATGATCTTTCTCGGATCCATTTATTCTAAATAAAATTTGTAGTTCATATAATTTATATGATTTTTATATATTCAAGTCATTTGTAAACCAAAGTGATACAACATTAGTAGTACCATTACAACAGTAGTAGATGCTGAGATCCAAATCCCTGAACATTTGCTGTGATTCTTTGGCTTATGATATAACACAACATACACAACAACAAGAAACTGTAACATATGAACTTTCTTACTGAAGAAATCCACATTGCCTTAGTGTAATAAGTGTCAGAAAGATGTTGAAAAGCATCCATAGCATCTAAGTGTATGTATGTAATGGTATGGCCATTGCCAAACACTTTGGTTCGTATTGTTACAGCATACAGTTAATGAAACATTATAAAAAAATGAAACTTTAATTACTTTTTTATCATTCTGTAAGACTAATTCTGTGATGAGCTTATTGAAGTGATTTTATGTGTGGGAGAGTCAGTCTGTTGGTGAGTTGGTCAGATACAGTTATATTATTAGGCTTATTATGTTCTTTGTCCATCTTTACTTTGCGTTTAATCTCTTGATACTTGTTCAAGATGCACTCCAATCATTCATGTTTAATTTCCTAATTAGTGCCCCAGAACCACCATTTGAAGCACTGGATGTGCCAGAGACTCCCTTGTCAATAAGTAGTCCAGCACAGCCTACACCAGCTACTGCAGAGAAGAGAAAGGAAAATAAACCTCAAGAGCTTTCAAAGAAGCAGGTGTTTAACAATGAACAATTGGAATGATTATTATTGAAATCTTTTTGTAATTTTTATAATTTGTCTTATCTGATGTTTCTGTTGCTACCCATGTTAAAAGTTCAGTTGTGTGCTTGCAAGGTACTGGAAAACTGTTGGGCAAACCTAATGTAATGCTGGGAGGGGAGGGTGGTAATCATGTATTGACTTCCCCCTTCCCCCCTCCTCTCCCATTCGATTCTAACTGATTCTCACTTTTAAGGTGCAAGGGAAGAAGAAAACATATTCACCATTCAGACCACACAAAGGAAAACTGCCTTCATTTTCTGGAGTAGATCTTACTCCCTTAACTGATGAGTACAGCTTAAGAACAGCAGAAAGATTACAGGAGGCCACAATAGGACACAGGGATACCACTGGATTAACTATGCTGTCATCTTCTACTTCTATTCTGAAGGTATGGGTTAAAAATTCCAGCATGTTATCTGATGAAAAAATATTTTATCTTTCATTATTCTCAATCTTTCTGTCATCCCTAATCATACCTGAAATCTAAAATATCATGGCTTCAAAAGAAATCATCTTTAATTTAGCCATTGATTTGTAGACTTATATTATGACATGAAAATAATTTTAACGTGATGGAATTTGAGACATTTCTGGAAGAGAATTTTATGATGGAAATCAAACTGAATTTTCTTTTCTAAAAAATTGCATACACCTTTTATTTACTTTCCAGTTTTATGTGACTCTTTATAAGTGAACAAATCAACAAATAAATAGGAAAATAAAACTGAGAGCTTGTTGATTGTACAATGAAATTATAGTAATATTCAGTTAGAGTGATTACTGTTGACTAACCTCATTTTAATGAACAACAGTTTTGAAAATCTCAATCCATTTTAATTATTAATTGCTTTGAAAGTATTTTATGCTTTAAAATCCCTGTCATCCTAAAAATTACATTATTTTATATTTCTTACTTTCATTGGCAAAATTAGCCTTTCAATTGGTCACCTTTGTTAAGTTAAATGCTCTTCTATTAACTAGGGATTAACCATTAATGATGGATATTTTGTTATTAAACCACATCACACAGTATATTTAAGTTTGAGACATTTCCTTTTGAGGGTATAAAAGCCAATTGTTGTTCAGACAAGAGTAATCCTGAAAAGCAGATATGTCTGTGACAAGGACAGGGGATTAGCAAACCTGAAGGGATGTCAAGATATTGACTCTGACTGGCTTCTGCAAACCTCAGTCACTAACAGTAACAAATGTTGTCCAGGACAACTCAACTGACCCATATAATTGCATTACATAATCAGTCTCCTAGGTTAACAAAGATGCATGTTGATGTATGGACAGATAAACCTCTGTGGCCATAAACATCTCTAAATTCTCCCCTCTTTTGTTAAACTAAATATGCAGAGGCTTGAAAGGAGGATTTTTAATTTGACTAAATTTTGATTTTGGACCAAACAGTTTCCTTCAGAGAACAGTCGGCTGGAAGAATGTTACTTCTGGTCATCAACACCCTCTTCCTATTCTCAAAGTTGGAGAACTACTAGTAACTACTCTAAAAGTCAGGTAACACAGTCAGAAACATCTACTGTTTAAACTTGAATTAAAATGAAATAGTAAACGTCTGAAGACAATCCTAAAAAAGGCTTCCTTGAATTTTTTTAATCTACACTTTTTTAATGACAAGAATTAACTACGGAAAGTAGCTGCCTCAGAACATATTAATGAAAAATAAAAACAGTGTAAAAAATTATGTAAGTAATGAATAATGCACAACTTAGTTTTTCACATCATTGCTGAAAAATGATATCTACAGCATAAAATTTCTGTGTGAATTACCACACTCTGTTAGCACTCTGTATTGAGATTTTTAAAACTCTACTATGACTTGTCATCAACATCTCCCTCAGTCTTTAGAGTGGGTAGCACAAGTGATATCCTTCTCAGGTAGTCTTCACAGCTAAACTCATCAATTCACTGGAAGAGAGGCAGGGAGAGGAGAACCTTTTGCTTTTGAAACGTGCTCTCCTGTCTTCGTTCCTCTGACTCCTGTCACCTTCCACTTTTTGGAAAGCAGTGCAAATGAATGAATTATTTCCCTCATAGATTCCCTGCTTCCTACCTTTTTACTCTCTCTCTTTCTCTCCCCCCCCCCCCCACTTCCTCGAAATGTTGCCGTGAACAGTAGATCCATTGTTGCATCTTTGTACCTCTGTCCTGGTTAAAGTGGACGAAGGGGGGAGTGTCTCTATCTTGCCTGAAAAAACGCCCCCTCCCCCAAAAATAAATGACGTCTGTCCTGCAGGTTACAATCACAATTGAACAGAAGTCATTTTTGCTATGTACGTTATCTCTGCACAGGCACAGTATGGCCGGCCACCAGGCATTAAAGATGTGCTCTATGATGAGAGGGGAAATGTAGTAGCCGTGATGAAGATTTCACCGGATAAGCTTCCATCGCACAGGTAAAATGTTTTACTTCGAGTTTTTTTCTTTGAGAGAGAGAGAGAGAGAGAGAGAGAGAGAGATCAGGCATCCCTGATTCCTGATTGAATACATTTGAGTGGCATATTTCATTTTATAAACGCATCCCCTTTCCCTCCCCCCTTTCCTTTCCTTTGGAGAACAACCTTTGGCACAAGGCCTGTCTGAATATTTTTTTTTCTAACAGAAGAGCCTAAAATTAATTTGAAGTAATTGGATGCAAACATCAAAGGTATCGACAACAGAATACGGGGGTGTTGAAGTCTGACCCTCCATGGGTGGAGGGGGGGGAGGATTAGATATAATGCGCAAAGCTCCGAGAAATCCTTTAAAAGCATATTACATCCAAGCCATTTACCCTTTTTCTCAACAGGGTTCGAACCAAATTTTCAGTAGTGGACGATGATAATGACATGCAGGTAGTGCGTTCTCGGACAAGACCTAGGAAATACGGCCAAAATCCCCGCAAGATGGAAGCAACGAAGGACTTAAAGGCTTCCAAAAATGCAAGTCTCAAACAAAATATCGATGCAAGTTCGATAAATAACGCATCATATCAGACGGAAAATGCTGGCTACATAACACCCTTACCACCTCCGTTGGTAAGCACTTGTCGGTGTTTGAATTCGATAAAGAAATGATTTTCTTGTCTTTGCACGAATTACATTACCTCGCTCTTCAGTTCCTATACAGGATTGCATTTGACCAAAGTATTCTTATCGGCCAATGAGAACTAAGGTTTAACCCTTTCACTCCCACAAGTGACCAAGACAGGATTTCTCCTTACAATAGTAATACAATATCAAGCAGGCAGGTGATGAGAATGAAGAAAAATATCATTTATGGGATTATTAGATGATCCAATACCAAATTCTCTAAACTAACATCATAAGAATTGTATGGAAGACAGTAAGGAGAATTTATTATTATATCTTGGGAGTGAAAGGGTTAAAATCGTAGGGAACCAATGAGAACGCAAAGTTAAAACAAGTGAACTTCCCGAAGTGCAGGAAACCTCGGAGTAACTGAGGCACGCGATTGGTAAATTTTCGAGTAGTTTTCACATCGCAAGACACAACCTTTGGGCGAGCTTTGTGTATTTCATTTTGAATCGGGGCGTAAAACCGGAAGGTTTGGAATACTTGTGGGGAGCACAGATTTTTCGTAGCCCGCGCCTCCGACAAAACGACTGACAACTTTCTACAAGGCTTATAACCTTCCTGACCCCTCTAGGAAAGGTCAACGTCTGCCAGGAGCTTATATTTCTCTACTTGAAGGATTCACAAAGGAATCATTTGATTTAGCCATATTTATTTTCCACGTATTTATTTATTTATTTACTTATTTTGTTAGGTGGACGCTATGGACATATCTGCTGGTGTTCTCGTGAGGGAAGGGAACATTATTAGACGCGGGCCAAGACAGGTAAAGGGCGTTTTATCGAGCGTAATCCCGCTTTGAATCCCCTTAACGTGATTAGGGTCCCCAAAGTCTATTGGGATTAAAATCCTCGATCGAGTGTAATCCTGCTTTGTTTCCTGAAACCCGATCAAGGTCCCCGATGTGCATTGGGTATTAAGCGCTTTATCGAGCGTCATCCCATTTGGTATCCCGTAACCCGATCAAGCTCTCAAAAGTCTCAAGAGTGAAATAACAATGATAAGTTTCCCTATACAAAGACCACCAAGAACTATTAATCTTGATTTGCCTACTGATGTTTCAGATTCCACGTCGTGCGGAAAAGACTCCCTCCTCAGCTTGTCTGCAACCATTGGACAGCACCCGTACTGCGGGACGGGTCATTGATGACATTCTTACCCGCTCGTCTCCCGTGATCAGACCTCTTCATGCGACGGAACCCATTCCTCCGATAACTTCCCAGCCTCCCACTTATTCTTGATGTCGTTAACATTGTGTTCGATTTCTTTGCGTGTAGATATTGTAAGTCTGTACGAGACAAGGAAGTTAACGTTATCGTTTGTCATCGTAGTATGGCAAGACGACGGATTAAAAACGAAAAAACATTTATTTAACCTCTTAGATACTCATTCAATGTTGTAATTTGGAATTACTCCCTTTCAACCTCGGAGTCTAACCACCAAGCAGCAATTTTCATGAATTGGTGTTCAGAATAGTTGTGTTAAGTTTGCCTCATGATGTGATAAAGTTTGTGTCATGATGGAAGTTGCAGAGCCATACTTTAAAACTGTTTTTTTTCTTTATTCTTTTCGAGGTGAAGGATTTGTGCCTTATGAAAGCTTCTTTGGAAAACGTTCGTTAGTAATTGTTGATATTTCAATATTGTTAGTTGTGAATGATTGTCATTTGAAAATTTAAAAACTGGCTCCTTAGACATGAACGTGTTATGAGATGTATGTCTCTCAGATGTGGCACAAAAAAATTCCCATTTGTAAATACTTCATTAACATGCAGTATTTGTAAATATAATTTGTATCAATTTTTTAACGCTTGTGGACTTCATTTCACTATTTGTTGTAAAAAGAGTTCTATAAGGTTCTTTTCAATCTGTATTTGGAGTGGACGTGACGTAAAGAGGACCTTTTTTGCGAAAGAGGCAAAAGAGCCAAAGGAGTTATCATCGTGACATGCCCAGCCTGCATAGCGAGCGTTTTTATAGCGAGCGTTTTTGCGCCCTTTGTAACATTCAGAGGTAGGCCGAGAAACGGAGGGGTAAGGTCGCGAGAAACTTGGGACGAAATAATTCCAAACCCCACTCGTTTTCGTAGTTCAGCGGTCATCGTTTTCATCGTGCACGTAAGCAAGCCTTAAGTTAAGCAGGCTATGATAGCTTAGATTACCACTCCTTGAAGAATTTATTCGATAAAGTCGTAGACCAGTATTCCATTTTTTATTCTCGCTCGAAAATTATTTCCAAAAACCCTGTTAGTTTGCCTGTAGTTTTCGTTCATACATGTACTCCCAAAACCTCAACATATCAAACTCATGGGGTACAAATAGTCTTAACATGAATATAGTGACCACGCCCACTTCAACGCCCCACTAAAATCGAGTGTAATTTTCGAATGTTTTACCATCGTGCGGATTCTCTACGGAAAAAGCACTCAATGTACCTCTGAAATACTAAACTATAATATTGTGGCTTTCTATTTCGCTAATTTTCTAACTTGAAGGTAAAGTTTTTCCCTCGTCATTTTTACCTTTTCTCCGAGCGGTTGCGTGAAATTAACAAGGCGTTTTTGATCAAAACACGACCGAGCGAAGGGTCTTGGGCGATATCTCTTTTACTCAGGCGCATTTTAAAAATGTACCGCCAGAATCAAAAGGAGGAACAAATTTCCTTTGTTTTGATATGTAAAGTGTCGAAGAAAAAGCAGATTTACCCTCGTCAAATGGCGTTTCAAAACAGCTCTATCTCCCTCCTTTTGATTTTTTCCTGTTTTGTAAGCGTGAAAGCAGTAGGAAAGGGATCGGGATACTCAGAAAGCGCTTCGGGAATTAATCTGCCATCATTTACTTACAAGATAAACAAGTAAGATTTGTGAAGTTCGTTGAAGTATGAAGTCTAGATAAATGCCTTTTTTAAGCTTGTTTGCTGGATTTTTCGTAAACTTCCCTGATTAATTTTTCGTTTCAGCTTACTAATCTATACTATTTCAAAGCAATGCAAAGACGAAGACGGAGAACCATGAGTCGGTCCTCTCAACAATCGTAAACAAAGTGTTTGAGCAATCAGGTATACGAGGAGTAATAATCAATAGCCGCATATCAGAAGTATTCAGAAGGAAAATATTCTGTCTTCAGAAAGCTGTCAAGAAAGCTAGTAATCGTAGTGGAAGGCAATTAAATTCACTTCTTAGCAAGTTGGAAACGGGCCCTCGGTATCGATCTAATATCATATCGATCTCAATATCATACAGTTTTATATCTTTCTTCCGTGGATTCGCCTTTCTAACGGGGGTGTATGTTGAGTATTCATTGCAAAATCGCTTTGTTTTTTCTATTTCCCTCTTTGGTCTGTTCGCAACGGAGAGCATGCGCATTACGTGGGGTTAGTGGTTGCGTACACCTGGAACCGAGAAAAACAAATGTTCGTCGCACTGGGGAAAGAGTTTGAAATGAAACTGACATCAGTTCAAAAAACAATTCGCCGGCTTTCAGTTTATTTTAATGTGAATTTCAAAACATCAAAACCGAAAAGGTACCCCCTGCTTAGCAAATTTCCACGAATAACTATTTTTTATCAAGAATGTAAAGTAAGTGCATTGTTAGCTGTTTTGAAAATTTACTTTTTGGGAATATAAATTAAATTAAAGGTTAAATTTCTACAATCACAACGAGAAAAACAAGAGAAAAGGTAGACTGAAAACTTCGCTCATAGTTGTTGCATAAAGTTGCCGTAGGGCCGTGCTTAACGAGATTTGACGGCTTTGAATGTTTTGTTGTTAAAACATGCGAAGGTAGTTTATGATCATTTGAAAATAAAATATTGCCTTAAAACGGAGAGCTCTAACCCTTCGACAAATTGTTTGTAAAAAAGAGTGACTTTTAAGTCACTAGAACAGTTACGGATGATTAAGTCACTTAATGAAAGAGTTATTGTATTCTTTGCAAAGTTTCGCCAACTTGTCAAAGAGAGACCTTTTGTTTTTACTGTCAAAAAAACAAAATTTCAATATAGTTGACACTTGTCACGGATGATTCGACAAACAAGCGTCGAATTTGTTTAATCCCTTCTTTGATTAGCTCTTAAAATATTTTTAAGGTTTGAAACCGATAACGTTTAGATCGCTTCTAAACTGGAATCGATAAACTTGTCGAGAACTTTGTGAACCGAATAGGGAGCAGTTGTAAAAATTCAGGATCATCAGTGATGGCGAAGCCGCAACGCATGAAGGTAAAATTCGCCGACGAAATGCCGAATTCCAGCGATTTGGTCTGTCCTGGTTGTCGGAAAAGATTCGTGTCACCATTATTGCTTCCTTGTCTTCATACGTTGTGCAAAAAGTGCATTGATGGTGAAAAGATTTCGCCAAGAAATGGAAGCTTACCAAGTTGTTTAGTGTGTTCAAAGGTGCTGGATGTGCGCGGCGAGTTTCCTATCAATTTTGTCGTTAACAACCTGGTCAATAAGGCAGCCGTACAAGATCACACTCCGCTGGAATTTGTCTGTGATAGCTGTGAAGCCGAAGGAGAAAGCGTTACGACACGATGCAATGATTGTTTCCTATTCCTGTGCGAATTTTGTTCTACAGCACATCGCCGAATGAGTGCTACTAAAACGCATACTTTACAGTCAGTAGAGGAGCTTAGGGGACAAATTTTTAAAGGAAATTATGTCCAAAGACAATCCTCCTGTTCTATCCACGTGAAAGAGCGATTACTTTATTTCTGTCAAACTTGCTCACAAATTGTTTGTCGATTATGCTCGCTCGCTGAACACGAGCAACATGAATGTCGCAGAATCACTGATATCACAAAAACGTTCAAAATTAACATGGTAAATCTTGCCGAGCAGTTGAAAGGAAAGCAGAAACACATCACTGAGCAAATATCTCTTATTCAAGAAGATATTTCGACGGTTGAAAACAAGAAGAAGCAGATTCGACTCAGTATTGAGGAATATTTTCAGAAACTGATCGAAGCGATGAAAGATCGCATGTGTGAACTTGTAAATGAGGTCGAAGCTCATTGTAGCACCAAGTTAGAGGCTTTGTTTTCAAAACAAAAGTTACTACAACAGACTGTGACACATGCAAACAGCTGTTGTATGTTCACCGATTCCGCCGTAAAACAAGGCACTGATGTAGAAATATTAAGCATCGGCCAGATTGTTACTCAGCGTTTAACCTCTCTTGTCGACGAAGTTGAACGGAAATCTACTACATATCATCCTGGAAATGAAATGCGCGCCTCGCTTGAATTTGTGGCAGAGAGCGAGAAAATTACTAATGATATAAACCATTTAGGTCACGTAAAAATGCAGTCATCGAGTACGCCTTGCGAGCCTGCATTATGCATTTTGTCTCCCGCCAAAGAGACCCAACAAGTGATCACTGGGGAAGTCAATCGGATGTCTTTGACTTCTGTCAATCAACAAGGAAAAAGACAGCAACGTGGAGGGGATAAAGTGAAGCTGTCATTCTCATTGGCTCGTTCAAGGGTGACGCCAGACAACGCCGGGTTTAAATATGGTTGCCAGGACAACAAAGATGGGACGTACTCCTTAGCTTACGTCATCAACAAACCAGACACCTACTGGCTGCATGTTAGTATAAATGGGAGTCCTGTGGCGGATAGTCCTGTCACAGTCACAGTGCGACCAAGAGACTGGATTGGCAGTCAGCTTATTTTAAAGAGCGAAGACTGTGGAGGATTTTCTCACCCGTACAGTGTGATCGCTGACTCCCACGACCATCTTTTGGTAGCAGATTCTCATAATCACAGAGTTAAAATTCTTTCTTTGAATGGAGAGGTGCTCAAATCATTTGGATCTCAGGGAATGATCGAAGGGCAATTTAACTTCCCGTACTGCTTGGCGCTAAATCGGCGAGGAAACCTAATAATTGTTTCTGATAGTCAAAACCATCGTGTGCAGATTGTCACACCATCGGGTAGACTCGTGAAATGCTTCGGAGGGTTCGGCGATGAAATTGGAAAGTTTAAAAATCCACTTGGTGTCGCTATTGACTCGGATGACGTCATCTACGTGGCCGACTCCGGTAACAGCAGGATTCAAATATTTTCCCGTGAGGGAATCCCTAGGGGGATGATTGTGTCTAAGGAAATGTCATGCCCGTGGGGGTTGGCTGTAAGCAAAGACAGTCATATTGTAGTGACAGACTATAATAATCACCGGGTGTGTGTATTTAACAAGGACGGTTCAGTCGCCCTCCAGTTTGGCTCTCGGGGGAATGCCGACGGGTTACTGAACAATCCGGCGGGTATTACCGTAGATGACCAGGGGCAATATGTCGTTGCGGATCGAAGTAACCACCGGGTGCAGATGTTTCATCCAAATGGAACTTTTGCCACTAAATTTGGTGGAAAAGGTCAGGGGGATGGATTAATGATGTTCCCTGCAGGAGTTGCTGTGGACAAAAAAGGTCATCTTTATGTCGCGGACACGTTCAATGATCGCATCCAGGTGTTCTCATTGGCAGCAGTATAAGAAATATATCGGATCCATATGTTAGGCGGCGAGCAGGCTCTCATTATCAGCGCTTCAGCTCGAGCGTTTTTCGCCCGCGGAAAAGTTTGAAGTCTTGAGCACTGGCACGAGCCGGCGAGAGGTCTGCAACATGCGAGGAGTCCAACAATCATCAGTTAGTGTTACACCCCGGGGAAACCTCTCCCCAACTCGTCTCCAATCTTCCCGCGGACGGAGAAACGCTCGTCCTACTGCGCTTATGATGAGAGCAAATTCAATAAAACATAACTCTTCTTCACAAAAAATACAAAAATGAATTCCTAAGTTTCTGCGCCGACGCATCTCAGTAAGGGGGTTCAGCGGGCGTCCTGGCGCGATTCAGTTCAGTTTCTCATTTTTCTATTTTTTTCTGACATAATTTGTATATTCAGTTATATTATATGACAAGTTAGTCCTGAAGTAAATCAGAACGTTCTGATTGGTTCTTAGCTGGTAGGGATTTTGCCATACGGACTGTTTCCACGGAGACGGTCCTAAGCCATGTGTTTTCGTTCATGCAAGCGAGCAAATTCAAAGTAAAGAAGTTTGGTCCAAGTGCTGCATAGTGAACTATTTACTAACTTTGCTTGCTCGAGTGGTACTGAGGAATATTGGCTCTTGGTTGTTTTAGTACAGACCTCGTTACGTTATGCCCGGTCCGTACTTTCAGTACGGCCCTCGCGTACGTTTAGTAAGAAGTTAATGTCCTCCATTATAATCAAACAATTGTTATGCGTGCTCTCGATTGGACCAAACGCATCATCTGATTGAATATGCCATGGCTAAAAAAATTGGGAATATCTTGTGATATATTCCAAATGATATCCTCCAATATTCCCCTGTAGCTCATCGTTTTCTTAGAGCTTGGTCCTCAGGAAAACTGTTCGTTTCTCGTAACAGGTCTACATAATGTCCGCGGACAAATATCCTAGCATATTTTCGCGAGACCAATGTTTCTCATATTACCAACCCCAAAGAAGGTTAATTTTATTGGCGTGAAATTGGTGTTTAATATTTCATTGGTTTATTTACACGTTATGGTAATAGAGGGAACGAGTACCCCTGACAACAAGAAGCAAACGAGTTCCTCAGATCTTATTACACGCCAGCGAAAACCACGATTTTCAAAGTCACCAATGGCTCTGCTTTGTGTGGTACCCTAAATTTAGCATTTAAATCGTTGTACGCGAAATAACCTGTGAAAATTATTTCTTGACTCTCAGGAAAAACGGCGATCATTTTTTTCCTTGCGCGGTTGCTGGTCATTGTCAGGTCGGGACAAGATGATCAATATTTGCGGCGTCTTAATTAAGACGCCCGCCGTTTCGCTGAGAACAAAGCTTCATTAGAATCAACGAGAAAAATTTCGCAATTTTATATTTCTAGTTTTGCACTCCTTTGCAAATCGGATTTTTATCAAATTTGATGCAAGGAAAGTTTTTTTGGTAAATTTTATTCAAAAGGGTGAGGCTTCAGCATGAAAATGAGGCCAGAGCGCGCAGCCGCCGTAAGCAACTTGCTGCATTTGTTGTTTATGTGTCGCTTCACTGAAGGCCGCAGCTGAGAGAGACGAAGGTGACAGGCGAAATCTGGTTCCATCTTGGTGTGAATGATCGCAGCTACCGGCCGTTACTCTCAGTCGTATATTTTAGGGTCTTTGGAAGATGGCAAGCCAAGATGGGAAGTTGCCAACGTCGGATAGAGTACTCAAAAGTAAGCTTCCAGAAAATCGCTGATCTTGCCAACCGTTGCTTCGATAGCCGCCATTTTGCCTTGGTAATACATGTTTTTTAATTCTTCTTCTTTCTTATTATAGCTGTTCCTATGCCACCGATCGAACGCCTCGCGATCAGCGATGTTTTCGACACGAATGGAAAACCAAAAGCCGATGTGTTGAAGAGTCATTTCTTAAAAGAGGGAAGAGTAGAAGAAGAGGTTGCTCTTAAAATCATACAGGATACCACGGAACTTTTACAAAGAGAGCCTACGATGCTGGATGTCGAAGCACCTATAACAGGTAGGCAAATTAGCCGTTTGTATTTTGCCGGTATTGACTCAAAGATCTGGAGCAGGTCGCACGCGTAGATAAGAGTTCGAGAAGTAACCATCGCTGTTGTTTTATTTGTCTTTCCATCTTCTGTAGTTTGTGGTGATATTCACGGTCAGTTTTACGATTTAATCAAATTATTCGAAGTCGGAGGATCACCAAGTTCGACAAGATACTTATTTCTTGGAGATTACGTGGACAGAGGGTATTTTTCAATCGAGGTAAGCGTATTACCTTCTAAAACTGTTACGTTATCAGCTTGATTTTGAAACGCTTAAGTACACTTTCCCTTCGTTGTTCGTAACAAAACATAAGGTTATCCTGCATTAGACAAGGCCTGCCTCCGTTTTATCGCCTTAGAGATATAAAACGCTATCAATCTGTATTTAATATCATTTTTCCGTTGTTTCTTCTGCAGTGTGTTTTATACCTATGGGCGTTAAAACTCCTTTATCCCAATACTCTCTTTATGCTCCGTGGAAATCACGAATGTCGTCACTTAACAGAATACTTCACCTTCAAAACAGAATGTAAGTGTCTTTGTTCTGATGTAGAGAAGCTTAAAATTCCCTTTAATTCCCATTTTAAGATTTCTTATTGCACGATCTGTAACCAACCGAGGCTTGCAATCGATCAAAACGACGACGCCTTCCAGAACCCCGCACAAGAGTAATTATTTTATCGAACAATCAATCGTCGTTCCAAGGTAGAGCTTCCTTTGAAGAAATTTCAAGTGTCATTTGTGAACAAATTCACGCCGCCTGTTTCTGTTCTGTTCTATATTTATTCTTGGTCAGGTCGCCGTGGAACTTTGAACCTTTCTTGAGATTTTTGCTTTACATAGACCCGTTGGATTTTCATGAATAAATCATTAAGTTGCGCTTTTAAAATTTACATCTTTATTGTGGCCAGCGATGGTTAAGTGCGAAGTAACATTAAAAAGATCCTTTTTTTCCACGAATTTAGATGTCAAGCAAAGGGCGAGAAATCTCAGTTTACCCGTTTGTTATTGATATTTTGATGTCACGAAATATTTCCTCGCACGAATTCGAGATTTTTCATCGGAGTACCTAGCTGGAGTGCTTCTTTGTTGTTCCTCACTGTTCACCTTTTGTAGTAGTATATTGACTCTGCCATCATTTTATATTTTTCTTCCTTAAAATTTTTCCTTGGCAAGAATTTGCAACTATGAACTTTGCAGGGTATGATTATGACAGTATTTAATCAGACGGGATGCGTGAATTTTTCTGTTGATTGAAAAACAGGTGTTAAATTGAAACATTGTTTATCACATATCTAGCTTGGGACAGCTTGAAGTATCACAACAACAATTCTGCTCAGCAGTACCTTCTTTGTGGAGGCGAACGTGACCCAAATTGGGGTTAAATTCGTTTTAATCACAATGGATGCAATTCATTCAGTGGTCTTCACAAGGTTCTTCCGAGAGAACTCTTAAATAATATCAATGATAAGGAATATTTATGCAGGGTAGCCCTTCATAACATAAGTGCTGTTATCAAAGGGATCCTGTTCAGATAAATATAAATAGAAACTTAAAATGTGATGATAACTTTGTAACTTATGCCAAAACAGCTGAGGCAAACCTACATCCATTAACTACGCTTTACAAAACATTCACAACAAAAGTTCCTTACCTGAAACTTACTGTTATTCTACTTGGTCGTTAAGGTAAAGAGTTAGGGATGAAGTAACTAAAAATAAATAAAAAATAAAACTGACAAGCTGTCATATTAAAGCCTGTTAGTTTCTTGAATGTAATTAAACTTGAACAAGTTTGATATCTTGAAAATTTCACCCCAAATTTTTGACAAAATGATTTCTTTCTGGCATTCTGTGTTCCACATATTTTATGTTTAACTTTGAAACACTATCTTCTTACAGGCAAGATCAAATACACAGAAAAAGTGTATGATGCTTGCATGCAGTCATTTGATTGTCTTCCTTTGGCTGCTCTGATGAACAGACAATTTCTCTGTGTGCATGGTGGATTGTCCCCAGAGATCTATAGCCTAGATGACATAAGAAAGGTGAGAGCATAGCTAGATTTATTAGTAATTCTCATTACTGTCTGTCGTACAATTCTAATGAGGTTAGTTTGGAGAATTTGGTTTTGGATCAACCATTCATTCCCCAATATTGAAATTGTTCATTATTCTCATCACTTGTGTGCTTAATATTGTTTTGATATTGTAAGACAAATTCTGTCCTGGTTGCTCATGGGAGTTAAAGGGTTAAATATACTGATCTTTCAAGTTCTGTTGGAAGTTAGTCCTTGGTATCCTCAGTTTGATGCAACAATATTATTCTGTTTTGAATCAAGAGCTCATTCAAGGGTTAATTGAGCATCAGGGAAAGCTTTTTGTGTCATGAGTAGCAGTGGAATGTATTAACAGAAATGAACTCTTTGCAGATTGATAGATTCACTGAGCCCCCAGCCTTTGGTCCAATGTGTGATCTTCTGTGGTCTGATCCTTTGGAAGATTACGGCAATGAGAAAAACAGCGAGCATTACAGTCACAACACAGTCAGAGGGTGTTCATACTTCTACAGGTAATTTGTTCTGCTTCAATAAATGGGTAGAAGATCCTTTTAATTGAAGAGCTTGTAGTAATTTTTTTTGTCTTTTTAACCATGATCTTCAACTCTTGCATGCTCAAGTTCCATCTAAAATTATAAAGTGAGGCCTGATGGAGGTTTTATCATAGCATTATTCTGTTGGGAAGTACAGTACTTCTGCACTTGAAACAAAGACTCAGTGTAAACATTACAGGAATGCAACCATACCATAAGCTTAATGACCTGACCTGAGTAATTTTTGATATGTGTAATTGGGTATTTGACATATCACAGAGAGTTTGATAACAGAATAGATGTTCACATGATTTAGATTTTGTTTGAGGACCAAAGTGCTAAGATTCCTTGTGGGCTAGTCATTGAATAGACAAGGAGAATTTGTGTTGTTTCTTTTTCTGTTGAACTTTGTATCGCAAACCTCTCATTGTTATTGTGTTTGTACTTTATTTATAGTTACCAGGCAACCTGCGATTTCCTTCAAAAGAATAACTTGCTTTCAATAATCAGAGCACATGAAGCACAGGATGCTGGGTAAGTAACAGGAGTTGTCATCTCCCTGAGTTTTGTCATTGTCCTCTCTAGCATTATTTATTATTCCAGAAGATATTTATGTGACTAAGGACTAGTCACAAGAATCCTTTAACATTTCAAATTGCTAATCAAACATATTGGAACATTCAGGTACCGAATGTACAGGAAAAGTCAAGAAACTGGGTTTCCATCTCTCATCACAATTTTTTCAGCTCCCAATTATCTGGATGTCTACAATAACAAAGGTTTGTAAGACGATAACAGGTGAACTTCAAGTTGAGAAAATGCTTGCCATACTTTTCCATGAATATGAATTTATTGACTTGTTTATATTTTCAGCCGCTGTATTGAAATATGAAAATAATGTGATGAATATCCGACAGTTCAACTGTTCTCCTCATCCTTACTGGCTTCCAAATTTTATGGATGTTTTTACATGGTCTTTGCCGTTTGTTGGGGAGAAAGGTGAGTCTTATATTGCTGAAATTTTTACACTTGTTGATGATGCATTGTCATTACTTTCACATTGCTTCTCTTCACTCTGTGGGATGAATGGATTTTGGTGAACTGTCAGTGAACTTTAAAAAATGCTTGTAGGTATCTGCTGTGGAGTAGCATCCCAACTGGGGTGGTAGATAGAACCTGAAAGGGTTGTCACTAAGTGTTGGCTGCCAGGAAAATTTTGGTGGACAATAAAGCAGTGATCATAGGCTGGACTTTTTGCTATAAAGCTATGCACTCACAGTTGTACAATATCAAATACTATAGTTTCAGTGAAAAGTTTGAAATTTTTGTCTTATGAACTGGAGTGTTAGGAACCACAAGCACAATAGTTGAATTAAGAGATTGTTTTGAACACTTGTTTACTGTGACTGGTTTCCCTTTATTGCATCTACCATTTTGTAAACAGGACGCTTAGTAGCCTTGCATTCAAAACATTGCAAAAGACAGTTCAACTGAATTTTCAGCCACCAGCTTAATTTCATAGCTACAACCTTACCTCTAACCATTTCATGCTATGAAAATTGGGTTAAACTCCAGAATTGTGAGTCAGAAATGATCTAAGAGGTTACATAACCTTAAGCTGTGTTTCTTACCTCCTCTTGTTTTGTTTTCAGTCACCGAAATGCTTGTGAATATTCTTAATATTTGCACTGATGAAGAACTTGAAGGAGAGGAAGATGAAGAACAAAGTGAAGCCATCAAAAGGAAAGAAGTTATACGCAGCAAAATACGAGCCATTGGTAAAATGGCAAGAGTGTTCACTGTGCTCAGGTACTTTAGTGAAACACTTGGTTTACTTTTTGACCAAATGTTCCCAACAGCTTTTGAATTTGTAAAGGTAATATCATGATTCTGACTGCAATGTGGTGTCGATAAGTGCAAGTAGTGCTAATTACACCAAATTGCATGAGAAATCATGTTATTACTGGTTAAAAATGTACATGAAAAAATATCACAGAAAGTTAAGACAAACATGCCCAATTTGTAATATGCACTCATGTTACAACTTTGCACTCATGTTACATAAGAATGCACACATTTTCAGCCAATCAAAAGCACTTTTTTATTTTCATGTTTATTAAAATAATAAGAGAATTCATACGATGTATACTTGCATTTCTCCTATTGCTTAATGTTTTTGTTTTTTTTTTCGGTTTGGTGCACTGTTTTGGATCATCTCCAAGGGACTATTTTGTGGTTTATGCATTTTGAAAAAATTGGCAGAAACTGTATTAGTTAATTGTTTGCAATGTGTAATAGGGTGATGGCAAACTGTCAGGGGAGTGGTAAATGCAACTTGTGATGGATTTGAATTCCATCCAGGGGATCCAGGGTTAATCACTTTGTCCATCTGAAACAATGGATTGAAGTAGTGGGTATTTATGAGCCTTCCAGTACTAAGACTTACATGTAAGAAGATAGCTATGCACCTTGTAGCTATTCATTTCTTGGTATCTTGTAGCTCATTATGTTAATCAGCTGTATTTGTGTTTTAGAGAGGAAAGTGAGAGTGTAGTGCAACTGAAAGGACTCACTCCTTCAGGACACTTGCCTGTTGGACTTCTGTCTGGTGGCAAACAAGGGCTTCAGAGTGGTAAGCTGTGTTAAATTTTCTTCTTTAAATTTGGTTCAAATTTTTAACATAACATGTGCTGAACCTGAAAAAGCTCATTTTTGAACCACATACATTGTTGTAGCTTTGATAGTTTTATATTTGGGTTGATCTGCTGCTCTGTCAAACTGGCCTTTTTTCATGGGACAGTTAAGAGTGAGCTGGACTTTTTATGGTGTGATGCGAATGTGGGCAATGTGTTGATGTATCAGCTAATATAAAGAGGTCTTTGACTGGCCAAAAAGACAATCTAGATGCAAGGTCTGTTGAACTTTAACATATTCCAACAGAATATGTTATCCTTAAGGAAAAAGGATCACTCTGAATGCATGTTTACGATGCCCCTGAGCATTTTTTTCTTTTTTATAATCTTTTCTTTAGCTTTACAAGGGCAAGTATTTAGCCCCAATCACAAAATCAGTGGCTTTGCTGAAGCCAAGGGACTTGACCAGGTGAATGAAAGAATGCCACCCAGGAAGGACTTACCAGTACAACCAGGGACAAAGTGATACCACAGACAGACCAAACATTCCCAAACCTTGGAGACTCATCATCAACCATTAGTATTGTAGTATAATATTATTATTACCTATGTGAATATCTGTATAAAATAGTAAAATCTGCTTTACAAAAAGCTCACTAATAAACAATGTTTGGATGTAATATTTAAGTAAAATTTGTGTTGCAATGATAACTAGGTTAGCCCCTTCCTTTTCGTGCTGGCATTTTCTGCTAGGTTGGCTCAGCATAGAAAGTGATAAAGAACTATGGAGCTCTGTTCTGTGGTATTCCTGTCTTTTGGGATGTCCCAGTGGCTAGTATGTAATCATTTCTGCTCCAATCATTCATACAAACTCCAAGGCTATGATTTCCTGGTATATAATTATACAGTGTATAAATCATATCTATTGTAGGTAGGATGTGGAGATGACTTCGTTCAATTTTGTTTTTTATTTCATTTTAAGGTGGCTATATTTTCACCTACTCAGCCTAAAGACCATAATACTGATTCTCTTCCCAGATTTCTGTACAAAAACTATCTCATGCTGTAAGAATTTGTGGTAAATCAGACAATATCCCCTTGTTGCTTATAAAATAAGTTTGCCATTATAGTGTCCTAGAATGTAAAATTTATTGAGAAATTGTGGGTTTTGATTGTAATTTTTTGTATTTATATGCTTTGAAATTTGTCTTCTGGAAAGGAGAATTTTTTCCACCACTAGTTTTAAATCTTTACAAGGCAATATTCACGTGGCTGTTATATGGAAAAGAAATGCTGCTCATGGAGATATGTGTGACAGTAGTGGTGAGTGTGGCCCCCCTGTCTATAAAGGGAGAAACTTTGTTTTGATCTCATAAGCCAGGTACCTCTATCAACTCTTTAACTACCAAGATCTGATTGTCAATTCTCCCTCCCAGCTGTAACAAATTTCCTTGTGAATTAGTTTTGAGAATTTGGTGTTAGATCAAGAGAAATTCACTTGGAGCCTGACAAATCGGAGTATTTTCATTATCTGTTTGTTAGGTTATGTACAGATATTTTAGGGAGAGGTTACATGTTCATCATCTCTGGGAATTAAAAAGCTAAGTGACTAGTCAAGACTTTTATTTATGGAAAATCCTCCAACAGTTTGCTACTTGCAGTTTCTTTGATCACATCGTCCATATAATTTTGAGATTTGTTGGATACTTGTATAAAAAAGAAATGACACTTTGTTTCCAGATATAATCATAAATAAGTGATTTCAGAGCTTAAATTGAAATCTCAATCATCATCCCTGAAATTAAGCTTCAAGACAGTATGGAAACAGCTGCCCACTATTTAGCAAATTCAATTTTCCACGTCAAGTCCTCCTGTGTATTATGTTTTTAATCGTGGAAGAATAAATATGTTTTGTGAATGTTATGCCTGATGGGAGACGATCTATGCTTGCTTATATAAAGCATTATGGCCCAAAAAATAGTTGTAACGGAATTATGTAATGTAGGCGTAGACATTTTATTTATGATTTTAAAGCGAAGTAAAACTATAAGTAACTGGTTTGAATTAAATATCTTATGATGAAGAAAATATTGTTATTACATCCATAATTGATTGTATCCTTCTCTAAGTTGTTGATGTCAGAGGGCGATGTCAGAAACTTCATTTTCATCACGATGGTATCAGGAACGAACCGTCGAGGACCATGAAGCGAGACACCGACAAATGTCACGTTGTATTTAAGCGAGCGAACTGAGTAAAAGCGGAACGAAAATGATAATAAGCGTACACCATCCTCTGCGTGCTTTGATGAAGAGTAGCTCTAAAAAATGATAGATGCATTTGATCGATTATTTTTACTTGCGCTCAATTCACCTTCACTGAAGTCTTCGCCACTTTCCCACTTTTAGGGCTCAACCTAGGGGCATTGGTAGAATCTTAAGAGGTGGGTGGGTGGGGGGGGGGGGGGGTCGTCTACACCGGCAGTGCAAGAATTCGAGGGCAAACCAAGATGGTTTTCAAATTACGAATGTGAATAATTTCGTTGATTACGTGCCCAAAGCCTCACCCCCACCCAGACGGCGCTCTTGACGATCAACTTTAACGTTACGCAAGGCTCCAGTTAGGCATTGAATGGACAACGGTGTTAGAAACAGTTTGGAACTAGGATTCACCTTCATCGCTCACTCGTGTCAAAGGTCTCTTTTTTTTTTTTTTTTTTTTTTTTTTTCCCTGAAACACCCCCATGTTGAGACAGCAATCACAACTTAACATTTAATTTAATATTTCAACCGGGAACCCGATAGGCTCCTGTTTCAACTAATTTCTTTTATTTTTTTAATCTAGACTTAAGCTTAATTACTTGTTGCACCAGAAACTGCGTTATGTAAGTCTATGAGCGAACGAATAAACAATGAATGGCCAATGATATGGGGCCTTTAATGATGATAACGCGATAAAAACTTCCAAAGAAAACCGAAATTCTGATGTAATTCCACGAGGATTTTCAGAAAATGACACACGTTTTCCTTTGACCCCCATGAGTGACTGGCATCTAATTTCACCTAGCAATAACACCCCCGCATCACACATTTGAGGTCATGAAAAAAAAAATGATTACCAGTAAAAGAAGCCCTTGGTTGTTAAGGTGGGACTTAACCTAAAAAAGACCCCTTTTTTCAATGACTTGTCACATCCACAGTTTTTAGTTAAACCATATAAAACCATATATCACTGAAAAGCTAATGAATCACAGATTTCAGTTTTTTCAATTATTTCTGCACACAGTTTATTTGTAACCTGATACCAGCAAAATATTGTTACCCCATACTGTGCACAACCCACATGTACTCTAGAAAAGAAATCTTGATATGGAATGCAGCTAGCTCTGATTTGTTTTTATAACTATATAGTATATAGGCTAATCATGGGGATGAGCATAGAGTTTTAAAAAATATAAAAAACTTTGGTTCCAGCCTCCAGTTAAAGTAAAGCAAAATTTTTGGGGTGAATTTCCACCACAATTTTCTTTGTAACTTTTGACAAAGTAAAGCTACAGAAAAACCCTTTGCTCATTCCCAGACACTCTTTGAAAGCAATAAACATTGAAAATTTCAAGTCAATTGGTTAAATCCTCTATGAGATATGTTTTCTAGAATGCGCAAAATGCACATTTTGAGAAAAGTGCGATTAAAGTTAAAAAGCTAAAACGAAGATTGTCTGCACAAATTTGCATGGCTATGAACTATCCAATATCATAGCAAATGTTTCTTTCAGTCACTTAGAAGCCTCCAGGTTCATAGGTATCACCATCAGCCTCCCGTAGGGCATCTTCTCTGCGTGTGCGCCTCATTTGCTCTCCTTGCCGGCGCTTCTTTTCTTTAGCAGAGGTCTGAAGGTCCGATTTTCTCAACCGCCTCTTGTCCTTTTCTTCTGAGGCCTTCTGAGTGTACTCCCCTGCTGGAATTACCAGTCTCTGCATTATTCTTGCTCTGCTGGCAGCTCCACTATGAAAATGGCACACAGTAGAAGCTTCAAGGCAGGAGCTACACTCCACAGAGAGGTCTGCCATTAGCCCATTTCTCCCAGAAGAATTCTCCTTCAGAGTTAAACTCCCTAGAACATAATAACAGTATACACTAAAGTTATTTTGTGCATTCTCATACATGTATATGAGTCACAAAATTTATTCACCACATACCACACAACAGACAGTTACAACTGTAATTTTTAATAAATGAAAACAATAAAGATAGTACTGAAGAGAAGTAAAAAAACATTCTTAGAGAAAAAAATGGAAACTGCACACTGTTACTAGCATATGCTACGAGACATGAACAGTAAAGAAAAGGTTAAAAGTAAAACAGATGTTCACTTATGTTTTCTCACCTTCCTCGCACACATGTGCTTCAGACAACGTGGCATATAATTTCTTGAGGTCTACAAGTCTGTATCCCTCTCCCTGAAAATCATTTACATCAGAAATCTTTGATGAACTATCTGGTGAATCTTCTGGTCTCATTTTGAGTCTCGAAGCACTGATGGAAGCACTTTCGGCATCTGACAGAGCCTCATCACACGAGGAACTCGATGCTGAGTTTGTGACTTCTCTATCCGCACGCGGCATTTTCTTCGCTTTCCTTGCGTATCTCTGCACTCCAGTAAAAGGCTTTCCTTTCCGCTTTCTTCTATATACAGTATTCTTCTTCCCTCCTGGCATTTTAGACAAAAACTTCGCTGATATAAAACTCGAATCTCGCTCTCACAGTATCTCCACAGTTGAAAACACGCCAGCTTTCAATCCCACGCCACCTCCGACTAGCTATACTTCATGTAAGGGGTCATATAGCTTCCTCTTGAAAATACTGAGGAAATTCTAGGAATTGGATGGACTTTCGGGCTTCAAATTGGAGCAAGACTGAAAGATGCTACGTTGCGTTGCCATGGTAACCAAAAATATTTTTTTACTAGCTTGCAGAAAACTTATCGTAGGCAACAAAATAAAGCAAATTAGTCTTAAAAACTCATGTCATGGCTTTCTTCTATGCCTGAAGTTTCAGATTTCTCCAAAAACAAAAATTGCATTTTGTAGTCAAATTTTAGGTTAAGTCCCACCTTAAGTAACTTCTAGTCAGCAACTTAAGAAAAGTGTATAGAACAGTAGGGACAATATGCATGCTGATATAAGTAAACGATTAACTGAATTCGTTTGACGTGTTTTCAACAGCATTTCAAAATATAAAAAACTTCTTTCAACGACTAGCAATACTAAGCAAGCATACCATGAAAGAAGGCCAAGGACGACTCAGACTAAAAACTATTCCTTTTTTTCGTTACGTTTAAAACTATCTTAGTGGATTTCAATTGCTCTGTCAGTGGTCAAGAAATCTTCTATACTATGGCTAGATAGATCGACAGCTTCGATTGAACCTTCCCGAGAGTAACCTTCCTCTACATCTGCGTGGTAAATTTGCTTCCTTCTTTGAAACGGGTTTGCGTGTTAGAAAAATACAACAATTCTCGCAAAATTGTTCAACTCACAATCTCAACACTGGCAAGCAATCGAATTAAGTTCCAAACAAGGCTAATTTTCAACTGAGTGTATAGAGTAATCCAGAATTATTTTAGTTCTGTTTTAGTTCGCTCGTGATTGGTCAGGAAAAATCGCGCTACGTTATCAACCAATTCGATGCAAAACTAAAAGCAATAAAGACTAACTTGACGCCCGCGTTTTCTCGCGCTTTGGGCGGTTAAACAACTTAGAGCTCTTAATGGCTGTTGGAGGCATTTTTCCTGTCTTCTGTTTAGTCGTTGTGTTTTATTTTTAAGACACTCAATCGAAAAGCGCTCTAAAAGCGATCACGATTTGCTTATTCTCTTATTCGACAATTTACGTTCTATTCTAATTTTCATCGCTTTGCGATGCTACCTCTGCTCGCATCTGCCGATGTCGATGCTTTGGTTTCAGTGTTTTACGAAACTTAGTCACACTAAATCAGAAACCTTTCATCTACAAGTGTCTTTCTTGTCAGATTTTTCCTCCCGAATGTATTTCTGGCAATTGTTAAGCCTTTACTGAAAAGATAGGCCATTACCCCAGCAAAAACAAAATTCGGGTATATCAAATCCATGGCGGCGAACACCAACAAGTCGAAGAACATCAGTGTCCACTCATTGCCATAGAAAAGAATTGAGTTAAACGATCTGCCATCGTCGTTGTAAAAAATAGCCTTGTCTGGAGGAGGGACTTCTTTTAACTCCATGTTTAAGATCCTTTCAAAAAGGAGCTTGTCCCTTACCAGGTAATCAAGATCCTTCAGTGAGTGATCGATGAAAGCAGAGAGAAAGCGGTTTAGCGTGTTGTAGGCTTGCAAGCGCTTCTCCACTGCCACAGGGAGGCGACTTGGGCGACCATCTTGACCTAAAGAAGAGACGAAACACGTGTTAAAACCAAGCGAAAAAACCTATCACAGGTTCTGCTGATTCCAATATACCAAATCCTCCTTGTCGTCTTCGTTCTCAATTCCCTTTCATTTTAATCCTTATCCCAGGAGTAGCTCTTTCCAGTTAAAATTCTCTATCCCCGGGGCAGTCTCTGTCGTGTTCGCTCTCTACCCATATTAATTCCTATCCCAGGATCACTTCTTTGTATTTTCAATCCCCGTTCATTTAAGACCTTATCCCAGGGGTAACTGTCACGAACTTTTGCTCCCCCCTTATTTACCTCCCCTATCCCAGGGGTAATTAACCAGACGGCAAGTACTAACCCATGGGAGTATTAGGCATGTTTCTCCTCTGCTGCTGAACATTTCCGTCACGAAGTGGTCGGATAATTTCTTCATACTGTTCACGGAACTTTGCTGGTACCTCCATTTCAAATGTCTGCCGCTCTGTGTTGGGTTCCAAGCCTCTTCTCCCGCACAAGTCATCTTCTTCTCTCTTCAGCTGTTCGTTCATCTGCCACATGTTTGTGTCTGCGCGGCCATGAACAGAGCGACCATGAATGTAGTAACCATACCGAGTATTCTGCAAGAAAAGATTGTAGCCTTAGGAGTTATGAACAGCATTTACAATTAATCTTTCAAGGGTGTGATTCAAGGTTGAATTGTTCTGAAACAAAAAATTTGCCAATACATAACAGATAGAATTTGGACCAAAAAAAAACTTTTTAGATGCATTTTCCTGAGAAGTTTACCCATAAGCCTTCTCTTCTCGTGACTAACTCAGTTTAACTGTTAGTCCAAACCTATCCAATGTGACTTGTTGACATTAAGCACAGGGTCCCCACTGTTGAAACTACCTTGTTGTTAACCCTTTAACTCCCAAGATCTGACTGTTAATTCTCCCCTCCAGCTGCTACACATTTCCTTGTAAATCAGTTACAAGAATTTGGTGTTAGATCAAGATAACACCTCCTTGATACGTTTGATAATTCTCTTCCTGTTTGCTGGATAATGTATGGACATTATGTGGAGACTTTCACGTTAAACACACCTCTGAGAGTAAAAGGGTTAAGAGCAAAAAGAGGATGTGACAAAATGTTTTCCTTGATTCTATGCTAAATTCATGATCATGTTACTAATTGCACAAACCTCTAGGACAAAGATGCTCACATTACTCATTGAGCACAGGTCGATAAAGTCACCAAGAGAATCTCCAAAGAATCGCTCATAGATGAATGCAAAGAAGAACCACTGGACAGCCTCCACAGCTAGGAACAACATTGACAAAACTGCGAATCGTAACACTTTGCTGAACTCTCCAACATATTCAGTTGTGTAGTCTGCCGAGAAGTTACTCTGTGGGTCTGTTGTTGCCAAATACTCAAATCCAAAAACCTTCAGGAAAAACAGCACGACAAAAATCTGTAACTCTGGGTTGATTTTGCGAATGGTTTGGATTTCATTCCACTCATTTGCGATGAATAGAGTTCTCCAAATGCTGACAGGGGCATCCAAGCCCCCTCCCTCACCTCCCTGAGTAGGCTGGTTGACTCTCCCCTGTGGTCGTTCCCAGTCAATAAAAAAAATTTCAAATGAGATTTGTGACCACAGCATATGAAGCACATCAATAATTTTGAACACAATGACAACCACCACAACTTTGAGGAACAAACCCTCCTGACTTTGTGTGGGCAGAAGTTGAGACACTGTCTTTTGTCGTTTGAAAAAAATTAGAAATGACATTGACAACCCAAAGGCAACCCAAAACAACATGGTGGAGAATGTACTGAAACAAAACAGGATAAACTTCAAGAAGGAGGCTGCATCAACTTCAATGCGGCCCTGTCGTCTCCTCCATGCTGAGACTTTGATGAAGGCCAAAATGGCAGCTAAGGCAGACAGGCATCCAATAGCTATCTGTCAACAAAAGATCAAGAAAAAAATTTTCAGTGGAATACATACAGAAGGAGTATCATTATGTTCAAAATAGCATCAGTATGCATATTCTCCATCCTGTGTATCATGCACTTCCTTTAAGGCACTGAGGTTGTTAAACAATCAAGAGCCTCCTTAATTGGTGATCATTCTCTTCATTCATGTGACCTTAATTTTTGATTCAGGGGTGATATTGTGGGAAGAAATTAGATACTAGACACGGGTCATGGACACTCCCCTTCCCCCCCTTTGCTATCCTTAAAAGGACAGCAAAGGGGGGGGGGGAGGGGAGAGTCCTGATCCTTTTTCATGCCCAAATTTTAGAGATGAATCCAAGCATCAAGTTATAAATTTAAGGGTAAACTTCAAATCTCTCTTCTTGCATAAAAGATTTCAGAGAAATCTTGAGGTTTTCACAGGTCACATATATTACAAGAGACAGATAATGCCTCACACTGGTAAATAAATTCACCACAAAGAATCTTCCCTTTCTGTAAAATTCACCAAATTCTTGTAACTGATTTATAAGAAAATGTGTCATGGCTAGAGGGAAGAATTAACGATCAGATCAGGGAATGTCGCCTATAAACCCTTTGCCATTCTCCCTTAATTGGAGGAATCATGACATTAGTAACTTACCTCAGTATCCTTCTTAATTTTTGTCAAATCCATTTCATAAGTGACTGCAAATGACATTTCTATGCTGCTTTTGGCTTTATCTTTTACCTCTAATGGTTCGTATCTTATTCTCAACATGGGGGGATATATTTCTCCATTAGACGATCGCAGCCTAATGTTCACCTCTATCTTTGAGGAATAACGGATGAACTCTAGTTCTTTGGATTCAGGTCGAATCCCAATCTTATTATCGACAACAAAGAACCTCCTTGTCAGTTGCCATTTGGTTCTGTCACTGTTCTCATTCACTTTTTCATTGCCACTTACATAATTTTCCATGAGTACTGGCACAGGGTAAATCTTGTCACCAAGGACAATAAACATGTCATACAGAAACATTGACATGTTTTTCAGATCATTAACTGGAACTGAACATGATGACTTGTAAGTTGTGGCAAATTTTGATGCTGAAGCCATTTTTGAGGGTCTCTCTTTGCAGATCTGTATAGAATCTAAGCCGTTTTCATAACCAACAAAGAATCCATTCAGTGTGTAAACCACAAGGAGAAATTTAATATCTTCATTTCGTTCAAATGTTTTTGTTATCTCTTTTTTGTCTAGGATATCTGGAGCCTCACCAGCATTTTTTTTATTGTAGAAAAGCCAAGGCATATATGCAGGCCAATCGGAATTACCATTAACAGGGTTACCGACAGGAGTATCGACAAGTGTCTCGTATCGGTCGCAAACTTCACCAGTGTAATCGTGCAAAACACAGAGGTTTCCAAATAGCTGACACGCTGTAAAGTTTGAGTATTTCTTACAAAGAGCTTCAGCAGCACGTAGATTTCTCTCATAATAAGACGACTCGATTGGATTATCCTCGTCTACATATGTTACTTTGTATAAGTTGTTCTTCTCTTCGATCAGATCTGAGTCCTGGAAACATATACCACCCACAACTGTGAAACCTGAGTTTTTCTCGCCGTTAACGCACTCCTGACGAACTGTCGCATTATTATCATTATTATCCAGCAAAAAGCTAGAATGGTAGCGTCTACAAGTTTTTTCCTCCGCTCCGCTCAGTTTTGTATCTTCTGTACATGTTACGCATTGCCTCGTAGACAACCTCACTCCATTTGCACCACGATCTCTGGCAAAAGAGTTTTCAGGGCAAATACAAGTGCCTGTATTCCCAATAAAACCACCCGTCGAATTGTTTTGACATCTGATGCAAAAACTTCCATCAAGGGAACTTGTCTCGTTTAAAGAGCCACCGCAATTGAAGCATTTAATGTCCTTACTTGGACCACCATTATTTAACACAATCTTGTAACCACTCTTGCAGGTGCAAGATATGAAATCCTGACTTGGCTTCTGGCCAGAGCCACAATCTTCACAACTCAGCGACGAGTACTGAAAGTACTTATTTTTATCCGTGCAACCTTGGGGATCGACATAGGTCATCTCATAGTTAATACTCAGAGACAAAACACACCATAACAACACAACAAACAATATCGCTAACACGCGCGCCATTTTGAAAATTATGCACACCGCTTGAACTGTACTGTGTGAAACCGCTGGTATCTCCAAATCGCAGCGATTTTTCCAATATGGCGGAATAAAAAAAGACGTTTCAAAGAATCTTCGTAAAAACTGTTACAACTTTTATTCCTCCATCATGGTGAAAGACCAGTTTAAAGAATCTGGAGTCACCAAGAAGATGTAAGAATTTGTACTTTGTCTGTGTGTTTAGGTGCGGTATTTGTGGTTAAAGCAATATGCATGATGTTTATAAGAGAACTTACTACAGTTTTTTTTCATGGCTAAAATTTGCGGCTTGGATCGTTAATTGCTCCAGTAATATGGATGGCTTATTCTACTTTTCTTTTTTATGCTGCCTCTCTGGTCTACTGATGTTTTAACGTTTTATGTGATGTGCACGTAATGTGCACGTGTGTTGTTTAATAGTGCAACAACGGCCAGCACTCGCAGTACCAACTAGCGTCAGCTCACCACTTTCTTCTTTCCATCACCCCATAATGCCTCCAAACTAGCTAGAGCTACGTAGAGAAAAATACTAGTTTTAAATTCAAGGAGAGATTAAGGAAATAGGGATCTGCAAACAGTGCAGGGAAAGCTGTTTAAATGCAGAAGGGGGAGGGGAGAGTAACCTGTAATAGAACAGCACCTCTTCCAGGGCAAGTAGCAATACTCTAAATGGTCATATAAAAGGGCACAGCAAGGGGGGGGGGGGGTTCCTAATGTTCTTGTTAAACCTTCCTTTGTAAGCCTTCTTTAAGCAAACAACCTAGAATATTCTGGTTGTGAAAACTAGTGAATACCCTCTGTTTGACACAGAGTGACCCCCTTTTGAAAAACTCCTGGCTATGTCCCTGATAAACCATGGTGACTGAGAATTGTATATGTTAAATATATGTTAATTGGTGTGTGTGTAGACTTCACAATAATGATTCCAATCTGCTTAAGAAGAGGTATTTTTATTAACTCTTCTCCCAGAATTGATTAACATGTAACTTCTCCCTTTAATATGCACACATTATGCAAGAAATGGGTAATGAGAATACTCAAAATTATCACATAAAAGTTGTTAATGCAATCGATTGCCAAATTTTGTCGCTAATTTATAAGAAATGTGTAACAGCTTAAGAGAGGAGAATTAACAATCAGTTCTTGAGAGATAAAGGGTTAAAGCAGGTAATTTAGTGTTAACAACTGAGTTGAAAACGTAAATTAGCCACTGTAAAGGGTAAAAAAACTGACGTTTCAAGCATTAGCCCTTCATCAGGGCAATTGACAAAGGGCTAATGCTCAAAACGTCAGTTTTTTTAGCCTTTACGGTGGCTAATTTACGTTTTCAACTCAGTTGTTAAAACTAAATTAGTTGCCATACTCTCCCACCGATGCAGCACCACAGTTTCTTTAGAAACTTACCCCTTTATTTAAAGGGTTAAAGCCTACGCACATGAGGCAGTGAACTGTAAAGGAAAAAGCACAACATTTAAGAATCCATGTTGTATGTTGTGTTGAGGTCTAAGCAAGAATTAAATCTAATTTCATTTTGTGACTAAACATATTATCTACCTCTGTTTACAGAAGCCATGTCAACTTCGGACTGTTTTCACCGGAACAAATGCACCAATATGCACATATTCATTGTGTCAGCAAAAACCTGTACAATCAGGATCAAAGCCGTACCCCTGTCCCTTTTGGGGTGCTAGATTCACACATGGTAACAAAACAGTTGCCTTTTTCACTGTTGTCTGTTTACCACCTTTTTTAAATAATTAGCTGAATTATATATTGGGTACTTTGATTGTTTAATACTTGTGATCTGTTGGAGCACAGATGCATTGGTGAGGTCACCATAAAAAACTTTTGTATCTTTTATTAAATGAAACAAATAGGTTCCATTTTGCTGAGCATATTTTCAGCAATAGGCTGCAGAAGGTCTCAAAATGTGACAAGAATATCAATGACATGCTGCTGCACCTTGGGTGCCACTTCTTTTCTCTTAACACAATTTGATGTCATCTTTGATTTATTGATGACTGAATAGTTGTACAGCAATATGGAATCTATTGGTTGAGAAAATAATTGAGTGTGTCCTTTCAAAGACAATATTTCATGGGAGATTAAATGAAGTTAATTTATTTGATATTGTGTGTAATGATAGGGCACAAGCACTAAAGATCGGAGCTGTGAGACATGTGGCAAACCATTGGCTGATTGTGTAGGTCACTATGGTTACCTTGATCTGGAACTTCCAATCTTTCATGTTGGATTCTTTAGATCAACAATTGTCATTTTGCAAAGCATTTGTAAGGTAAGTCTTTTTGGATATGGGATCGCGAGATTTTTACATGCAGAGATATAGCAAATAAAGAGCTGGAGAATCAATCCCATTTGCCCTATACAATGTCATGTAATTTTAGGGGAGGGCTAGTGTGCTGAACTTTGTGTAAACTGGAATGAGACTGGCCTCACTGGGGCCATTGTGCTGTGTTCTTGGGCAAGCTAATTAACTTTGATCATGCCACTGTCTGCTAAGGAGAACAAATGGTACCAATGATGGTCTGGGGAACCTGATGAAATACTTGGGGCTGGCTGAGTAGACTAGCATTTCATCCTGGGGCTAAGGGAGAACAATTCTCTTAATGGCTTTGTTCTAAGTAAGGTTTATTATTAATGGGTCATTACATCTGTAAGATGTTTTGTTAACCTATAAGTCACTGCTTTATGGTAAATAGTTTTTCCTTTCACTTAGACATGTGCCAGAGTACTGTTACCACCTCAAGAAAAGAAACAATTTCTTGATCAACTAAGCAGATCAGGTGTCTCATCTTTAATGAGGAAGAGCCTAAAGAAGAAGATTGTGGAAAAGTGCAAAAAGATTTCTCATTGTCCATACTGTGAGGCATTAAATGGTAACTCACTTTTGGATATCTTTTATACAAATCCTTTTAACTAAACTGTGTGTGTTTGTGCACCAGGGGTATTTCTGGCCACGACCAGATGAGAGAAAATTGTCTTCCTTTCAGCAAGAGGCTTTTAAATGACTGGTCTTCACTGTTCTTTTCCTATTCTTTCATCCTTGTTATTGAATGATATTTTGTGTGTGAAAGTATATCTCAATGTAGCTATGCTGTGCATGTGTTTGGGAAAAGGGAATGTGGGAGAAGTTGTTGTCAGTTTCATTGTGTAGTGGTAAGGTTTTGGTAACATTAAGTGCTAAGGACTAACATTACTTTCACTCCTCATGGATGGGTGGCCAGAAAAAATGGAAATGAAGTTATCACAAATATTGTATATCCTTGGATAAGGGCCCAGATGCTCACTTAAAATTTCAGCTATAAGGAAGGGCACCTATCAGAAAAAGGGCTCTTAATTAGGGGGGTACTTGTTAAGAAACTATCAACCTCTACTGATTGGCTGTAGTTGAAACTAAAAAAGGTTTCCCTTGTATCTTTGCTATTTAATAAAGTGAGGAAGGTGGTGAAAGGGAGGTGCTTATTTGAGAAAACTTTCAATCAGTTTCTTTGTTTTGTTTTTTTTTTCAGGTTTTGTACGAAAGAGCGGAATGATGAAAATTGTGCATGAAAAGTACAAATCAGCCAGGAAGTACATTGATCCTGTTATCTCAGAGTTTCAAGCATCCTTTGGCTCGGCCATTGAATACAACAAAGAACTGGAAAGTTTGTTGAGCAGAGCACAGGTTTGTATGAAACAATTAATGGCAACCTGAGTCCTGTTTCCAAATTTGAAGGTTCTTGTGCAAAGGCTTGTTTAATTGCAGTTACAGAATTGTTTTAGACTAAAAATTCAATCTCATATTGCTGGAAAATATATGAAAAGATGGAAAATGATTATGGTAGTTTTTATGGAGCAAATTTATGGTGATTTTGTATTTCTTTCCTCATTCAACAGGAAGTACTGAATCCATTAAGGGTTATCACCTTATTTGAACAAATCCCTGATCAGGTTAGTGTAAAAGTGATTGTCATTTGATTTTGATAAAAATAAAGTCAATGAAAGGAACCTATATGAGAGATCAGTTCAAAGTGGAAATGTGACAAGGAGCACTTTTGAAGTGATTACCATACAATGGTAAAAAAGGCTTCAACATTAGTTACTCAGCCTGTTTAGAGAATGCTTATTTTGTCAGGGATTACCATTTGGCATAAGCCCCACTAGGGCCCCACTGAAAACAGCTGTAGCAAGTTGGGTTCCCCTGTTAAATATTGATATTATTATTATTATTATTATTATTATTATTATTATTATTATTATTATTACTTTTCTTGCTTCATTCCCCTCCCTCCCCATCCTCCCTTTCTCCCATATTGTGGGTAAGTATTCTATCCGATTACTCAACCTTATGTTGTGCCAAGAGATGATCTGTTGTTCAGTTGCCATGGTGATCTCTTTACCATTTAGGGGACTGCTGCTTGCCTCCCATTCTCCTTATGCAGCACCTAGCCTCTGATAGATAGAAACATAGATACTTTTTTATCATTGTTTTATATTACTGCTGTATTTTCTTTATCATCTCCAGGACTGCCCTTTATTAATGATGAAACCTGAGCTGGGTAGACCAGAGAATCTTATTGTGACACGCTTGCTGGTTCCACCTGTATGCATCAGACCATCTGTAATCAGTGATCTACAGAGTGGGAGGTGTGTAATTCAGTGATGCAATTGGTTACCTGATGGCTATTATTAATTTGCGAGGCAACAGATTGAGCTTTCTCAGTGGTGCTTTATCGGTCAGGGTCTTTGTGCTTGGTTCTTGAAAGTTTCTCTTTGCTGGAAATGTGGTGACCTAGCAGATACATTGACTCTCAATTGAATGACTTCAGTTGCAGCTGTGGCTGCTTTATTGTGACTTGTTCTTGTGAAAATTACTGGACTCGTGCATTGCCTCTCTCTACCCAGGAGTTTAAATTGGTGCTGACAAACTGTCAGGGAAAGTTGATTTAATAGTGAAGAGTAATCTGCAGTGGAATAGCATTCCATCAAGGAAGAGAAGCTATACTTTGTGTTACGTAATGCAAAGGAAACTTGGAGGAACAAACTGTACAGAAACAAAATGAATTGGAGGGGGGTGGATGGAGAGTGTGGTTAACAGTGATATACAAACATCACCTCAAGGAGAAAGTAGCCATTCTTCTTGTCACTAAATATAAGTGAAAAATGGGATGAACTTGGCTAGTATTACCTAACCTTAACTAATGATTCCTATGAATTGTCATGGAAAAGAATAAAATTGAGGGTGCAAGTGAAGTGTCAGGGAATCCTGTTACAATTTTGGTTGGTATTTGTAATCTGTGAAAGACTAGCACTCCATTAAATATTCTTTTAATTAGCTTTTGTATGTGACCAAAAAATAATCATGTCAATTTTTTTCCTTGTCACTGATAGCAATGAAGATGATCTGACCATGAAGCTCACAGAAATCATTTTCCTCAATGATGTTATTAGTAAACACAGAGCAACAGGGGCTAAAGTACAGATGATTATGGTAAGTGTGGGGTAATTTGGGCTCAAACGGTAGCAGGAGCACTTAGGTCTGACGAAATATCACCTATATTAATCCTTTTAACCCCCCCCCCCCCGAGTGACTGGCATCTAATTTCTCCTTACAATATCACCCTTGAGTTACATATTAATGTCATGAGAATAAAGGAAATGATCACCAACTAAAGAAGTTCTGATTGTTTGACAAATTCTCCTTTGTTAGCACCTTAGGAAATGTATAGAGAACAGTAAAGAGAAAATGCATACTGATGATAGGGTGTAGAGGGTTAAATAGCCTGCACAGGCTACCTGTGGAAGCAAAGGTTAACTGTAAGATTCTTCTTATAAATTACATACAAGATCTTGAATAGAAAACCTACTGGATATGTGGACTCAATTGCCTGACTTATTTTATATTTAGATGTGGAAAATATTATTTTATTACTTTACACACTTCTTACTTAGAACCATAGATATGTGTTGTTTATATCCATAGGAAGACTGGGATTTTCTCCAGCTTCAATGTGCTTTGTACATTAACAGTGAAATGTCAGGAATTCCTCTGAGTATGCAGGTGGGTGTGGGTTTGATTTTATATTTTCTACTACGAAGATTTCTTAGTTTGAAAGGTAGTAAGTACATCAGTCAGCCATTCAGTTGGGTTTTTATTAATTGAGTTAAGTTACTAGTTTTAAGTGAGATGGTCTGTTGGATGGTCATTCTGGCGGTTAGTATGTGGGTTGGTTAGACAGTCCTGTAGTTCTTTTCTAAAGTCATGTTTATCGTCAGTTGGTCTTTAGTCAGTCAGTCAGTCAGTCAATCATTTGGTCAGTCTCTCAGTCAGTCAGTCAGTCAATCATTTGGTCAGTCTCTCAGTCAGTCCGTCAGTCCGTCACTTTAACCATCGAACAGGTTACGTAGCAAATAGTTTTCAGAGATCTGCCTCATAATATATTGCTGTTTTATACTATATTTCATTAGCCCAAGAAAGGCTCCAGAGGATTTGTGCAAAGACTAAAGGGGAAACAAGGTCGGTTTCGTGGGAATCTGTCTGGCAAGAGAGTGGACTACTCCGGACGCACGGTCATCTCACCCGATCCTAATCTTCACATTGATCAAGTAAATATTAAAATAAGTTAGAAGTTGATACTGTTTATGTTTAAGGTGTTATTTCATCACAAGGCAGAGTCCATCTCTTGCAACGTTTGACGTTTGTTTCTTTCTGGAGTTTCAGTTTTAGAATCTGTCAGAAAACTAGGTTAGGCCCCTACAGGTAACTTCGGTTATATTGATCGAGGAAAGAATGTTGTTTCATTTTTATTTGTTTAGGTAGCAGTTCCAGTACATGTGGCAAAGGTTCTCACTTACCCCGAACGAGTAAGTATTGCATTTTATCTCGATAGTAAGCCGAGATTGTATTGGATTTTCCTTACTTTGCTTTGTGATGGTCCAGAAAACTCGCGCAACTTTCTAACCGATCAGATACAAAATTAAAGCCAATCACGGTTTGGTCGCCCTTGTTTTCCCGCGCTTCAGGCAGATTCTCTGTTTTTATTTTGAGTTCTCATTGGTTCTTAAAGATATTTTCCTTTTCTGATTGGCTGTTGTGATTGCTTTGGTTTTGGTTTTAATATACTCAATCGAAAAGCGCTCTATTACAGGTAATTTAATGTTAACAACTGAGTTGAAAACGTAAATTAGCCACCGTAAAGGGTAAAAAAACTGACGTTTCGAGCGTTAGCCCTTCGTCAGAGCTCTATTACAGCTCACTTTAATTGTTGTAAATAAAAAATGTTCACAAATGCCTAAAGTGCTGGAAACTCAAAAGACTAAGTCCTGTTGGGTTTTAATTTTGCTCAGAGTGAAGGAAAGGAAAACCAGTGCAATTCTGGATTACTTTTTGACATTCAATTGAAAATTGTTCTATTTCCTTATCGTCCGTCTAACACCAGTCACATAAGCTGGGAAATGTAGGATTGTTTTTGCAGTTAGTCCAGATCTTCATATGTGTTTTTCTGCAAAGTTTTGTATTATTCTCATAGGTGACAGAGGCCAACATACAACTGATGAAGCAGCTGATATTGAATGGAGCTGATAAACATCCAGGAGCCAACTTCATTCAGCAACGGCAAACAAACATCAGAAAGTGAGCTGATTCTATCTTTATTTGTCTCATTGTGTAGTATGCAAGCAGGCTTTCGATTGCGCTGCAACAGGAGCGCCCAAGCTCGTGATCTTCGAGCCTGCGAGCGATACGAGCGTGCGAGAAGACTGCGAGGTACGGTCGTACCAGACCTTTCACAGAACTCTCGCACGCTCGCTTCGCTTGCCGGCTCGTGGATTCAATCATGGATTAAAGAATTGGTTTCTATGAGCTGCCAAAAGCGGTTCTTTTAAGCTAATTGACACTTCCACACTTTTGTGTTTGCATTTTTAAATCTCCCTCGGCTCTTATCCGTTCGTGCTTTATAGACGATGGTCTTGGAGAACATGAAAGGAAATATCGGGAGCCACGTCTCTCCTCTTTAAGTAGCCTGGGACCCACGTAGTAAATGGTTACTGACTGCTGACTTATTTTGCTTTTCGTTTCGTCCAGATTTCTCAAGTATGGCAATAGAAAACAGATCATTAAGGAATTGAAGGTATACAAGTTTTTAAATCTGATATCTTTCTGTACTTTTAGCTCAAATAGAAGGAAACTTTAGAAAAATAGTTTCTTAACGTAGTTTGGTTTTAGCTTTGTATCTGATGGGTCGAGAACGTGGTTTTCTCGACCGATCACAGAGTGAAGTGAAGCGAAAGCAATGCGATGCCAGGTTACTTCCAATACTCAGTTTTGAAATTTGTCTCAGGATAAGGTAAATATTTCATGTTGTAATTTTGTTGTCTTCTTCAGTATGGAGATATCGTTGAAAGGCATCTTATGGATGGAGATGTAGTACTGTTCAACAGACAGCCCTCACTTCACAAGCTTAGCATCATGGCTCATCAGGTTTGTTAAGTGATGAAACCGTAACTTCTTCTCTCATTTCTTTTTAATCAGTTTGGTAGAGACGTTTTAAACAACGCATTCGGCTCAAGTGCATCTCCGTCTTAGCCTGATTTTTTTTTCAGAAAATTGGTGCTTGCCGACTTTTTATTTCTTCCACGACTAAAAAACAAACAAACGAAAAAACATCTGCACTATTTGTAACAAGTACCTCTGACGGTGCCTCAGGAAAACTTGACGAATTATCGGGAGTTTCTTGTGAGAGATTGCGGTCATATTCAGGAGGTCATAAAGCACTCTAGGTTGTCTCATATGATGGTTAAGGTTTTGCAGGAAGAGGCTTACAGACTTGAAAGACTGAACCTTTTATGACCCACCACTCGAAGAATTAACTATGTTATCAGCTTGGAAAGGCACATGGGCAAAAAAAAAAAAAACCAAACAAAAAAAACGAACAAACAAAGCCAAGGGACCTCAATGGGCATAACTGAAAATAAGCTAGCATAAGATCTGGTTGGTTTTGGATGCTGATTTTGACTGAGGTATTCCGTTTAGTTACGTGGTGATTCTGTGTTTTCTCTTTCCTTGTAGGCGGTGGTGAGACCTCACCGAACATTTCGTTTCAATGAATGTGTATGCACCCCTTACAATGCAGACTTCGACGGCGATGAAATGAATCTTCATTTGCCACAGACAGAGGAAGCGAAAGCTGAAGCGCTAACACTTATGGGGGTAGATGCAATAAATACATATGTAAATCTTAGAACTTAATGGAACACATGTATACGGGATGTTGTCACAAATTTGACATTGATGTCCAAAGTCTGACGCAAGTATCTCAAAAGAAAGTCAGATAGCAGTGTCCAAAATCAGGCATTTATGTCAAAAATTGGAACATTGCTTCCAAAATCGGACCCTCTTGTCCCAAATCGAGTATAAACGTTCCAAATCAGATAAGAGGGTCCGAAATTGGACGTAAGCGTCTGATATCGGATGGAAAAGGCATGTGCACAGATTTTTATGGTTACATGAGTTTGAAAACCTCATGAAGACTCTACCTACATTTTGCTTTGACAAGAACCTGAGCAGAGGTAGATACGCTTTCTTTTTCAAAGAATTCGTTTAATATGGTCAAAGGCGCCATCGTCTTGACTTTATTCGCTAAATTTCCTAAGACCAGAGAATTCATTCATTGATAAAGTTTTTTTTCTTTGTTCCTCAGGTCAAATCGAATTTAGTAACACCACGGAATGGCGAACCTCTCATAGCCGCCATACAGGATTTTATCACAGGTGTGAAAAGTCAATAATAGTTGTAGAGTATATCTTCCAACACGGTTTCTGTTTTATCTCTTTACGATGCTGGAATTCAGGGGTGAAAGAACAAAGCTGCTTTACGCGCGCTAAGTCAACTACAGTACGTCAGTTATACTTTTCCCTAGACAAAGAATAAGTCGCTCGGGACGCTGAGATCCCGAAATCCACGGGATGTTCGGGTTCCATCGGGTCATTCGAGTCACTCTGGATCAACGAGTTGTATAGCAAAGGAAGCCAACGTTGGTTGGAGCCCGAATTCTTGATTTATCTACCACAACAGAATTTTATCGGTGACTGCTCGGAAAACTCATTCATTGTCTACATTTTAATTTCCGTGCTATTCCAGGGGCTTATCTGCTGACGCAGAAAGATGTTTTTCTTGATCGGAGCCATATCTCGCAGCTGTTGGCTTACATCCTGGCTGGGAAAGACGTGAATATCAGAATCGATCTTCCGCGTCCAGTTATACTTAAGGTGAGACTGTTGTTAACGAGTTGGATTGTGTTTTTTGAACGAAAAGTAAGAAACCACGCTGTAACCAGAGAGGTTTCCCCAACAAATATGTCGTACCTTTTTCGTCTTTCCTTTTTCGAGTGATAGTGACAAGCTTTTCCTCGACAATTCCTGTGGTCCAAATGCCAACATGCCAGTTTTCGAACAGGGAGACTTGCCGTGACAAGAACAAGAGCGATGGAAATATTAAAGCGGAGCTCGCAGAGCGTAGCCCCATAATTATAAAAAATAGTTGTAACCCATCAAGCCGAAAAAATTTGGATGTACGACCGCACGGCCGTACAAGGTGCTACTTTTAACATGCGTGGTCAACTGTGCCGCGGGCACGCCAACGCCACGGCTTTGTTCAGTAGTCCAGTGGTCAGTGCACCGGGCTCCGAGTCGGACGACCCGGGTTCTAGTCCTGGCCGGGGCAAAAATGCGAGCTCCGCTTTTAGGCTTGGCTAAATCTATATATTAGGGAAATTCTAGGGAAGCAAATGCGCTTGACAAGAAAACCATGTCACCTGTCGTTTTTAATGTGGTCTCCGCCTCGCAGCCGTTCTTTGGGATGTCACGCAACGCTTCAGGGAGCATTGCGTGATGTATTCTTAGTTCTAAAGTACAAGTTACTAATAACGGTGTACGAGTATAAGTAAGGTGGTGAAGAGTGAGTAAATAAAAAGTCTGAAATACTACTTAGTTGTTTATCGACTGTTAATAGGAGTTGGAGTTAAACTTTTCCCTATTGAAGGGTTAACAACCCTTTTCAAAATTAGATTTGGCAGTTTATCTTTATTTATCAACATCCAGTTGAAGACAAGCTACGCATTTCACTTGCTTACTAACACCGCACTACATGTTTACTACGTGTTTTGAATTTGTTTATTTGGCAGCCAGTGAAACTTTGGACTGGAAAACAGGTGTTTAATGTCATACTGAGACCGAACATGGACATGCCAATCAAAATGAACCTTCGCACAAAAGGAAAACAGTACACGAGCGGAGAGGATCTTTGTTTTAAAGACTCTTGTAAGTAAACTAGTTTTTCTTCTACCCTCGCACTCCCATAAGCGACAAAAAAGGAATTTCTTCTCTCATTGTTAATACATTCTCAAGCACAAAGGTGATAAGAAGATAGAAAGATATCATCTGGAGGACGTGTTTTGATTAACACCAAATTCTCACAACAGAAATCAAAAGAAATGTATGAAAGACAGTTCGGAGAATTGATGTTTAGAGGTTCAGGTTGAAAGGTTTAACCTTCTAAGTTTTGTTTGGATTCCCCAATGGAAAAACTGGATTCGAGTCCTGGTTGTTTCATTGGTTTGTGTTCTTGGACAAAACATCAATCTTTCACAATGTCTGTCTCCGCCCTAGAGGGGAAATGGGTTCTGGAAACCTTACAAAATGCAAGGAGGGGGCGAGGGAGGAATGGGTGGGGCTGGGTCACGTGAGATGGGTAACAATGCTTCTCTCAGCGCCTCTCTCCATCCAGGAGTAGGAATGGGTACCAGTGGACTGTCAGAGAAACTTGACTTGATCTGTAGTGAACTGACTCTCCATCAATGGCAAAATTCCTCGTCACTTCACGCTGCAGGAAATCGGAGAAGCTCAGGCAGTTTTTGGATTCAGTCTCGTCTGAGAATTTGTCCAAAAGCGTGAATTTAGCATATGTTTCTTTTTCATGGACAGATGTGGTGATTCACAACAGTGAGTTGATGTGTGGTGCATTGGATAAAGCTGTGCTGGGTTCTGGCTCTAAGAACAGTATCTTCTATGTGCTCCTCAGAGACTTCGGTGGTCAGGTAACTGCAGTATTTTCTTTTACTTCTGTTGCTTAGCAGCAAGGGACCGTTTATTATCTATTCCCTTGGGTTGGGGGGGGGTCGTTGCGATAATATTCACGTGATCTCCCCCAAGGATCTGTAGTATTCTAGTGATCCCCCTTATTCCCCCCTCCTAGTCCCCCATTTATATTGTGTTAGCGACGACTGACTCCCTTCCCCCCCCTCCCGTTCTCCAGACTGAATGAAGTATCCGCTAATTGTATTGCTAGAATGGAAACCGTCTCGATGTGACACTAAATTATCCGAACTCTCAGAGAAGAAAATGAAAGAGAGAAGGTTTGAAGAGTTAACTTTTTGATGTTCTTTACAGGCTGCCGCAGATGCTATGTGGAGAGTAGCAAGGGTTTGTCCATTCTTTCTGAGTGAGTAGTAAATGAACATAACAAGGCCACTGAATAACCATCAACATTTGCCAGTTAAACGTGACGCTTTCCTTTTGCACGCGACACCATAATTACTTTGTTAAATGTCAAGCGGTGACAGAAAAGGTGTTGTTTTGTCAATTCGTGGATCAGGGATGGAACATTATAAGAGTACAAGCCTTCTATGGCTGTGGCTCCGGTTCGACTCCCATACTTTATTTCCCTTAAGTTCTTCGGTCTCCTTCCTCCTTCCAAATCCAAAATTGAACGTTCCAATCCGACCTGAAATTAGTGAGCAGAGAGCCCGCGTGGGTTTGTTACAAAAAAAATCTCTCCTAACATAACTCCTTTTGGCTCAAGTTAATGTCAACACTGATATATGAAACCTCTGCGCGTCATATTGGGATAACCTTTTAGAGAAAAATAATGAAAATGTGCTGATGTAATTTTTTTATAGGTAACAGAGGGTTTTCTATTGGTATTGGTGACGTCACGCCTGGCCACGGACTTCTGCAGGCAAAGGATGAACTTCTCGATAACGGGTATGTGTATTATAACTTTCAAACTTGTCTTTCTTCCGCGCCATAAAGAAGGGCTGAAGAAGACCAACGGTATCCTTGAACCATCATTCGAAATCCCATCATGATGGCCAAGCTCCATTCAAGTATCCCATAGTGAACTTTCCGCTATATGCATCCAACCCGCTCTTACAATTTTTTTTTTTGTAATTTGGTATGGTTTTTTAGTTATTCCAAGTGTGACAGCTTCATTCAGGATTTTAAAGAAGGCAAGTTGCAAACACAGCCAGGGTGTAGCGCAGACGATACTCTTGAGGTGTGTGATGATAAAAACGAACTTGATCGATGAATGATGTACGCCGCAACTGTGTGCCCGATCTAAAATGGCTACCATTTAGTCACCTACTACAACCAAATCATCATCCTTAAGGACAATTTTATCTTTTGTTTTTGTGGTGTGTACTCTTGTTAGGCTGTTATTCTGAAAGAGCTTTCTGTCATAAGAGATCACGCTGGAAAAGCTTGTCTACACGAGCTGCACAAGACCAACAGTCCTCTAACAATGGCAGTATGTGGTTCGAAAGGTTTGTATAAGCTATCCACTGTCACCTCGTAAGAAAATTCAGTATGATCAGAGCCATGGATTAATAAACTTATGGGTTTCACTAAAAGCTAGTTGCTGGCGGTCTACCGCTGCCCATAAGACCTCTTACCGTGGATTATTTAGCCTGAGTGCACACTCTCGTGTTTGGGCCTCGCTTCACTGCAGTGGCCCATTACACCATTGGCAGCTGCCTGTGGGTAAAGTTATCGAAACCCTGAAACTGTTGAGCTAATAAATGAAATCGCGTGCATGACAGTATTGGTCAGTCGCTTTCATTTGAATTATGGCACACAAGGCCTGTTGTCGACAGACTGCAACTTTTGCGGCTTGATGAACAGAATTAAATGAAAGACTGCTCAGTGGCGTAGTTTGAATACTCACATTTCAGTTTTTTTTACTCCTGTTATTTTGTGCTTATTATTTCATAAAGAGACACTAATCGTTCTTACTTTTTTAAACATGTTTTTGTGATCAATTTTTTTATTCTGTTTTCAGGATCGTTCATCAATATTTCACAGATGATCGCCTGTGTTGGTCAGCAGGCCATCTCAGGCAAGAGAATCCCAAATGGATTTGAGGACAGAGCTTTACCTCACTTCAAACGACATTGTAAGAAATGTTTTAGCTTTGCCAGAATGATTACGATCTGTAAAAAGCGAGCCAACAAAAATAATGGACAAACAAAATACTGAACAACACAGACTGCAAACGAACATAAAAAGAAAATATATCTTTTTTTTTTTTTTTTACACTATCCATTTTCCGTTCTTTACATCACAGCCAAGTCTCCGGCCGCCAAAGGATTTGTCAAAAATAGCTTCTACTCCGGCCTTACCCCCACAGAATTCTTCTTTCACACCATGGCTGGCAGAGAAGGTATTGAAAGCGAAATTTTGCTAATTTTTTTCATGAAGTTTTGGTGACTTCAGCAAAAGTCTTGGTCATCATAATATTTATGAAAATGTCGAAGACCTGCAGCTCTGATGGATCATAAAGTCCTCGGAAAGAAAAGAAAACAGTTTTTTTTATTTTGGCCAATATGGTATCAATGTAATTATTGTTATCGATATCTTTTTATTATCCTTGTCATTGTCAGTCTCATTGTTATTTTCATGCCTGTCCTAGAATTTGTGGAGGTAGTACAGATATATAGATATTTCTTTCATTGTAGGACTTGTGGATACTGCCGTTAAAACTGCTGAAACTGGATACATGCAAAGACGACTTGTTAAGGTACAAAATAACGAAAAACAAATCAACAACAAGGAAATTTGATTTGAAAATCGTGGTAAGCGTGTTGGACTCTGCATTAAATGCGTCGGGGCCCAAGCCCTGTGTCGTGTTCCGGGGAAGTAAGTTCTTTTCTCACGTTTTTCCCGTCCTTCCGGGTATATTTATAAATGGGAGACAGAAATTTGCCAGGGAACTTGACGAAATGCTGGGAGGAGGGAGAGGGGGTCGAGGGGAAACCAGGAGTGGATTAGCATCCCTCTGATTTAGGACGAGTTTCAATCAGTTAGTCACGTCTTGCTATAGAAATCCACATGAGCTCAGTCAGTATGAGTCACTCAGCTTAGAAGACTTTACCATTTTGGTTACTTGTCGTTACAGTTTAATACCTTGTGGTTGAGAGAGAAAATTGTTATCACTAAAAGAACAACAATTCTCGTTTTGGGCATATTTTTAGTCGTTGGAAGATCTCGCCACGCAGTATGACTTGACAGTAAGAAATTCAGTCGGGGACATTGTGCAGTTCATGTACGGTGGAGATGGACTGGATCCCACTGACATGGAGGGAAAGGATAAACCGCTGGACTATACGCGCGTGTTCAGTCACGTTCAGGTGAGTATAAAAAAACCGGCTTTTGATTGCATACATTGTCCATCTGTTAAGTCCTTTATCATAGATTGTGGGGAGTTACAATTCATCGAAAAATCAAAATATCAACAGAAAGTTTCGATAGCGGGCATTTTATGCAAAACATTTCGTGTGACAAAGCGTTAACTCTGTCAAATTTAGCGTGGTCCGAATGGACTGAGCGTCTTGTTATTGAAATCATAATAATTGTAAACGTAATTCTACTTATAATGAATGCACACTCTGTCTTATCAAAAATGAAACTCAGCAACATATATCAAAGTACCACAATTCACAGGACAACGAAAAGATATGCTTTCTGGTCTTATGGAACAACAGATAGACAACCATATCTTAGTTCAGCTCATATTGTAAATTTTTCTGTGGTGGTCCCTTAAGAATTTGAATTTTCTGTAGTCTAATCCGCAACGATCCTGATAAAGGAGTGTTTTGTTCATTTTCTTTACACACCTGCCATCAAAATGTTTTAGTATATTTCAAGACCAGCTAGTTTGGTAAGTGAGGTTGAATCATGTGCTCAAGTATTCTTCGTTTTGTTTTGTTATTAGTGTTCATTCCCTATGAAAGACGAAGAACCTCTCAGTTCAAAAGAGATTCTCCAAGTGGCTTTACCAGTTTTAGACGGCTCGGACTTTGAACACTGTGGTACGGAATTCACGAAGGATTTAAGGTAGCTCCGTAAATCTTAAAATCGAACAGGATGGGCCGTGGGTCATCATTCAAATTAAGTGCTCACATAATTCGTCAGAGCTGGTGGCTTTGCAACATCTTTCTTTGTTCTGGTTGTTATTACTGAAGTTTTTTGTTTTTACGATACTCAGTCAGTTTTTTGTTTCTTCCACAGAACATTTGTTGAAGACATTGCCAAGAGAGTTGAGAAAAGACATCTACAGCTATCTCCCTCCCAAATGAGGTAAGAAACTGTAGCTTCTCTGCAGTTTTAAATCTATGGCAAAGACGTTTCTTTTTAGGAGTGCTTACAACTTAGCTTAGCGAATTGATAACTAAGATAGAGTATTAAATCTTTTCATAATAAGGATTGTTATTTTCTTTTAATATTGTACTTACTCTGATTTTTTTTCTTTAGATAATATAAATTGTTTAAGAATTTGATAAATTCATACTGTAAACTATTCAATATTTGTAAAGCGCCACTGGATTTTTAGTAGAAGTGGTGGTATAAAAATCCAATATTATTATATTATTATAAATTGAGTTCTCAAAAATAGCAATGAACAGACGCTTGCCCCGTTTGAATTTTATCATCCTTTACTGAACTTCCGAGATCAGATTCGTGACTCTCTTTTCCTATAAAAATGCCCGGGTAAATTAGTTAAAAGAGCTTATTTTTATATCAGGATAACTTCCTTAAGCTGATCAATTTGCCTGTTCCGATAGCCAGTTAGCTTGGTGATCAACGTATCATGTTTAAAGCGATGTTATAAGCTGATCAATTTGCCTGTTCCGATAGCCAGTTAGCTTGGTGATAAACGTATCATGTTTAAAGCGAAGTTATAAGCTGATCAATTTGCCTGTTCCGATAGCCAGTTAGCTTGGTGATAAACGTATCATGTTTAAAGCGATGTTATAAGCTGATCAATTCTGGAAGTGATTTGGTAAATTCGTGTTTGTTCTCGTCTTTCCCCTAGTGCTTCTGAAACAAGTCGATCCAACGGTATGTATTTTTTACGTCCTTGTAGAAGTTTTTAAAGCCAATTATAAATAACCCAGAAAATATTTTGAGGTCGCGAGTTTTCAAGGGAGAGTCAGAAGTTAAGATGTTCGTGTGTGAGAAACGGTGGTCTGGTAGCCAACGCGCCCTACTTTAGATTTAGGGATCTGGGTTCTAGCTCTAGCCAGGACAGTGTTGTGTTGTTGAACAGGTAGATCTTCTACTCTCACAGTGGGATGGGAGATACGTCAAACTATTTCTATTTCCTTTCAGTGTTTTCATGGGTAGACCGCTGCACCAAGTCACAGCTGACGCACTTCCTGAACCTTTGCAAGGAAAAATACTCAAGAGCTAAGATTGAACCGAGCACTGCAGTGGGAGCCCTGTGTGCTCAGAGTATTGGGGAGCCTGGTACGCAGATGACTCTGAAAACATTTCACTTCGCTGGGGTAGCTTCAATGAGTATCCTTTTATTCGTTTCAGAATGGTTTTTAAAGAGTTACAGCATGGTTTGTTACAGTACTCCCAGTGCTTCCAGAAGAGTTTATTTTGTAAACACTACTTTTTACAGTTTTCGAAATAATAAGTTAGCGCTCTTAGAAAATCTCTGTCGTAAAATATTGATTGATGAAAGACCAATTTGTTCAGAAATGATCAAGTAAGCTGTTACTTGTTTAATAACTTTTTATACAGTTATTCTAAGTGTACGTACATTTATAGAATACTGTTAACTCTTTAGCAACAAGTTTGCCCCAGCAGAGTAGGTCTTTTAGCACTCTTTGTCTTGATTCTTGTGAATATTTTCTGTGTCGTACAATACCTTTGTTACCTTAACTAAATCAGACATCACTCTTGGTGTTCCTCGTATCAAGGAGATCATTAACGCGTCCCGATTCATCAGCACACCAATTATCTCTGCTCCTCTGATGAATGACAAAAATGCTGACGAGGCCCGTGGGGTTAAGGGTCGCATCGAGAAAACACTACTTGGGGAGGTATGGGTTATGATCTATTGTGTGTCGTCGTACAACGCTGTTGTTTGATAAGGCTGAGCTAAAATAATTTAAAGTCGAAATAAAATCTTTCGACGCTCAATATTCAATTTCATAACTTGTTTTACCTGACAGGTTTCAGAGTTCATCGAGGAAGTGTTTCTACCCAACAGCTGTTTTATTCTTGTCAAACTGGCCATGGACAGGATTAAATTACTCAAGGTAATGAAAATTCGGTGGTATGAATGAATTTTTGCCCTAGTTATGTTAAGCAGGTTAGCACCAGTTGGTGATAATTGTACCTCGGAACACAAGCTTAAATAAATCAGAGGAAATCATGTCACAGTGTTAACTCTTTAACTCCCAGTAGTGATTGACATCTAACTTCTCCCTGTATTGTCCATACATCATCCAGCAAACAGGTAATGAGAGTATTCAAACTTATCAAATGGAAGTTGTTGTCTTGATCTAACACCAAATTCTTGTCACTTATTTAAAAGGAAATATGTAGGAGCTAAAGGGGAGAATTGACTATCAGATCTGGGAGTTAAAAGGTTAAAGGCGTAACGTGTGGCTGTAACGCGGGCAAACTAACATAGTGAGACTTGGAAAGTAAAATGCATTAGGCAAAATTGCTTCAAACCTTGTGAGCCCCGGATATTCGTCACCTTAGCCCTAGGCTTAACCGCTGGGATATCGGGGGCTCAATTGGTTTGAAGGAATGTTACGTAGTGTTGTTCATGGAAAGCGCGGAAAACTATAGGGAGGAAGAAAGTGTGGGAAAATTAAGAAACGGGTGGCAAAAACGCGGGAAAGTATTTGTGATCAAAAGTTAAAGCTGTATAGGAGGCAAAAAACGCAGAAATAACATTATGTGGATGAAAATAGTGGAATGATGAAACGGGATCGTAAAAACGCGGGAAATTACAATGTGTATTCAAAGAGCGTTAGAATGCTCGAAAACATTGAGTGGATGAAAGAGCGGGAAAAGGAAGACATTAGAGGCAAGCGTGGAAAAACCTGGCGTAGGTGAAAAAGGCGGGAAAATTGGAAACGGCTGGAAAGGGCGGGAAAACACATAACAGTTGTGTCAAAACGGTCGAGAAAGCTGGGAAACGCGTAGGAGGCTGCAGGTGGCAAATAGCTGCAAAAAAGAAAAATTAAACAATGGGAAACGTGCTCTAAAATATGTTACGACGCAAAGGCTAAGTACAGCAGTATGTGCAACCTTTAAGAAGAATTTATACGAACATTTATAGCCCTAGAAAAGTCGGGAAGTGGCAAACGAGAAGCCGTATGACCAGCGGAGGTGATTGGCGCTTAATACGGCGGAAAGCGATAGAAATATTGGAAGTGAATTGTATTCTGTCTTACAGAATGTTTTAGGCATTTTATTCATATTACGCATTTGGTTGTCACGATTGAACGACCTGCAGCAGGTGGGAAACCCTGCGGGGAAGCATGAAACTAACAAAAGATACCTGCCATGGAACGTGTTATTCGGAAATTCGTAAAAGCGGGATACTTTAAACGAGTAGCAAGCGCGAGAAACTTCAAGGGCGGGAAAATTTTCAGAACATTGAGCGCAGGAAAACTTTGTCGGATAATAATCGTCAAGATCCATTAAACTGATAGTAAAAAATCGAAAAATTTGACGGGTGGTAAACACTGTAAGCTTTTTTACATTTGTTAAAGACAGAAATACGGGAAAAATTGTGTCGGATGACAATTTCGGGTAAACATTGCGTTGATGGTGAGCGCGGGAAAGATATAATAGGCTATTTCCTTATTGCAGAGAACTTATTGTATAACGTGTTTGTTTTCACCTATCAGCTCGAAGTAGATGTTGATTCCATAAGGTTTGCAATTTGCAATACAAGAAAGCTGAAATTAAAACCTCAGGTATGAATGACCTTGGGGCTTTTATGTGTGATATACCAAGTAAGGTTTTTCACTAAGATTAACGAGCCTTCTTAGTCACTCAGTTACTAGTTTCTTAACCATTTAAACCAGTTAGATATGTGCAATTATGATAACGTTGAAAATAGCTACATCTGTTGGAAAATTTTTTTGGGGAAGTTTTGTTATTTCCATTGTACCCAAGGTATTATCCGGTTCTCTGAAACCGAAATCAATAGGGGACTGAAAACAGGGATCAAAAGCACAGCGAAACCAGGGGCTGAAACCAGGGGCTGAAAACAGAGACTGAAAACAGGGACTGAAAACAGGGACTGAACACAGGGACTGAGGAACGGCCAAAGATTGTGATCTGCTGTGATAAACTTAATTTTCTTTGCAGCAAGTGACCGCTCTTAGCAAATCAGAGCTGTGTATTTATCCCAGTGAAAGCAGCAAGTCTTCCCTTCATTATACAATGCAACAGCTAAAATCTGATCTTCCCAACGTACTCATTAAGGTAACAATGAGTTTACAAACATTTTGAATTTTTTGAAGTTAATTTTGCTTTTTTTTTCCTTCACAGCTGACATTATGATCTTAATTTTGATTATTTTACTCTGCATTTTATTAGGGACATAGAAATGTTAACCGCGCCATCATCCATGTTGACGAAGCTCAGGGAGACACTTACAAGCTGTTAGTGGAAGGAGATGATTTGCTCTCTGTTATGTCCACAGTTGGTTAGTTCTGAGACATTCTTTGTCATACGAAATTTGTGTCAGAGCAAATTCCAGTTTTATATTGAGAGTTCTCTGTATTACCTTGGTTTTGATCGTCTGTCCTGCAATTGGTCTAGAAAACTCGGGACAATCCTTTAACCAATCAGATTTGTAGTAAATCGTAAAACAAACACGCCTCGAGTGATTGTTCTCTCTTTTTACTGTCTATAGGTGTTAAAGGCACAGCCGCCACTTCCAACAACACAGCTGAAGTAGAAAAAGTTCTTGGAATCGAAGCTGCCAGGCATGCACAGTAGTTCCTTTGAATATCTGCGGTAGTGCAAATAAATTTCGCACGCTGTACGGGATTCGGGAATCCCATTGTTTTTTGCAAGAGCGTTGACGACCTATAACGCACGATTTTCAGTATTTCTTTTTTTTCTCTCTCTAATAAATGCCCTTAAAGAATCCCATGTGTTCGGTCTTGAGATACCAACCTGCAAAATGCTCTGCATATGGACGCTTGGGGTGGGGTGGGTGGGTGGAAATTGGGACTTAAACCTAGTTGCTGTACGTCTTTGAATACTCTTACTTCCTGACTCAAATGATATCATTGATGTTGGTTTTGGTGTCTGACAGTTTTCCGAAACTGGTAAATTTAGGAAAAACTCTTAGCAATGTTGATTTTTTTGTTTTTAAATTGTTAATATTTTGACTCTGTGTCGTGACGTACCTCTCTTTCTCTGTTACTAGGGCAACGATAATGAACGAAATCAATGTGACCATGAAGAGTCATGGGATGAGTATCGACACTCGTCACGTGATGTTACTTGCGGACCTCATGACTTTTAAGGTGAGTGGAAATTTCTGGAGTTTTTTTTTGTTCTCATGATGGAAAAATGCATTTGTTGTCCATCTCCAATGCCATTTATTTCCTTCTACTAGGGAGAAGTACTTGGTATTACAAGGTTTGGTCTGGCAAAGATGAAGGAAAGTGTCCTGATGCTTGCATCCGTAAGTCATCTTCTTACATTGGGTTTGTCTACGTTATGGGGGGGGATTCCAATGACAGTGGATGGGGAGGGATGGAGTACTTTTTATCAGAGGAGAGGGGAAATGTATCCGATGCCTCCTCTTTCGCTACACTGCGAAAGCCACGAAGGATAGGATAGCCATCTGACCATAGTAAAATGAGCGCAGCTGATTTCTCAGCTGTTCGATTTTGATATTTTATTCTTTCCATTGTAGTTTGAAAAGACTTCGGATCATTTGTTTGACGCAGCTCTGCACGGTCAGACAGACTCCATTGATGGTGAGTGCAAGTTAGCATACCTCATGTTATAACACCAAAAAGGTTTCACGTTTCAGGCGTGTTGTGATCCAGAAATCTTGAAGCCTTCGCAGGGTTTCATATGTTAACAAAAAAATTGGAAAATTTACAATCCCAAGCGCATGATTTACCCAAGCGCGTGATATCATGATATGACACGCGATACGAGGCACGTATTATGCCTAGCACGTGGTATGGTGCACGTGGCTCGTGATATCGTTAGCACGTAATATCTTCGTTTGTTTGGTTTTCCTTGCCTTGCAGGTGTCAGCGAGTGTATTATTATGGGAATTCCTATGAGTATTGGTACAGGAATGTTCAAACTCCTTCACAAATATCCTTTTACGTGCTTGATGTTTTTGACGTTTTTGTCGAAGCTCCCATACTTCCAGTGATCTTTATATCAATTCTCATGAGTACTCTGGTGTTAACGTCTGTTTACTCCATCAGGAAACATTTATTGCTCTGTGAAAAAAAAAAGCTTGACTTTCAGCGCTATTGTACTTCTTGGTATTAATTGAGAACAGATCCTTTGACCTTAGTTTAATATTTAATAATAACAATAAAAACACTTATAGAGCGCTGTGTCCACCAATCGTTCAGAGCGCCGTACAACAATGGTTAAACTACAAAATACAAAAGCTAATAGCTGTTATAATGAAGTTAACTGAACTAGTTTAGACGAACTATTTCATGGTTTATCCTTAATATTATTTGTACGCCAGAAAAAACAGGTCCACCGAGCCGGAGAAACTTAATTTTTGACAACCCTGCATTTCATTTGCCGGAATCTGCCATGGACGTGGTGAGGTAGCAAAAGGAATGAAAACGAACTTTGCACTTATATTTGAACTGATTGCGGTTATAAAGTTGTATATACAATTAAGAGCAATGTAATTAGTCTCAAGACTGTTCTTATCGACAATTCATCCCCAAAAACATTCCTTGAAAGATCCTTAATAGGCCCATGTCACAATGTGAAATTATTAGCAAAGTTAGCTCTTACACCAAAGTCCAAATTCCAGATACCTATATAAAAATCTGCTTTCTTACATAATGATGGGGAGCCTTGATCGTCAGAATAAAAAAAATGCATATGTTTAGAAAGAACGTGATTGATTATCATCGTTTTGTGTGATTCTGGCGTAGTATGTAACCCTTTACACCCTCACATCAGTATGCATATTCTCCATACTGTTCTGCATACCTTTCCTGAGGTGCTGATGAGGAGAATTTGTCTAACAATCAAGAGCATCTTTCGTTGGTGATCATTTCTTTTATTCTTGTGACCTTCGTGTTTGATTCAGCGGTGACATTGTAAGGAGAAGTTAGATGCTCGTCACTCTTGGGGGCAAAAAGGTTCCTCCCCTTCAATCGAAGATCTATTTAATTTAGGCTTTCGTCTTGAAATACAATCCCCTTTTTGCACGACTGCTCGCTCTGACATGTCAAGAATGATTATAACATTGACTTCTATTGAACACCTCTGACATTGATTGTCGATGATTTATTACAAAACGAAGATAGAGGACCCCATTATCTGAGCGGAGCCTGGGTGAAAAGAAACAATGCTGTGGCCAAGTTCACTTGAAAACAAGCTGACATTTGTTAGTAAAGCTGCAGATAATTATTTTTGTGTGTTTATATATTTTTATACAACTACAAACCGATACAAGTTAACGAAAATTTCAACATGTTTTTTTAAGTTGTTTATCAAAACAAATAATTGATGTTAGCAAAGTTTTTCATCCAATAAGTTGATAATTATCAGCCCTAGCCGAGACTGTTAATTAATAAAAGCGTCTGCATAGGAATAGCTCTTGTTGCATACGTGTGGACGTGATGAACGCGTAAATTTTCAAGCGCCGAAATCGCATGCTTTCCACATTTTCTAAAGTTTTTTTTTTTTTGACAGAACCTGATTTTCCAGTGTATGGCCGTTGCGTGAAAGATCCGAAAAAAAAACGGAAACCAGCGACGGCAGAATTTCGATGCGGGTTGTTAAACGCGGTTGGCGCTCAAATTCAGCACGTGTATATTTCAACTACTTTATTGAGAGAGACATTGATCCCACGTGGAGATAATTACAACAGTAATTTGCAGACATCAAAGTCCTTGCTATGGAACTCTTAATGAAGAATAACGCCTTGATTTCTCACGCGTGTGGATGATATTGTACATCCGAACTTACACTGTGCCTTCCCACCCTTCTGGGAGCCTTGATATGTTGTTTTATTTCCCTTGGCGCCAGCTAATCTATTGATAAGTGACAGGTATTTTGTTTTGTTCGTACCATCTTCAAATTGACGTGTTAAAGAGTTGGCTTGAAACAAGTGAAAATTTGCATTCGCTTGGAGGTGTGGGTTACTTTTCACTTGTTCCTATTAGTGAATTATTATTGCCCTAAAATCGTCAGCGCTGTTTTGAGCGATGTCAATTAAAAAAAGGCATAAAATAGATGACGAAAATTCAGTTGATTATGAAATTTTAGTTTGTGGAAAAGATGCATGTTAAAATGAAGGTTGTGTTTTCTACTTTGATGTTGAGCTCTTAAAAAGAAATTTAGCCGGCGTTGCATAGTTCTAAGATATTCTATACAGTCGCGTGAAATCCAGATTGATTTTGTTTTGAATGTCAGTTTTAAAAATAATAGTAAGGTTTTACAGTTGGCTTCCTTCAATTTTTTTCAATGTTCATTGAATTGACAACAACATGCGGAAATTCTGTTTTAAACCAAAATGCTGCGGTTTCACTTTCTTAATGAACTATAAAACTGTGTTTGGATTTCAGTTTTCAACCTGAAATAATTTTGTTGCTGTTGAAATTCACACGAGACAATCAAATCACAGCAGAAACTTGAATTAACTCATAGGATCTGTTTTATTCCGTGCTATTAATGCAAAGTTGCTAAGGAACAGAGTAAAGAATGAAGTTTCGTTAAATAAGCGGACATTGTTTTGTGTATCCCATTACTTCACCACGTGGTTTTAATTCGTGGACGCACGAAAAGTAAACTAATTTTCAAAAATTGTAGAGGTTAGTTCTGTTTCACTTTATCTTTAAAACTTGTTCGTAAAGATTGCACTCCTGTATTTTGCAACCTGTCTTTATTTATGCATTTAGTTTTCGGAGCAGCATCTTGAATCAAACTGTGATCGCAGGTCCTATATTGTTTAAGATACTGGTGATTAATTCATAGCCGACCCTAAAAACAACTCTTGGTTTGAATTGTTATTCTTGAAAACTGCCGCTTATTTCGAAATGTGCAATTTGGCATAAAAATTTATCATGATTTCTGTTGATGTATCAGCCGCCTTTTTGGCCATTGAGCCATATTTCGTGTTACTTGAACGTAACAATTCATAATCCTACACGTGGTCCAGAGACAAAGGGCGGTTAATTTAAGCAGTTTTAAAATTTAGGTGCTTTGATAAGCCTTTTCAATTGTCGCTTGCAACGAACCGCTTACAAAAAAATTTATGTTTTCATGATTTCCCCGCGAATTTAGTGAATAGGTACCTTCGATAAAGCCGTGGAGTTTACATGGGGGAATCTTGTGGTATTGTACACGAATTAACCAACAAACCAAGTCTACTTATGTTACAACACAATTACCGGTCAGTTCTGTTTGTTTTGGTCGGTGGGATTCGGTGTGGCAACTGTTTGCGAGACTTATCGCGCGCAAAAACGAGATGGGGGAAGAAACAGGTTGAACTGTCTGTTTCTTGTGCGTGGCTAGAAGGACATTAAAAAAAGCACGGATGCGTTTAAAAACTAACACGAAATCCACTACAGCTTGTTTAAAGACAATTTTTCATAATTGAATCTATTCCAGTAATATATTGACTCGGCTACAGCTGTACAGAATAATAAAGATACTTTCATTAATACAAGCTGTTGCATTTTACTTAGAGTCAACGGCAGTAGTATAAAAGAATTTAAAAATTCCATCCAACTTTTGAGTCTTTTTATTTTCATAGAAAAAGAGATAAAAACTTACGCGGTATCTACAAATTTGATTTTTACACAGATATAAAGTTATATAATTTTCATTAATCGTGAGCAAAGTCTTGGAAGCCTTTCAGGTATACGTCCAGCTCTGAGCTTTTAATACCATAGTGATCTCCCATCTGCGAAACGACAAGAAGAGGAAATTAGACCTCGCATTTCATCTCAATGGAATGTGCTAAATCGAGAAGTTCTTGTGACAAAGTACGTTTTGACTTAACTAATGAACTCCAAGCGGGAAAAATCATTTTTTCGGATTGTAACTGCGTAGTGAGTTTACCTGAAATTGATCCAGAGTTTTTGGGACGACAATGGTGACCGCTTGGTCGTGCATTAGAACGCTAGGAGTTCCGCTTCGATTTGGTGTGATGGATGCTGCAACTTCCACTTGTGGAAGCTGCCCCGCTAACATCGCTGCAGACTGAGATCCTTTCAAATAACAACTTAACATGGCTATGTAGTCGATAGCCATACGTAGTACTTCAATTTTGGAAAGTTTCTGTGGGTTTTGATCAACACACGGGACCTTCTTCCGTAAAAGTTCCAAAGCGTTGTTCAAAACATGTCGCCGTTTTCGTTCTCTGGCGCTTGCTTTCAACCGTCTACTTCGATCCAGCTGTGCCCATTTCCGATATCTTGAATTATCTGCCGCATTCACTTCCTTACTTGAGGGAACAAGCTGGTCGCTTGCGTTATTTTCTTCTTTTGTCATACTTTTTTGCTGCACAAATGCTCCGCTTCACAGATGCTTTCTTTTCTTCCCGGTTCTAGTGGCTGGACCCTTCTCCTCTCACTGGCTCCTTGCCTATTGTTGCCTGTAACTCATCTTTCTTAGACTTTTCTTTGCAGCACGCGTGTATGAGACGTCTTTTACATAACAATACGTGCACACGCTTGCCGCCATGCGCGTGCTCCGCCACAAAGCTTTTGTTGCGGTGTCAGTCACCCGAAATTGATGTATATTCTGACACTGAATAGGTTCAGTGGATTTATATCTCGCAATTACATCCATTTGAAGCTTTGATATGATTTTAAGCAAGCGAGCAGAAGTACTGGAATAAACAACACACAATTGAAGAAACGCTTCGTTAAAATTACATTCGCTGTGAATGATTCGCTACTTTTTGTTAAATCAGTAATTGATGTAAACTGGCACGAATTCGAGTCATTTGATAACTTAATTTAGTTTAACCGTTTAGTGGAAACAAAAGATGAGCCGAAACAGTATCTTTTTCCCTGAGTGTGGCCTAAGATTTTCCCGACTCTCGTTATTTCCCTCGAAGTTTATCAATGCTATCAAGTGAGGGACTTTGAAATAAACCTGTTAAAAGGAGTCCTGAATTTGTTTGAAACTTTTGCCATGTCATTGATTGATCAGAATACTGCCTTTATTTTCAACTATTTGGGCCTGTTTTGCTACTAAAACAATCGCTGTTTAGTAGTTCTTAAACAGGTCTTAATTAGAAAAACATTAGTTCCTCGCGATATTTAGTACGAGAAGTTGTATTAAAAGTGTTGGAGAACTATTAATCCTTTGCGGAAGTTAAAAATATGTAGGGAAGTCTTAGCACGAGGTGCCCGGAAGAATTAGCAACTCTCAGCTTTATATTCTGTAAAATTTCTTTGTTCGAATACGCTTTGTGCGGGCTTCTCAAAATTAACAGCTAGTAAACCCCACGTGTTTCAATGACAAGCTAGCCATGATCTGGGTTAATCAACTGATAACACTGTTTACTTAAAAAATCGGCATTTTTGTGATATTGATATTAATTCGCCTTATACTTTTATCGCGTTTTGACTGAACACGCCATGAACATCAATAAATTACTGATTAACTATTGTTAATTGTCAGCATTTCAATTTTCTGTTCAATGTTTAATGCAATGTTTAACGCGTATGTGATGTGCATTCGAAAAACTCAGAAATAAATGAAGAACATTATCGTGTGGATGATGTGGTCTTGATTTAAGGCCAAATATTCAAGAGTCGCCTTTAGAGAAATACTTGATCGTTGGTTCAGAGACTTCGTTTTTGAAAGAAATAATGGTAAAGTTTTCTTGTCTCTGTGGATTAAAACTTTGTTTTGGTTTTAGAGGCCATTATTGTATATTTTAGGTTTGTGATTACCTTGGCGCTCCGCAGTCGTCGAGGTCCCGAAGCGTATGGGTGATCGTAAGTTTTTCACATGTACATGAAGGCTTTGAGAACTAATTGAAAGTGATAAAATTGTTCACGTGCCTGTCACTTGGTAATTTTCACATGCATATGAAATTTTCAAGATAACTTATTGTGGACATTGTAGGAAGGAAGTGATAGGATTTAGCCGTTATCATTGCCTGGGTACATGCACAGATGGCCTCTTGTCGAGTTTAAAGTTGAGTTCCCGTTGACTTCCCACATGTTGGGAAGACAATTCGCGCAAAAGCTCTGCTCAGACTGTTTCTCGACCTTTAAAGTTTTTCTTAGATTTATAATTGCGAGGTTAGCTTTCCTTTGACTTGAGTGAATTTCTTTATTCCAAGACAAAGTGTACCATTGTCTGTTCCAGAAGTACTCCGGCACAGAGCTATGATAAATAATGGTAATTGAACCTCGTGTCGGGCAATTTTGTTCTGAAATCATACTTGCGATTTCAGCCCAAATTGCACTCAACTCAGTTCAATTACCACTTTATTACATCCATTTTGAAATCGCCCAACTACAGGACTTAGTTCAATTATTTTATTGATGCAGTACTAAGCCGGTCTGAAATTAAATTCATGTCCCTTTTTTAGGGGGGAAAAAGTAAGAGTTTTGGAAACAAAAGTTGCAAAATTTGCCACATGATACTCTTTGTCTTTCGTTTTCTTGCAATTTGATTGGTTACTTTAAACAAGCCTTAAAATCTGATTGGTTGTTTTTTTTTTAGTGTAGCCTCCTCATTGGCTGGGAAAAAGATGCGATTTAAAGCAAAAAATGGTGCGATTCGTGAATAAATCTCATCAATTAGAGCCAATCAGATTACAGGGACCACCAGTGATTTCAAAATGGGTGTAATAAATAGTACAATTGCTTCCCGTGAACCTAAATCATCAGACCATTTGGTTTTGATTTTCGCGCTTTTTTGGTTTTTCAGTCTGGTTTTCGTGTCATCGTGGAACTTTTACCTTGAGAAATTTTATTTTGCCTCGATATGATGGTGTTTCAGTGGAAACATCTTTTGCGAGCTCAAAACAGATTTCTCACTTCTAATGTCCGACAAAAAGGGGGCTTCATTAAGTTGCCTATACGAATTAGCCTGCACAACAAAAAATAGAAACGTATCTTTGTTTCATTTCTGAGGCTGCTATTCTTTCTTTTTTCTGCTGACTGAAGGTTGAAAGAATTTGCTTTCATGTAACATTCTTGAATTAGGCACTGAGTTTTTGACTTTGAAATAAGACTGATGTTCTGATAAATATGCCTCTTAATTAGGACTCTATTATGACTGTGTCGATATTTTTTGCGTGAGTTTTATCGTATTGCCGCATAACTTTGTCAGACTTTGCAGGGGTTGAATGAATTTCAGTTGTGACTTTCATCATATTTTGATTTCCACTGATGAACATGCACACACAAAATTATGTTTCTTTACAAGATATGATCTTGTATTTTTTCGTAATATTTTTCTTAAACTCCGCTATTTGCAGTCATAATAATCCTGATCAAAAGATTTTCGTTTAAAAAAGTATGTATTCTTCCCGCCAGCCATGTTCAGGAGAACTACGTTTTCTATCCCACGTTGCCAATTTATTTTGCCCGGTGTAAAGCTGCCTTCGACATTCCTGTCATCATTGTTTTCTCGTGCAGTATACCCTCTCATTTCGAGTTTTCGTAAGCCTTTTCAGATATGTGTTTCAAATTTGCGACAGCAAGGAAAGTGGAACACAGCTAGAGCTTTGGTTGTTTTCACCCTGGAAACGTTTGAAAAGATTTATGTTCACGTTTAAAGTCGAAGGAAATGTCCAGTCCCCACTGTAGCGATCACCGGCGGCCCAACGGTTAAATGAAGCATATTTGGGCATGTACCTCCAAAATGTGTAAATAACAGTGACCTTCGTTTGTTCGAAAATTTCCTTTTTAAGATGTTTTCCGTCCACATTAGAATTTAAAGTTAGCTTTTTCAAATGTATCCTCTTTGAAGGGTGTTTTTGTTAGTGTTTTCGAAAAGCTTCAGTTTTCAGTATTCCATGTAGCCGCCAATCCATCAACCACCTCCAAAGTTTTTATTTAAGCTAGCACGAAAAAACTTCATATTTTGATTTCGAATCAGTGATCGTTTAGAAAACGCTAAGAAATGATTTGATTGTTACATAACTCCAAGAAATTCCTCGATTGTTACATAACGTTTTTGTCAGCCAAGATATATTTCTATTTTCCGCATTACAAAGAACCCAGCTGTCATTTAAGTCGGATGTAATTGCCCAACAGAATAACTGACGTACTTGTCGCACCTGAAAACATGACAACCTTTTGATCAGTTACCTTGGTAACATGGTTCAACAATCTATTTCTATGTCTAACTGTGTGCCTGTTGACGTTGGTCTTTTTCTCCGAAGGTAATGTCAACAACCTGTTTGTTTTTTAAGTGCATTTCAGGCTCATTCCATAACATGTTATTAGGTTTACCAAAGAAATTTCTGATCAATTCATGGCAATTTCTGTCATTATTTGCATCAGGTGTCATCTGTCTTATTATGACATTCCGTGACGATCACATTTCAACATTTGCCATTCAATGCAATGTTAAAAACATTGATTTATACTTGCCATGGTTACTAGCCGTTAAAGCCGGTTATTCGTCACTTTATATTATTTTTGCTGATCAAAGACCCCTTTAAAAAAAAAAAGCAGAAAAACATTCTGTCTCTGTGACCTCACCCTGTATGGAAAAAAACACTCTCCCCTTGATTTCAGGACTTTGGTCTGTTGCACTATCGTTTGAGTTTGCTGAAATTCTTCGCAAACTATAATACAACTACGCCTTCAAACTCCCCGCCCTCCCTTCTCTGGCAAGCTGCCCCCACACAAACGCGATTAGCTTACCAGATCTTGGGAAGGGGAGAAGTTTTGTTTGTTGGCAATCATTGTGTTGTCGTGAAAAGGTTTGGTAACCAAGATAACAATACAAACATGTTGTGTTTCCCTTGGCAAAGAGAAAACACGGTAACCGTGAAGAGAATGAGAATCCTTCCGAAGAAGGTTCTCGAGGAAATATACTTTAAAACAATTATCCCCAGTGTAACGTATGGAATTTCGGTATGGGGAAATTGTTCTCCTTCCGCACTGAACTCTCTAAACCATATTCATGCAAGAGCAGCTCGTATTGTGAATAACCTCGACTCAACGATGGCAGATGACACATGTCTCATGAAATCCGACTGGCTGCCCATCTCTTACTTCTATAAAAAATCTGTACTGTTTCTCTTGCACAAAGTATATTTTGGAACAACGACCCAGTCGATATGTGAACTGTTTTCTAAAAGAGTTTCTTCTAGATCTTCTCGTGTTCCTAACCAATTTAATGTCATTAGATTTAGATCAGAGACCGGCAGGAACTCCCTACGATACAGAGGTCCTGTTATTTGGAATTTTGTAAATAGATTAGTTAAAGTACCTGAAAGTTTTTATTCTTTTAAACAAATTTTACGTAAACATGTTAAGACTATTGACAATTTTTCATTTGAGAAAGAGGCAACAGTAGTTGCCAACAGAAAGGACCATTTCATTTACTTTTAGATTTATATGTTAGTCTTAGTGAACACCATTTTATTTGTATATAGTAGTTCAAGTTATTATTGCAATTTTTATATATATGTAATTCTTAATATTTAGTATAGTAGGTCCACATCAGCCCTTTGGCTGCCTTTCACACAACCTACTTATCAAATAAAGAATGATGATAATGATGATGATGATGAACCAAAACAAGGTATGTTCTTACGTTCTTATGTGTCAGCCACTCAATAAATACTACCCAATTATTTGCCAACCGAAGATCAATCTTACTCAGGTCCTCAGAATCAAGGAATTTTTTAGTGCAATAAGTCGACAGTCGAAGAAAGACTAGAATGGGTTCTGTCGTTTCACAGCTAAATCAGCATTCTAAGAAAAGACAGGCACTGAGGCAACTACGAAAAAATATGCGGCATGTTCAAAAGTTCAACGTAAAGAACTTGACAGGGAGAATTCCTCCTCGATGTCCGATGGTAGTAATGAAGGAGATGGGAAAGGAATTGCGAAGACTTTATCCAGATGGATCGAATTGATGAGGAGCTATACTTTACGAGCCCCATTTTGTGACTAAAGCAGCCTGAAGACGACTAGAAGTTCGTTTAGACCATGGAAATGAACTGATAAACTTTATAAACATGCCACACAAAGATGTAAAGTCGGATTGGTTAAACTGATGACGAAAAATGTACGTTTCTGATATCATGTTTATTAAAAGCACTAGTCACTTTGATGTTCAATTTGTCATCGTAGTGAATTGTTGCCTCCGTTATTTTGCTTTACACGGAATAAGAAGTCGACTTTAGAATTCAATTTAACACAATGACTACCAGTTTTTGTCGATCATATCATCTTAGTTTGATAAGATAGAAAAACGCTGAAGAGGCAATAGTAAACCAAGAAGGAACAACGAGGGCAAACGATGGAAAACACTGGAAAGAATTAAAAACGACGAACGTATAAAATGTAGATTAATTCTTAGACTAAAGTATAAAACCTGTTCCTACCTTAAAAATTATGAATTCATTTCTTTCCAGTTTTACCAAAGTGGCTAAGTGTCACGTATTTTGGAAATAGCCGAACTAGAGAGCAAAAATCGATTTTCCTCCCAATCCTTGTTAGCGTGGAAACTTGCGCGCTAATCGTTAACCTCTTTCGATCCAGACCTCTCGCGTTCGCAAGCCAAGTACTAAGATACAAGTTGTTTAATGGTTACGGCATGTACCCTCTGACGCGAACCTTATGTTTTCATTGCTGGAATTTTTGTCTTTAATTGAACTGTTGAACGATTTTCATGACTGAAAGTTAACTGAGATTGCAGCGAACGATGTCAGTGTTTTTTTTTCTCTTCTTCATTGTCAGATTGTGGCTCCACGTGGGAATGAAATTTATCCCGCAGGGTTTGAAACGACTTGACCCAAGTTAAAAACTGTTAAACTGCAACTGACCAATGCTTGCAATGCATCGTTTGTATTTATCAGTTTTTTTTTTGTTATAAAAAAATGTATGTTCTGTTTAGTATAAATAATCAAAGAATTGTTTTGTTTTTATACTCATTGCTCCATAATTTGTCAAAAAACTGAAAGAAGAAAAACTCACGCTCCCCTGTCATCAAGTTAGATGGCAACGTAACCTAGTTACCCACCGTAGTGGGTAACCAAGTGACTTTTTACTCATGTCCTTATTTTCTACTCTGAGTTCTCATAGCTTCTTGTGATGTCCACCCTTTTGATAGAGCTTTTTGATTAATAGTTTTTAGAGAAATAATTTTTTCACGCTCGGTCCCATTCTCCTAGGTTGGTTGCAAATCGATCACGAGAGGGCCTTCTCCATTCTTGTAATAGCTATCACATTTCCAGTTTTTCACGTTTGTAACGATGTTTTTGTAACTTACCTTCCAAATGGGAAACGTCGCCCCATTCTACGCCAGTTATGACTCTCTCAGCTCGAAAGTAAACGAGAAGACCTGGGCACTAGTCAACTGTCACATAACACGTGCGGTCAAAGCCTTCCCTTTGCGCATGCTTACTAACGCAATTTAAAGATCTTTAAACGCAACCTGTCAGAACAAAATTGTCATGAGCAGTTTCGGAATTGCTGTGTGGACTAGGCGTCGTAGAATTTGATATATACAGGCAAGCCAAACATTAAAAGAATCGAACTAGCAATATGTATCCGCCGTTTATTTATTTGAGGACGAAAGAACTCGAGAAGGCCTTTATTTCCAGTAACCGGGGTTCTTTTAAGCGGACAGTGGACACTTCTTCTTTGGTATCACTGCTTCTAAAACATATCGGATAATGCAGGATTGTTTTGTTTTTGCTTATCTTCGCTCTGTGATTGGTCCAGAAAACTCGTTAAGCCAATAATAAATGAAGACCGACATTTTTTTGGTTTTCACACTGTATGCTTCTCTCGTTGTTTTAAATTCATATATTTTCAATTCGGATTAATTTTTACCACTGTTTCATTTCTTATTAGTCCGATATCCGTCGCTGTTTATCAAGTAATGTTCTCTTCCTAACACCCAATTATAGACAAAAACGAAAAAAACAGAAGAGCACGCATTTGAAGAGCAGTAGAATTGTTTGTCTCTCAGCCGGAAAATTACAACGATTTAAAACTTTTAGAATATTCTATACAGTACAGTATATATTCTATACAGTTTGGTTATCGACAATTTCTCCAATACTCTTGTTCGCTAAACTGGAATCAAATGGCACGCGGGGAGTCTGGCTTGAAAACTGATAGCTAATACAGTAAACATAGCTATGATGTTTATCCCGGCGATGAACATTGCGAAGTTTATGAAAGGAATCGCTTTTTATGCCTGTCGCCCGATGAGACAACTCAGTGATAATTTATTTGACCCAATGTTTATTCAGCGTGCCGGTTTTGTCAAATAAAAACGAACGCGAATTTGAATTCTTTATTTACAAGGCTTGTTACGCTCGGATCGTTTTGAGCCTAGATCTTTCAGGCTATTATTATTGTGCTAAATCGTCGTCGAACTTTTTAAAACATCGTTGTGTTGCTACGCTAATAGGGCTAACACTAGTCTTACTTTTCTTTCGTGAATATTGGGGAGATGTAAGAATTTCTGTCCATTTGAGAAGCTTGCGACAAATTTCGAAACTACCTATGATATGATAATGCTGGAAGTTGTCTTTTTAAAATGTATGTTTCCAATATTTCGGCAAACATCCGATTTTCAATGGATGTTGGGAAAATATTGGAACTTTTAAATGGTATCAGAAAATTAGCACGATATTTTTTCTTGCATTTTCGTATCTGTGATCCATAAAAATTGATACAAGACAGCCGCAGACAGTTGAAGATATCGATCACTCAAGGCAGTTTTTAAAATACGCCCTTCCATTCTTTGATCATCATTGATGCAAATGGCTTATTTGTAAAACAATTGGTGGTTGCTTTCGGACAAATTCAGACCAGAAAAAGAGTCACAAAAACACAGCACCTGCCCGTAGACTTGGCACAAAGCTCGATCCAACAAAAGAAATTTACTTCGAATTCAGAACACGAAAAAGAAAGCTTTCCGAAACATTAAGCTATCTTTAATTTGGCAAGGAATACCGGTTTGAAAAGGATGCATTGCTTCGTAATGAATTCAGCCCATTTTAGAAAGGTTTTTATTCTCAAAAGACGCCATTAGTGGAAAGTAATAATGCAATTAACAAACAAAATTTTCACTGTCACCACACCTGTTATGCGCAGCGAAAAAAAGCCATTTGTATGCGGCGAGAAATGACATTTGATGTGTCACGCTTGCTTTCGGTCAACAATCGTTTAGAGCTGATTGTGAATGAGTGTTTGCCAAGCTCGATGATAAACAATCTCGGAACTCTTTGTCTTTTGGTGGCAGGTGGTGTTTAAAAAATGCTAATAGAAAATGACAGATCTTCGGATGTTAGAAGCACAAGAAAACATCGCACTGTGAGGCAAGCAAAAGGAAACCAGGTGTTTCAAGTGAGAAGCATACTCGCTAGTAAGCAGCGAGGCGATCGACTCATCCACCCATTCACTTCCAAAACTTGATCATCGCAGTGCTTCGTCGGCGAAAGCCCTGAAAACGTTATCAATTACCACGAAAAGCCGCAAATTAAGGGCACCAGGCGCAAAAATCTCTCTTCTCCAGCTTCCATGTGTGAAATTACGGCGATAAATACGGTATATGCACAGTCCATGGGATCTCTTAACTACAATTCAAGTATTGCGAAAGAAGCAACCAGCGATGGACCTGCGGAGCCGAAAACACTAACAGCGACTCAAGAAGAAGAAAGTGAAGAAAACGTGGCAAGCGGCAAAAAGAAGAGGGGACAGAGTGTTAAAAAATCCCGCTCTAAGCTCAAAAAGGTATTGTCTTGGCGTCAGTCAAACAGATCACGTCGATTGATTGCGAATGCAAGAGAGCGCTCTAGAATTCATATTATGAGTGAGGCTTTCGAAGGATTGAGGCGAGCTGTGCCCAGCTATTCAAGTGATCAGAAGCTTTCCAAGCTCGCAATATTGAGGTTGGCAACGAGCTATATCTCGGCATTGTCTTATTTGGCAGAGAACGATACATCTACGAAATCACTTAAACATTTTGCCGAGTGCGTTGATAAATGTACTCAAGCATTGCAAACGGAAGGCCGAACAAGACGAAAAGAGTGAGTATCAGAAAACGTTTTTCTTCCAATGCAAGAATATATTTTTTCATTTTCGGGTTTCCTTTAACGATGTTTTCCTTTTTGTGGCCTTTTAAACCTATTAATTATATTAAAAAGTACCGAATCGCCGCAAAACATATTTGCAAGTGAAAAGCGTAATTTATAAATAGATTATAACTTGTAGAAAATATACCAAAATTGATCTCATTTTCTCTTTCATAATTCTCTTTCCATGGCGCCTCGCAGGAAAAAAAACATGGCTCAATTACTGTGATGTTTTTATGGTTGCCCTATAAAAATATCCAAGGTACTTTTAACGCTAGGCTTTCCGGGGTCTTTGTACTCTTATTTAGATTTTTATTAAACGTTAAAAGGGCTTTTACAAGTAAAAATTGTAATCAAAGCCGGCGGGAAGGTTTAAATCTCATCAGGCCTTTTAATGCTTTTCATCTATTGATCTCGAAACGCCAAAAAACCAGAATCGAATTCGCTAACGAACACCTGGACTTAAGTTGAAGTAAACTTCTACGTTGTTGTATATTAAAACTCTGGCTTTAACCAATGAAATTGTCGCAAAAGTTGCAACAAAAGAGCACTAATTACAACACTGCACCTGCTTTGCAAACACATTGGAGAAAATCATTCTGATGAGAGATAAATCCATGCGGTGGAAAACAGGAACTTCAAAATGGAACCTTGTTTTTGCTTGAGAACCTTCCAATTAAATTTCGCAGAAGCGACGAGAAAATTCACTGAATTTATTCGTTGTTTACATTTTACCGGTAGCAGGTTTTTTAAAAGGTTTAGCCGGATTTAGGTGTTAAATAGACTCCTGTTTCCAAGAAAAAGGTGCAATTTACGAGTGTAATAATTGAAATCTCGAGTGATGTGCAGGAACAGAAAAAGTAGTGTGCGCTAGTAACATTTAAAACAAATAGAAATATATGTTCACTTAACGTCATATTTTATTTTACAGGGCGAAAAAGACAGTCAATGAAGACATAATTACAGACTGACGTGGGCAACCAAAAAATACATAAATAATCATAATTCGGTCCAAGTTTCATCAACCCCCCCCGCGGTGACAGTCAAAAGAAAACAAAAGAAAAGTGAAACAAGAGTTTTAAATTAAATCATTATAACAAGTCAAAACCAATGAATTATCTTAGTCCGTATCAATAGCTTACTTGCAAAAAAGGAAAAAAAGCAAATTATATTTATTTTATCTGTAAATATTCAAGTTACATAAAGCGGATTTCTGTAAGATCGAACAAGTTGTGGGAAAGTTAGATATTAAAATAATATTTGGTTGAAGATGTGTGCAATATAGTCATTCTTTTCAGAAAAGGTCTTTTAGTACTCCACTAGAATACCAAATATTCTCAGTCCTGTTTAAGTTGTATTGTTTCCGTCTCTCGGACGGAAACAGTACGCGCACGCCTTAACTATGCGACCGATACTATGCTCAGATAAAGGCATAGAATATACTTCGGAAACCAGAAGCCGAGAAAACTAGAAAGTGAACTGACAATGGAATGATTAATATCTTATTTCATGGTTTTATAAATAGTACCAGCGGAAATTGTGCTCATTTCTCGTAGGTTTTTTTCGCCTCTACGTTGCTCGGAGCAAGATACTTAGCAACTCGCAAAATATCTGCGCAAATTATATGTTAAACATATTGTCCATATATCAAAAATAGTCCCTTGCACAAGTCGTTATAGACCTCGAGAGACCACGTGATATTCTTTTACCACACGCGACTATCACTTGATAGACTTAGTAATGAACTTTACTCCCAGTCGACGCGGTAAGAAGTGGAAGAAAGTCCACCCTCTCCTTTTGATCGATTATCGTTTCCTGTTGCTTGGTAGCCTTTCAGTTTTTTGCTCTCTTTCCAAAAATAACGACTGAAGAAGAACTTCGAACGAATATAGATAGAACTGATGATGTTTTTGTTAACAGTGTTTTATTTCAGACATTGACAAGGTTTACTCAAGATCTAATAAACTTTATCATCCGTTGTCAAAGCGTCTTTTTTACTTATGGGTCACCAAGCATTTGCTTTTACAAATGATTATAAGGGCAGTAATGTTGATGCAAGGATCAGTTCCATAATTCGCAAGACTTTCTAAAGTTAGTTATCTATGACCTTTAATTAAGGAGAAAATTCATATTGAACACTGAAATAAAGCCAGATTCTCAACTTTCTAACTTCCTTATACCCTCAGTTCAAGTGAAAAGTGTGTTATAAAAACTTCACATAAAATTTCTAAGACCACATGCAACTTTGAACTGAAGGTTAAACACAACTTTAACGCAGTGGCAATGATATCAAGGAGATAGTTTAGTGATCTCTCCAACGAAGCAAAATATGATGAATTTTTAAAGTCAATAGAAATAATTGGTTATTACTTGACAACTCATTTGTTACCTGATCTAATGCGTAACTTATGAACTTAGTAATTCTGTTTCTAGATACGACCTTCTTTACTGTAAAATCTCTTTCTTGCATTCTCGCAGTGTGCATCGCATTGGACGTAAAGTTTCTAGTTAACCTTGAAAATCAATGGAATCTAAATGCTGAACTTCTGTATGACTCGTGAATTCGGCTGGAAAATTTCCCGTAAAGCTCCGCTACAAAAGATCAAGTTTCTCTTTGTCTTGATTTCCACGTTATTAAGAATAACGAAAATGAAGCCTTTCGGTTGAAACTCTTTGCAATAGCAGCAAACAACTTCGGCAGCTTATTACAAACTTACTATTCCTTTGAGCAAATAAGATTTTGCAAGCAAAGAAGACATGAATGTAAAATATTTAACCCTTACACCGTTTCTACGGAGCTAAAAAAGCTACGAGCATGTCGTCAACTCGAAATGAATTGGCAGGATATTCTTGGCATTTCACCTGGATAACTCTTTTCCCACTTTCTACCCCACTGCTTATTTCTGTAAAGCCTATTCTTTAACCAAACCTTCCTCTAAGCCTCTAGATTGTTGAAGGTCTGTCGTGAATGTAACAGAAGTACAAACTGAATTCATCACTGAAGGATCTGTCATGATGTCAGACTTGTGTTAGTAATTGAGTAAACCTCCAGAGCTTCGGTGAGAGAAAGCTCTTCGCAGTGAGGGCCGACAAATTCTTCCAGAGTACCACACCAAAAACCTGAAAATTAAAAATTCTCAGGGTCGGTAAACGTCGCTAAATGTTGCAAAAGTCAAACAACTCGTTGTAAATTGCTCATCAATGAACAGTGCATATATTGACCAGATCGATTACGTTTAGAGGGTTTTTTTTTTATCGGAAGATCGTGCACCATTTATGAAGTAAGCCGACTTAGAAGTATCCACCACAGGAAATATATGTGTTTTAAGACCACTCAGACTTCAAAACTAAAGAGAATGTGTTGATATGTAATTTTAAAAAGCCGTTTTATCGTGTTTACGTTTCATAGCGTAGCCGGTGTGTGAACGGTGGAGCACACAATTTCCTTTGCCGGATTGAAGTGGATTACTCCAAGAGTTGAAGTTCCTTTCTACGTTAAAACTGTTTGCTCGCGGTAACACCAAATTACACAACTTTTCTATGCTGGAGACTCATTTACCCCCTTGAAGCTCGCAAATTATCGTTTTACCCCAAGGGTAGGTGATAAATTTGCCACCTTTTCAAACGAATCGGCATTAAACTGTTGGCGAACGCAAGCTTAATTGTGTACACTTAAATTACGTAAAGTTTACGTTTACTTACTTTCATTAGAGAAAATTCCCTCGGGAGAACCTTGTGAATCAAGCTCTGCACTGCTGGTGTTTGAAGAAGTTTCCTCATCACTTAAACGTTGTCGTTTGCTCGTGGCGTCTTCGTCTTTTTCGCTTTCATCGCCCGAATCCTGTTCCAAGATGTTCTCGAGGACATTTATGTAGTGAATAGCTAGTCTCAAAGTGGCAATCTTGGAGAGTTTTTCTTCTCCATCGTAGCTTTCCTTTGGTATAACGTTTCTTAGCTCTTCAAATGCTCTGTTCAATTTATGCATTCGATTTCTCTCTCTCACCGTAGCGCAATCCCGACTTGACCTCAAATGTGGGTACTTTCGTAACCGCGCCGAATCTCGAAAGCAGTCGCTGCATATTTCATCTCCATCCTCCTCAAAATTGGCCAATTCTGCGAGCTTATTCCGGGCCTCGCGGGACTTATGACGAAGGTGGTAGCGTTTCTTCCCATTTTCGTTTCTTGTAGAAGCTTCCATCGCTGTTTTGTAATCAAACTCTCTTTCACTGTCCTCATATATGACTTGACTTGGCTTTTCTTGCATTCTTGAAGTTCTGCAAGCTCCACCCCTCCAATCAGACCTTATTAAAGAGTTCCGATGCATGTCCTTCATGAACGTCATCTGTCATCATTTCAACCAATCAACGCTGAGCTTTTGCGGTGCGAGGCCAATTTCTTGACCTCCGATTACGGCCGCAACAGTGCGAAGTTTTTTGGAAGACGACCAAAAAATATATCTGTTTTGACGGACCGCCAGGGCCGATACTTAATATTTGACAGATTAACGCGTCCTTGTACAGCTCTCTCACTTCTACAAAGAGGTCTTTGCAAGAGTTTTTTTCAACGACGGAAAGCTGTCAAGGATGATTTATTAGTTTTTAATTATTGCATGACAGGATAACATTGTCGAGACTAAGACTATTGACTTAGCTAAATCATTTACCAACCTTTGTTCTAAATTTAAAACATGATTGTGATGTCGAAATCTGACCTCGCGCCAGATTTCCTTGACAAAATCAAGAGGGTTTTTCCTTTAATTGTGCGAATACACCAACGTGGAAGAACTTTTACCATAACTGGGCCTGATACTGAAAAATATCACTAAGCGAGTCAATAACTGAAGTAAACAAAACCCCCCAGTCATCAAATCTTTCTCGATAACAACCGTATTTACTTGAAGGATCTAACACATAAAAAATTATTCCATAATGTTTTCCATGTGCTTGAAAATACGCAAATATGCAGCTCGGAAGGTGGGTAAATACACTGTGATAACATGCTCTGGCAATTAACGAGGTTCATTGTTTCAATCAAATTGACACAGTGTACCCGCAGATTGTCGATTACCTACAGAACGTTCAAGTCCAAAGGGGTCCGTAATTGGGGAGGCGGTGCTTCATATTTATTCTGCCTCCTCGGAAATGCTCCTTCTGTGCCGCTGAACGAATCTTCTCGATGCTCCACTTAGCTTAAGCGGCCTTCAAAATGATTTTATCTCATCCTACTTGACTTTTTCGATTTACTTTCGATAATATGTCACTCGGAAATATGTCTTTTCGCTGATCCGCGAGGAAGCTTGGCGGAAATTCTTCAGGAGAATCAACCCAATTGCACTAGTTAGTATGTTCTAGTGATTGACAATCTCGAGTGTCTGGTTGGAAATTTTTTATCAAATTTCCGGCAGAATTATTTTGACGGTTTTGAGGTTTTGGTTATGTATGTAACTTGGCGATCGGTGATAAATGTTGATTGTTAGATAGTGAAGGATATAAACCAATTCTGAGATTTGTCTTAACAATTACTGAAAGTAAATACATTAGGGCCGATTTTATACAGATAATCGCGAGAAAATTATTCCGTTTTGCAGCATTTTATTTCCATTTTCGTAAACACCAGGAGACAAAAGAGTCATTCTTGCTTAGCTTTTACAGGGACGTCGACGTTTTTTTCATTTGTAAACAAAGGGTTGCGTCGGCTAAATTGGATCATTACCAGCACCGTTCATGAGTATGAAGTCAGCGTTATCCGTTGAACAGGTTACATAGGATACAAAACATCTACAAGTATTTATTGCTGCTCATGAGTTATCGTCATGAAAATTACTCTAAAGGTTCTCTCGACGCTTTCATTTTCGTTAGACACAGGAAAGGAAACTTATCAAACAATATCAACACTTTTCCGAGCAGAAAGGTGATTAGAAGACAGAAAAATATCACCTTTCGGCATATCGTTTGATTTGACAGCAAATTCTCTAAGCTATTATTGTAGGACAGATGTGTAGAGAATTAATACCTGGATCTAAGGAATGATCTTAATGAAAGGGTGAAAGTACCTTTCTTTGTTTGTCCTGCTCGCAGCTGTTGTTCGGTCTCGTTATGCTTGACGAAGACCTAACAACGGCTTCGTGGGACACTACATAAAATTAAAATTGTGTGTGCCTTTTTAAAAATTATTATTCCTATGATCGACGTTGTCACGACACAAGAACGTGATTCATTTGGAGGACAGTTTTAGCACAGACTGACCACTTCGTGAGTATGATGACATGTAAAGACGTACGACACAAATATAGAATATGTATGACTCTCCCGGAATAAATCACTGAAAAGGCGTTTTAAACGGCTCAGAGAGGAAAAAAACACTAGTAACTTTCGGTGTCTTAATGTTTGTTTTCACTTAACTGAGATTTTCAGACACAATGCTTTAAAAATTTTATCAATCAGTGCTTTATTTGTAGCCACTGTACAATGTATCTTTCTGTAATATGTCTTACATGTCAACATACTCTCAAGGGTGGTCCGTCTGTGCTAATATAAACGTTCACGGTCAAGTATGTATCTTACCAACGTCCCAGAGAACAATAGTTAATAAAAAAAGCGTTCAAAATTTTTACAATCATGTTGTGCCCTTCGCAGCCGTTGGTTGGTCTCCTTCACACGTAACGAGACCAGAAGACGACTCTGAGAAGGACTAACAATAAATGTAACTTTCACTCTCTTGAAGAATTTAGAGTCAAATCAAACGATGTGCTTTAACATTTCCAGGGTGGTCCACTTGTGATCCAATCGGCGAATACCAAGACGAAGTTATTTTCAACTTAGTCTCGGTTTAGACACTAAACTTGTTATGAAACGAAAACCTTGAATTAATGATAGGCGAAAAATTCTGATCCAATTAGGAGAAGCTCTTTTAATCTGAAGAGGCTCGGCTCTTCTTTACGGGAGGCTTGGCTGGGAATTTCGACTTTGGAATGGCTTTGATTCAGACGCCGAACCTATCATGTGCCAAGCGGATCATTCTTTGAAAATTATCGACTGCCTTACATTTAGTCTATTTTAAACCCTGCACAGCTGCTGGGTATTGAAACACAGCCGATGTTTTTGCCTACTATTGCTGAAAAACTCCTAAACGATGTCAGATACCGATGTCCTGCAACAGGACGGCAGAAATAGTTTGACGTCTGACGCAATAGGCGTAGTTTCTTTATCATTTTAGTCGGCTCAAATTAAATTAACTTTGACGGGGAGAAAATAATAGTAATTATTTTCTCTTGCTTCGACTGATGTTAAAAAAGGGGCTACATAGTCCGGCTGAGGGACAGCATTTCTATCGTTTAAGCGGATATCTGCGTCGGGTAAAAATACCGACAGTGTGGAAGAAAAAAAAATTAATTTGGGTACGATAGAATTACACCAAAGTGGGTAAAAAAAACTTAGAAGGAGCAAAACTGGTCGAGGATGGCTAAGATTGACACAGTTTACAAAAAACTACTTATCTACTTATCTTGTTTTATCGTTTTTTATTTGTTTGCAAAGTTGATCTTTGAGGCTGGTTTACGGATGGTGGCCTGTACAAACAATGACAAAGCCAGACCACGATACTGGGAGCCATCTTCCATACTCGATGCGAGAAATGCTTGAGGTCTTTCACGTCCCTACCAACCAAAGTGCAGGAGATGGGACCTACGGTTTATCGTACGAGAAGACTAAAATATCTAACCATTCGCAGATGTCATAGCAAAGGCAACACGTTCTCCTCAGTTGTTTTAAAGACCTTGAGTGTTGATCCTGCCTCGACCTCTCGTCAATAACGTCTTTCACCAAGTTTCCTCTGAAGGTATAAACCTTTCAATGAATTTAAGGTGATGAGGATAAAGGAAATGATCACCAAATTGAAAGGGTTTTAAATCGAGAGTATGCATTTGCAACTGTGTTATTTCGCCTATGATCCAACAAGAATAATCTTTCAAATCAGTGAAACTTTCAAGCGAATGACGATTGAAATTGATATCGCACTAGTTTTGTTACATTACCGTGATTGGTCGAAAAAAGACTCGCCCTCCCTTTTAACCAATCAGATCACTTGATTTTTCCCGCCCTGATCATTAGATCAGCTCTCATTGTCCACTGGTGATTTATTCCTTTCCTCTGATTGGTTGTTGTCTATTGTTGTCAGTCACTTGTCTGTCCATGATCTCTTAAAGCCACCATGCGGCTGGCTGGCGTGGGAGCTTTCAACATTTTGTGACGCAGATATGGATCAAGTATGAAAAAGAATTTAGCAATCGTTACAATCAAAACGTGTGTACCTTTGAATCTATCAACGCTGAACCCTCAGAATCGAATCAAAAGATTGGGTATTAAGATAATAGACCAGCACATTGCAAACACGGTGCATTTCCTATACGTATTCTTTCTTAATTCTTTTTCTCTGCGGTTCTGAACACTTCGAGAAACTTGGATGAGAGATGCGCGTAATCTTTTCACGATACGAATAAAGGTTATAACAATTACAAGAAGAGCCGCCACGTTCAACGATATAGACAGGCTTGCAAAACGCAAGATATCAAACTGTTATTGCTTCTCATTTTTTTAAGGAGGTCGTATTGATCAAAATTGTGACAATATGGATGTTCTCCTAGTATATCAAAGGTGACAGCGGCTGAGGCCAAAACCATCACGAGAATCCAACACACGAGAGTAATCTTTTTGACACTGTGTCGCGTCATGCGCTGATCTAAAGGGCGTGTTACACAATCTTGTCTGCTTATCTCCTTCAGTGATAACGTGAGTACGTTTAATATTATGCAGACATACACTACCGGAACAATTATGAAAGAAAACAATACGTGCATACGTGTAAATCTTAAAACCGTGCCTGTCACGGCGACAAATACCCAACCATCTAAACTCATCAGTGAAGTAAGAAAGCAATATAAAGAAAGATTTACAAACAGGACTTGTGGGACTTTATAAAGATCTTTGCGTTTCCAACACAGAACGCATGCGCGTCTATTGCCAAAAGCACCTGCCAGAGAACCAATTGTTAACAGCGAAATGTCAACAATAATTAGTGCTTGACTGATAGGTGAGGCCTGATGGTTTTCCATCGACGATTGTTCATTTTCATTCTTTGGCCGTGGGTGGAGAGGCAATGACTTTGAAATCCACCTGTCGAGCGAAGGGAAAGGATAAATCA